AATACTTCTATTCCACGTACTACGTCATGCAGCTGTATCGTTTTTGAGTAATGACCAACCTCCTTGTTCCCATAATCTGAGCAACAGAATTTATAGTAACATACCGAGAAGCACAACCAACGAGGAAGCTATTTCAGATGTGAAGTCAACAAAACGACTGACAACAGTGTGAAGTCACTTAATGAATGAAGCTCAGAGAACACATCTTCGCTCCAGGTAGCGGTGGTTACTGGGGCGGGGTTAGGACCACCGCCAGACCACTGCACAATATATAGGCCTTGGGGAGTAAGCCAAGTACTTTCGGGCCACTATGGAGATTACAGCCAACCGAATGCACCAAAAACACCAAATGTCAAGGGGTGTACTAGTAGTCTCCTAGAAGAAAAAGGAACGAGTGACCGCCAAATGTAAGGCTTAGGCGATTCCATATCCCCAATACCTACTGACTTAATACCGCAAGAGCAACTTTAGTGTAGTGTTTCAAGGAAAGTTGCGCTATGTTGTGAGAATCTGTGAAGAGACAAATTACCAGATTTGGTCATGAAACAATGACAAGGGCAGTTAAAACAACACTCACACAACAATAAAATAGATATATCCACCCCCCCTCCTTAACAACCTATAAAGTGACGCGTCGGGTGGAGACAGAATAGCATCCATCACCGAGCTCCGCTACTGAATCAGCAATAAGACAAGACGTGCGCCAGCTAGAACTATATAGGCGGTGTTCTGCCAGAGGTGTGACATACCTTGAGGGACCCCAGACCGCAGACCTCCAGTGTAGACCATGGAGAAGGTTTATGGGTTGTCTATCAAAACCCACAAGACGGACTCCCCGGCCAATCCTTCCACAAGCGCCAGTACGAAACTACACTAGATATGAATAATTCCACCAAGACCCATCCAATCAAAAACATACCTCCCAATACAGAAGTACATATAGCAAGCATGAAAACTATACCCCTGAACTAGTACCCAACAAATACAACAAAACCTTATTCCCAAGCTAATCAGATCAGCCAATTGATCGTCTAAGAATAAATCACTTTGTGTGTCACCAAGAGGCTACAATAAGTCAAACCAGGGTAGTTTAGCCACCATTGACTGCATCCAATAAGTAGGCAAAATTACTTTCTATACACAACATTATCAACCAACCACAGTAGATTATTAACCTTTCTGTAAAACATTTATTAAACATCCACATCCGTATATGATTAATCTATAGCTCATAACTATGTTTAACCCCCATATACAATAAGTTGATGTACATGTATGAAAGAAACGAATAGAGATTGGACGTGACTAATTGCTTACCACTTATTTTCACCATATACGACCACCAGTATTCAACATAATGACACAAGTCAAGACAAAATTAGGCACGAGGATAATATAATGAATTATCTAGGCAAATGTTAGACAGAGGCGCACTATGCATTAAACAAGAAATCTTGACAACGTAATTTCTTTTCTCTGGCCAGAAAAAATTGCTAAATTAATAGAGTTGGCTAGTAGGCAGAATATATCATAATACTCTACCATGAATAAAGGGGGCGACAGAGGAAGTTGGTCGTTGCATGGGTACGAGCTGTAAGATGTGTTTAATGATCAACCCCACTAGACATACACCCAAGGTACCCACATAATGATTCATAATAAGTGTAGGTGAGACATACCACTAGAGACCTTAATCCCAAGAAAAACAGTCAGCATGTTCCATAGACATCAGCAGGTTAACACGGGTCTGGGATTTGCTATTGTGTTGAAAGGAATGCCTTAGACATCCACCCTAGACCATAAAGTGGCGACCATGTAATGTAGTTAGTAAATATTAACATACTAGTAATATATTAAAAGACTGCCTAACATATACACCCAACATTAAGATAAGAGATGGCATCCCATGAACAAACCAACAGAATGCTACCAATACATAACCAAAAAACCGAAAAAATGACACAGAACAAGGGAAAATTGAAAAGTTTCTAAGGCATTAACATAAGACTCCCTAATGGTGGACCCATATGAAACACTCAATTGTGACACGTCACCCAATCATATGATGATATTTAGTGTCAGATGTATCAGTAAAGCTGCTAAAATTCTGATTAAGGACATGAGCACGACCAAGTCCGCGTATACTGGTCGAGGTAACGAGAGAGCCCGCCCCTTAAACCACGTGTGCGTGCTTGTGAGCTCATATCTTAACTATGAGTGACATCATATAGAGAACTACAGCAGAGTCGGTCGAGATTTATGAGCCTATAACGAATTAAGTTTAATATTATTAGCATACTATAGAATTCCTATGCCCAATATCATAGTGCCAAGGGTGATGTGAAGATAACAAAACGAGATACACTTGCTCATACTACATAACAAAAACAAACATAAATAATAAAAACCATATACCTGACTCAGACTTATTACCATTGCATAACACTAAATACTGCAAAAATTAAAGTGTAAACTCAATATTCAAAACTACAACAAACTATATGATAAGTATATTGAAAGATCGAATATAACACGAAATAAGCTAGTATAGATCATGTAATCAAAAATCTATCAATTGAAGAATGCCTTCTAACGGATCTGTGTACTATGCAACCTCTAGGTCGTGACAATAATATCTGAAAGAGCTGTATAATATATTAAGATGTGGCCATATAAATTATTGAAGCAAACTGGGGTCAGAAATGTTGCCATAGTCAAAGCCTAGAATAAACATAAAAGTTTACTGAACGAATCGCTTCCAAGATACCACCATGCAAGCCCCCACCAGAGAGTAAGAGTACCGCCAGTGTTTATGTATATAGATAGATAGATAGATAAATAGATAGATAGATAGATAGATCCTTGTCTATCTATCTATCTATCTATCTGAAGATGACCTTCATAACGGACTTCTGTGCTCTTTGCCCATCCCTCTTGGCTCGTGTACATACTTCTGTAAGAGAGTATAATTTATTTCATTTCCCTGGCCCTTATAATTATGAAGAAACCTGGGGTAGAAATGTGCCAACTCTGTCACTAGAATAGATTATCATTATGTTTTACTGATCAGAAATCCCAGATTCAAGCATCAAACTGGAAAGCCACACAAGGAGAGATGAGTACAGCACAGACAGGGGCTTTCTTTGGTATGACACCTTGGAAAGACCATTGGCTGTACATCTCCACATTGTCAATGTAATCATCAAATATCTATGTAGACAGGTCAACAAAATAAAATATACATTTATTTTTCAATTAGTCTGGAGACTTGATATAATGCCCAGTTTTTCAGGTCATCCGTTTACAGCCCATCTCCAGATAAATATATAAATAAAGAAAATCAATAAGGGCATGTCATATTCATTTACAAAATAAGTACAGTGTTTGGCAGTTATTTTATCCATGGAATTTGAGAGTCCCTTAACATCTGCGTCAATAGAAAGATCCAAATTGTTTGGGGCCTTTTTGAAGTTTTTAAGGTACAGGATTCCCAAGCCATGACTATAGTGTACTAAAAGTATGTAGTGCTTTGATAAAGACTGGGAGGAGAGGCTGTTTTGGTGAGTAAAGAGCATACGTTTATAACTCCCCCTTTCTCATTAAGTCAGTCAAAGTGACATGAAGACTTATGTAACTCCCTCGAGATAGAGGGAGGAGATGGAGAAAGAGGAACAAGCACTGGATGAAAGCAGGAGCAGCTGTGAAGCAGGATACACATTCACTGGTGAAGAATTACGAGGAGTGTTCACAGATAAAATATGAAAACGCAAGACCTTAGACAGTTAAATAAAAGATTTATGGGGCTGGGAAGATAAACGATAGGGTCGTAGGTGAAAAAAATCATATGTAAGAGCTCTGGTGCCATTTCGTGTGGCTCTACTGGCTTTACACATTTCGTTTGCTTTGTTGGAGAGATTAGCAAGAGGATTAAGAATGATTTGTATCACTCCTCATTCCTTCAGTCTACCTCCTGCATTTAGTCCATGAAGCTTCTGTTCAACCTGATGAAGGTGCTACCTGTGGTTCCTGTCTTTGTGCTGTTGGAGCCGAGAAGGAGGATAGATAATCCACCTGTGGACTTTGACTGCACTGTACTCTATTCCTCAAAGAGCAAGTGTTTTATCAGCATAATTACAGTATTGTGTACTGCATTTCTTAATAAGGAACCCTTTGGGACTCAACACTTCAAAGGAACATTATGAGATAAGAAGAGTTTGAGAGAAACAAAGAAGTCTTTGCTGAGATTGTTGAACCACTCCAGAACTGTGCGTCCCACCCAGAGTTGCAGCCCATGTACAAGGATGTGTCCGTGGTGGTTTTGGGTGGAGGGTTAATGGGTTAATGTTTTAATGTAACAAATTTTTTTTTTACATTTTTATATGAAAAGCACTTGATTTATTGAATACTGAGAGATGTAGTTCTCCCAGTAAGAGGTATAATTTATGTATGGGCACTTCCAGTTTCCACTGCGTGTGTCTTATGTGTCAAGACATATATATATTACATGTTTTAAATCATTGTTTTTTTTTATTTACTAAGGCAAGCATCTGTTGTTTAGAAAATTGCTACACATAAAGTGTTATTATACATTTAATCATAATAATAATAATTTGTATTATTATTATTATTATGCATGTCCATAGTGGTGCTGCAGCTGCTGAGGTGCACAGGCCTCTGGGCAGCTCTCTGTCCGTGTTTGCCTGTGCATCTGCTCTGTATCGAGGTCTCTCCTTTGTCTATATCTTCTTACTCATCCTGCTCAGTGCTCTCCATCTGTCCCCATCATTTGTTGTCTTCATCTCTCCCTATGTTCTATTTACCCCTTTTCACCATATTCCCTTTTTCACTCTTCTTTTCTGAACAGCTTAGAATCTGTCCCTCTCTCCTACCTCCATTTAAACAGCAAAAAGCAATTTCTCTCCCTTTGTCAGAGCGCCTGGCAGTAAGCCCTTAAGTAGGGATTTTCTGGTTTGGCTGGAATGCCATTATGGGAGCTGGTTGTGACGTGCCGTGACTGACGTACAGAATCTTTTTGATATCATGATGTCACAATCCAGTGGAGGCCGTGGTTATGATATTGTTGGCGTCCTGAGGACTAGGGGCTTTAGTGGTCATGTCGGGAGTAAGTCTTTATAAATCCTTTATGGCACAGTAATATTAAGCTCCTTTTGTTGTACAGGACAGGGAGTCAGAGGATAGTTCCTCAAAGGGAATGCATTTGTTTGAATTCACAGGTGGATTTACTAAAACACAGAGGAGGCGCAGTAACACATCACCTTGGGTTTTAGAGATAATGCAAAGAATAATAATAAATTATGTTGAACAGATTTGAATCAGAGAAGTATTATCCATTCACAAACACTGAATTTCAGGGAAAAACTCTGATCCCATATTAGAATGTAATCTGCTTGAATAGTACTTCAAATCATTGTTATAATTAGATATCTGGCGTCCAAACAAGACAAGGATCTTAAGGATTATTGGAAGAATGAGATATTACTATCTACCGCTTGACCATGGACCTGATTTATAAATTATGTGTAGATCCAAAATGTTACATATATAGCTTTCCCTGTCAAGTTTGTGATCTATGAAAAGATAACTTGTAATGTTGAATGTTGGAGCTTCCTGAAATGAGGCAGAACTAGGACCGTGCTTAACAATTCTCTGAATTTTTTGTTTTGAAAAAAAATCTGAAGTTAAGGTTAGGGTTGTTTTCGTATGTTTTAGTATTCATATATAACCTTTTTTAATTCTGTTTCCTCAGCACCTCCCAAATTCACTCGAACCCCAGAAGACCAAACCGGAGTCCAGGGGGGCGTGGCCTCCTTCGTGTGCCAGGCCACTGGAGACCCGCAGCCCAAGATTGTGTGGAACAAGAAAGGCAAAAAAGTCAGCAGTCAGAGATTTGAGGTACAGTATCCACCAAACACAAAAGTGTGCGTAATCATTCCATATGTCAACCTCAAAATAGTATGTATCCCAGAGCTTTGGACCAAAAGGTTTCTTCCAAATCAGAGATGCACTTTTCCTTTTTAATTTCGGATTGCTCACTAACTGCCTCTCTCCATCTAGTTTTATCTGTTGCTTTTTCTTACAAAAATGCAATATCCATTATGTTTTATTTTGCTGCCTTGTCAACATTTGTGCTCCTGTTGTCGAGAGTATACACTTCTCTCATATGTCAGCCAATGCCATGGGCCAGTGTATATGCGGCCTCTCTATGATCCGTCTTATTAGTTTCCCCTCAGTATTGACCTTTGATTTAGTTCTCCACCTTCACAAGTGCTTCTCACAACCACAGGCAAGGAAGGCAGCTAAAAGTTGTTTTTTTTTTTACTTCAAAAAGTCAGCTTTCCTGCAACTTCATCCTATAAAATCACTAAAGGAGACACTTAATCTATCTGGTACATAATCACTAAATATTTTCCATCGCTGTCCTGTGTCCCGGCTGGCACAATTCCACTCTCAAATCAGCTTCCAAATCTATGAATATTTTAAGGTCCTCTTTTATGCTGACTTTGTGACTAAAAAAATGTGTGGTCTGTTCTCCACAAGATCAGAACCTCTCCGCCTAAAAATACATGATCTTTTGTTTTTGATCTTGTAATAACAACATCATAACCTTGTCAGTATACTATGTAAAATATACAATCTGCCCTGCATTTAAGCATGGATAAATGTATTTCCATTGGACTCATTTCTGCATTGTCATCGCAGGTGATCGAGTTTGACGATGGCTCCGGCTCTGTGCTTAGAATCCAGCCCCTGAGGACACCCAGAGATGAGGCTGTTTATGAATGCCACGCCTCCAACACCGCAGGAGAGTTGACTGCTACCACCAGGCTTAATGTTCTACGAGGTACTACTTATTTTATATGTTTTCATTTGTACCACATTATAAAGATAATGCGAAATACCTGCAGGATGAGTTTTGTTTCACAGTGTCACAGATATGATACATACTGTACATCTGGAAACTGTGATATTGAGAAGAATTGGATGGAATGACAAACTTTGCTCACTCTTGCACAAGATTTCATGTGAAAAACAAGCACATAACCAAAAAGGCCACTACTGTATGCTTAGTTTATGCAATATTTTGTGGCCAAACAGTAAAAAGAATCTGGCCATGGCAAAAGGAAATGTCTGTATATTATAAATTTATTAACAACAATCACTTTACGTGTGTATTTGGCATTGGCTACACATTGATGCGCACATTTTAACGAATTAAATAATTAAAATCTTGATAGCTCTCACTTTGAATGTAATAGGTCTGCCATACATTCATTTCACATTGTAAGTCGAATTACAGAATTGAATGGACTTTCATATTGAAATTTAACCTTGATAATACTATTGGCAAGCATATGACATTTTCTAATGACAGTCAAAGCATTACATACAGTGTTAATGTAAAAGCAAATAAAGGTCTTCTTAAATAATAAATTCTGCACTCCTGCATTCCTGCATTCCTTAAACTCCATTAAAAACTGTTGAATAGAAATAGTGAATTTGTAAAATAAATCAATTTCCATTAAAACCTTGCTCCTGTTCGAAATGTGTAAAGGTTATGCTAAATTGTGCTCCTCAAAGCTTTTTATGCCTCAGAAATGGCAGAATTTGGGTGAAGCTTGTGTGCAGTCAGTGTAATTGTGGATGGATGGATGTGTCCAGTGAGTCCATTAATGCAGATAGTGATGTTAGTGTTAGTGGAGTCCATTAGGAGAACATTATGTACCGGTGGTTCAAGCGAGACTGCTGGAGTGTAGATAATCACTTTTCCTGCCTTTACAGTATATGGGGGAAGAACGTCTGACATTGTTCTCTTGTTTCTTCCCTCCAAAGCATAACACTCGCCTGTGCTCTCACTTAACACCCTCCACTTCCTCCTTCTGCTTAGTCTATCCACATCCATTTTCCACTTTCCCATGTTTTTCGAACCCTTCTCTTCTTTCTGTTTTTGCTCTAAGGCCAACGTGCAGCCACTTCTTCTAAATTATTCATACGTAGCCACTCTTTGCATCTTCCCTGTTCCACTCCACCCATCCTGAATTCTGCCAATCTCCTGTCGTAGATTCCGCACGCATGTGTACGTGCATTCATCCGTGCATCTTCCGAATCTATTTTAGATTTTTCCTGTTTTTTTGTGACGGCAGGAACTTTGCTTCCTCTTTCGGTTTATCAAAGCAACACGTCCGCAAGCACCTGTCCTAGGCACGCTGCTATTCAGAAAAATGAACGCTCTATCGAAGTCAAGTCGGGCTTTTATGTAATGATTAGCCTCTTTCTTCTACTCTGAGGAGTCATTGTGTAATGGATGAATAAGGAGCCACCTGGGAGCAGCTAATAGCCCCTGATAGACTGTCTGTTCAAATGTCAGCTACAAAATACACACACATACACACTCCCCAAACCGCGCTCACACAAACGCACCAATCCAGTGGTGTCAATCCTACCTCCCCTGCAGCTCCACTGAGTGACTGACTGTCTGACGGGAGGGATCCGGTGTTAAGGTCAGCCAGCTTAATTACTGGGGATTAGTACCAATCTAATTGAAATCTTGGCTTCCAGTAAATGGCTGTGATTGACAGTGGTTGAAATAATAATGAACTTGAAGAGCAATTACGTGCCACCGGGTTCAATGTATGGCCCTATACTGTATAATTCATGTGTTGCTTAAAGTTAAACGCGTGGCCTTTTAAATGAGTCTAAACCGGGGTGAAGGTGGACTCTATAATTACAGCTTTGATCTTGATTTTATTATGGGTTGTGAAAACCGCTATTACACTTACCTATAACTCAGGAGATGATCAGGGTTACCGAGGTGGGATTATTTGAGGACACACACATACATTATTCATTCATCTTTTGAGAACACAGGTGAAAAGAGCTTTTTCAGAAATTTGAAAGGCATAAACAGTGAACAGTGGCCAGATATTCAGGACTCACAACAGTATGTGGGCAACAAATAATCAGGTTACAGTTACTAAAAATGAAACCTGACACACTATTAAAGAGAGGCAAAAGATATGGTTTTACCATATGTTTCTAAATGTAACATATTTTTCTGAATACCATTTACCATTAGACATGGAGACATTAATCATAGTTCATAGTTCTCATGGTTTGCTTCTACAATGTATATTTATGGCTTATAGCTGGGATACCTGATTTTTATTTGTATCCATGCAACTTGTTGCTATATATCACAAAAACTATTTTTTTAACTTTAATTTATTTAGATCAAGTCAGATTCAGATTCAGATTCATTTATTTGCCATTTGCAGTAAAACCACATAGGAAAAACTGTGCAAGACTACCCCAGTGTGCACCAGACGACACACACCAGAGCTCTTGCCACGGCGCCATCTTTACGGCGCCATGCGACAAACAGTAGAATAAACAACAGAGAGCAATAACACACAGTTTCACAGACAATTGGATAGACACATTGTGCTTTGTATAAACCAAGGATTTTTTTCTCGGGATGAGCACCTCCGACTGCCGGCCCAATGTGGCTGTCAGAGGGGGGCGGGGTCAGGGAGCGGGTGAGTCGGAAACACAATGAGGAGTGGAGGGGAGGGAGGGAGCAAGATGAATATAATCAATTGAATTCAACATTTGACAAAGGGTTTTACATTACATTACACTTCCATTTTTAGATAGTCACTTGAAGTCTTGCAGTCCTCTGTTCCATCATGTAGACTTGTTGGAGAATAAAGCTTCCTCCAGTTAGGAACATGATGAATTCTAATGTCTATGTCAGTACTTAGCACAACCTTTACGAGAGCATTTTAAAAAGACAAAGCTTCCCCTGAACATCCAATCAACCATTAGCCCAAAACGTCATATAGTGACTCAAAATGCTCTCGCTTACAAGCATTTGTAATTTTAGCATGTAGAGCTCGGTTTTTAAATGTGTTTCTGTAAGGATAAAGATAATGACAAAGTTCCTCAGCTTTAAGTTATATACTAGGACAAATAATATAGTATTCATTGGGAACTGCTCTAAACCTTAATATCTTATCTCTCTTCTTTAACTTAATACACAATACTTAAGACAGTGACACACTAGTGTCATTGTCTTACGTTTATGACAGAAAAAAAACAGCATGTTGTTCTGTCCATTTCATTCCGTTGCCACGTATAAATAAGTCGTCTCCCTGTATTGGTGGTTCTCATGATTGCAAGATGGAGGCTTCTCTATGAGCTGTGAAATTATCTGGAGGTCTGGCAGAGGAAAGAGAGAAGTGGGAGAATATCCAAATGAAACAGAGCGTTGTGTGGAAAGCTCCATCCACAACAGGAGGCTAGAGTTTCACCTCCGGGCGGCTTAGCTGTGGTGCTGCTCTGTCCCATCTCTCTCACGATGTCCGAACACTTGTCAGTGTCAGTGTCACATACATCTGCTCTTGTGACACATTAACTAGAGCTGCTCATCCAAAGACAAGTCTGGGCATCAAACAGTCAAATATGTACTGTTCTGGATTCTACTCAAGATAACTTAGTAGCCAATAAACGTTCAGCACAGCAACATAAAGTCTAAAGCGTTTAGAAAACATACTGTCGTTATCAGGAAAGAACTAGGAGAACTCTGAGTCCAATGGTATCGCAACGTCTGCTGTAGAAACTGTTTATCAGCAAAGTCGCCTCCTGTGGTGTAGGTTTAAAGTGTTGCATGGATGGCTGGCCACACATTTTGCTAAACGCATTTTCCTCTCACTCCTTATTTCACCATGATCCAGAATATCTGAACCAAAAAACATGCATCTACCTAAGAATCAATGTTAAACTACTTAAACTTAAATTAATGTATTGCAAATTATTAAAAAAACCTTCCAGGCTATATGTATATTACACATAAAACATATTGGATATATCGGATTATTTTATTATTATTTTCATAACACACTAAACACACCGACTGACCAGCTAGATGGACATTTTCTCATACTTTGAATATGATTTAAATTTGATTCTTTAAACATGCAACACTAGACTTTATGTTATGTACTTGTGATCACATGAATAAAAGAGAAAACTCTCAGAAGATCGTTCTCCTATTGGTGTCCTGAATGTGTCCCACCACAGGTAGATGAAATAGAATGCATTATTGCTGCCTACGAGCAGCTGTCTTTGAAGTGAGCATTTGCATAATGTAAGTTGAGAGAATCAGGATTGTTATGCCGTATGCTCCCTCGTGCACTTCTTATCTCTCTGTCTATTTAACTTTGCATCCCTCTCTGTCACTCCCATCTATCCTATTGTATATTCTCGCTCCACTTGTACACACCAAACACCTCCTCGCCGCCTTGTTCTCTTGCTTTATTATGTACGTGTTTCCATTTTGTCGGTAGGGAGATTGATTGAAACCGGAGCTGTTAAGAGGCCACATGCAGAGGCAGGCCGGCAGCTCTGGTGTGCTGTGTCTCGCGGAGCAGGGCTATACAACGGCTATGGTTCGATGGGCTACTACCAGAATTAGCAAGTCCTCGGTGAGCTCCGGCGCTAGGATTTCCCGCTAATGAGACTCAGTGTGGTCAAGAGGGTCGCATGGGGGAATATCAGCGGAAAAACATCTGGGGGAAACTCAAGCTGACGCCATTGTAGATACAATACAATACAATACAATTTATTCTTGTATAGCCCTAGGTCACAACAGAAGTCATCTCAGAGGACTTAACAAAACCATTGAAATCACCAACACAGGTCAGAGAATCAACAGTTAAAACACATGAAGAATACAGTATAAAGCACACACAGAAGAAAATGTCCATACATGTTGTAGAATGCTAAAGTGTCCTGATCATCACCAATCCTTTCTGTTGGACACTAACTGTCCAACAAGACCCTCCTGCATCGACAAGGAAAAACTCTTAAAAAACCCAGTGGGAAAAAGTGAGAAACCTTGGAGGAGAACTAGGGAAACCCACAGGGAGGGAGACCCATCAAATATAAGGCACTATATAGCGACTGTAACATTTCCTGTTTATTTATAACCGCTGTCCCAAAGAGGGCACAACTCCCCCAACTCATTGATTTTTTTTTCGTTTTGCAGATTTTATTATGTTTCGCCTAGACTATGTTGTTGCTCCGTCTCTGTGTGCATCACTCTAGAAGCTGTTTATGGCCTCACCTCAGAGAAAGCGTCTCGAAGTCCACAGTCAGAGGAGAGCGTGGTGTTCCCAGATTCAAAACCACATTTGGTTTTGAAATCTTTCTCGTATCAAGCAATGAGCTTTTGGAACACTTTTTTTTATTGACATCATCACATATATAAACTATAAAGTGTACACAGTGTATAAAGTATCACATGTGAGAGTGTGTGTCTTGACTGTATTTTCAATTAAATGGCTGAAAACTGATGGTGTTATTGTAAAATTAATCTCAATCACTAAAAAACACTAAAGTTTGTTGTGCATTGTCCCTGTTCAAATAAATACATTCAAATTCAAGCGATGGGAATTGGTTTTAAAAAGCCACTTTGCTCATAACACCTTTGATTGTGCCGGAGAACACACAGTTTGAGTGCAGGCGTCTTTGATCCTACACTTCGTCCCTATTTGGCTCCCTCTTCTCTGCTTAAGTCTGTCACTTTAGTTGAATGGGATAGACAAGGTGCCTTTGATTTCTTTTATCACACCGGAATAACTCTTCATGTCTGATTTAACTGCCTCCGATTGGCACAAATCCACGTTTGATAGGTGCTTCACAAAAGTATCCGGCCTGATTGGGAGATTTAGTTCATGAAAAGCAAAGCACCAGTACAAAATGTGTCAGGATACTCTGTTTAATCAATCAATCAATCAAACTTTATTTATAAAGCGCTTTTCATACAATAAAATGCAACACAAAGTGATTATGTTTACTAAGGTATCACACTTAAACTGTAATTATTGTTTTATAAATATATACTGATTCTAACAATAAAAGGAGATTTATATTTAGATAAATAAATTATTACAGTCAGATATTTATACCTGTTTTTTTTTTTTTGCTTTTTTTTATCTGTATGTCTTTATATAATACTGCCTCTATGTAACTGTGGGATTATGTTCAGCTAAAAGGTAAAAATAGAAATTGTTCAAAACCCTACACAAGCAGCTCAGGTTGAAAGTTTGTGAAATCGTCCAATTTATGTATTTATTTAGAGGAAAAGATAAATCAACTCATTTCTGAGAGGGTCCACGGCATTCTTTTCCCATGGTTGGTCTCCCGTGTCTCTTCTGTGTCTTCTCTCCACATAGATTCCAGTTTTTGCACACAACACCTCCATATTGGTTCAGAATGTTTACCTGCTCTTTGTTCTTCACAGAGGACCAGCTGCCAGCAGGGTTCCCCACAATAGACATGGGCCCTCAGCTTAAAGTGGTGGAGCGCTCTCGAACAGCCACCATGCTCTGTGCTGCCAGCGGCAACCCTGACCCAGAAATTACCTGGTTCAAGGACTTTCTGCCCGTCAACACATCCAACAACAATGGCCGTATTAAGCAGCTCCGCTCAGGTAACTATCTGCACTTATCCCACTCTCCTTCGCTCTCCTTTTCAGTCCCTCGCTGCTTTTATCTCCACCTTAAGGTCTTCCCCCTGCGACTCCTGCCTTTGACCACCTCTTGATGGCTCTCGCTATTATCCGCACTCAATTTCTTACTTTTTCAGTTCCTATGTACATTCCCTGGGTTATTTCTTGCCCCTGTTCACCTCTTTCTCAGTGCTCACAGATCTGACTGTGATTATTGGCTGCCCCTCTCTGCCGCTATTGTAGTATTAGTTGACTGTGTGTATGATTGCCAAACCCCTTCTGAACTTTCTCAAAGCCTTTTAAAGTAAACTTTTTCTTCCTGCCTTTTTTTCTTTCCAAACTCTCTGAGGTCTTCCCGCACGTATCACCATCACGAAGGATTTCATTTTGCACCCAGTGAAAGAGGAATATATATATTTGTTCTGATGACTCACATAAGAGCGCCACATGCCTCTGTTTGTAGTCCCAAGTTTTGCAAGTTATATCTAGGTGATGGTGGTATGTATTTGTGGGTATGGCTTCCCAAAGATAGCTCACTGCTGTGACTAAACAACAAATAACCTCTTATTTCCCTGGATCCAAGCTTGTCTCTGCAGTGCAAGACATAAAGACACACCATGCATTTCGAATTCAATAGTACATAAATCGTTACTCAAAGATAACGGTTGTTACAGTTACTATGATCTGATGTGTTTTGTGAAGCCACAGTAGTGTGTAATATCCAGAGTTTTGACCCTGTTCTGTGATAGGAGACCCAGCACTCTGGCTCAAAGAGGAAACCTTTGCTTCTTCCCTGTCTGCAGCTTACTCCCAGTGCACAAAATCCCCCTTTTGCATTTTTACAATATTAAAAAATCAGTTTGTACACTGTGCTAAGTTTAGACTAGGCCATAGCCGTAACGGTAAGAAACAATTTGGGGGTTTAACATATTCATTAGAAAAAATGCTTTTCAAAAATGTTCAACTCGTCTGTGAAGCCGAGTTATGGAAACCAAATGTAATGCCATGCTGTTTCTTTTCTCTCTGTATCTTTTTAACCACAGAATCCTTTGGTAAGTTTGTCTGTTCCCAGGCCCACAGCCTCACTGTTCACCTCTCTATTTACGTCTTCACTAATGCTTCAACTGCTGTTTCTGCTGACACTCTCCACCTTTTCAAAAAATGGCATGAACCTTACTAACAGTCACTTAGTAAAATAACTGTACAATGTCATTTAAAAAAAACACACCAAAAGCAACATCTACACTCACCCAGACGTATCTGGCCTCACCTTCACCTGTGCACCTCCAGCTTTTCCACGCCCAAAGTAAAAAACGATATCTTCCCCACTGCTCACCTACTTACTGTTCCCCACTGTCATTACTCCCCCCTACTCTACTGTATAAGGTTACCAGTCAATAGGCCATCCCGTTTGGAAGGCTGTTAGCTTGGCCTGCACTGGAGCCTCTGGAAGAAATCAATGGCTGCCAGGTTTCAGACTCTGTTGTGTCCTATCGTCTGCTCGTGTTGAGTTTAGTCAACATGAACTTAGAGTTGATCAGTGTCTTTCAAATACAATGACTACACTAGATTTATTAATATTACTTAATGAACAGTTTCTATGGCTCTTTGTCTCTCATGATCATGGCAGCAAACAAGTGATTTGTATGTAGTTAAATGACGGATAATGTTCTAGTTTGTCACAATCAAACTGGAATTGGATAATTTTTGAAAATGTAAACTAAATTTGATTTCATGGATGGGTACATCCATCTCCCTGGCTGAGGTCACCAAGGTGGTTGGTAGCCTCCATGGTGGCAAGGCTCCGGGTGTGGATGAGATCCGCCCTGATTATCTAAAGTCTCTGGATGTTGTAGGACTGTCTTGGCTGACACGTCTCTGCAACATCGCGTGGCAATCGGGGGCGGTGCCAATGGAGTGGCAGACCGGGGTGGTGGTCCCTCTCTACAAGAAGGGGGACCGGAGGGTGTGTTCCAATTATCGTGGGATCACACTCCTCAGCCTCCCCGGTAAGGTCTACTCCAAGGTACTGGAGAGGAGGCTACGGCCAATGGTCGAATCTCGGATCCAGGAGGAGCAGTGTGGTTTTTGTCCCGGTCGCGGAACACTGGACCAGCTCTATACTCTCCATCGGATACTCGAGGGTTCATGGGAGTTCGCCCAACCTGTCCACATGTGCTTTGTGGATTTGGAGAAGGCGTTTGACTGTGTTCCCCGGGGTGTCCTTTGGGGGGTTCTCCGGGAGTACGGGGTCGGAGGTCCTCTGCTGAGGGCCATCCGATCCCTGTATGACCGGAGCCAGAGCTGTGTTCGCATTGCCGGCAGTAAGTCAGACCTGTTCCCGGTGAATGTTGGCCTCCGGCAGGGCTGCCCTTTGTCACCGGTTCTGTTCACTGTATTTATGGACAGAATATCTAGGCGCAGCCAGGGGTCGGAGGGGGTCCGGTTCGGAGACCACAGGATTTCATCTCTGCTGTTTGCGGACGATGTTGTCCTGTTGGCTCCAACGAACCAGGACCTGCAGCATGCACTGGGACGGTTTGCAGCCGAGTGTGAAGCGGCTGGGATGAGAATCAGCACCTCCAAATCCGAGGCCATGGTGCTCGACCGGAAAAAGGTGCCTGCCCTCTGCAGGTGGGTGGAGAGGTCCTTCCTCAAGTGGAGGAGTTCAAGTATCTCGGGGTCTTGTTCACGAGTGAGGGAAGAATGGAGCGTGAGATTGACAGGCGGATCGGTGCAGCATGCGCAGTTATGCGGTCGCTGTATCGGACCGTTGTGGTGAAGAGGGAGCTGAGCCGAAAGGCAAAGCTCTCGATTTACCGGTCAATCTTCGTTCCCTCCCTCACCTATGGTCATGAGCTTTGGGTAATGACCGAAAGAACGAGATCGCGGATACAAGCGGTCGAAATGAGCTTCCTCCGCAGAGTGGCTGGGCGCTCCCTTAGAGATAGGGTGAGGAGCTCAGTCACACGGGAGGAGCTCGGAGTAGAGCCGCTGCTTCTCCACGTCGAGAGGAACCAGTTGAGGTGGCTCGGGCATCTGTTCCGGATGCCTCCTGGACGCCTCCCTGGGGAGGTGTTCCGGGCACGTCCCACCGGGAGGAGGCCCCGCGGAAGACCCAGGACACGCTGGAGGGACTATGTCTCTCAGCTGGCCTGGGAACGCCTTGGGGTCCCCCCGGACGAGCTGGAGGAAGTGTGTGTGGATAGGGAAGTCTGGGCGTCTCTGCTTAGACTGCTGCCCCCGCGACCCGGCAACGGATAAAGCGGAAGAAAATGGATGGATGGATGGATGGAAATTTGATTTCAATCCAATTATTTTACAAAACGCTCATTTTGGACAGTACACTGTCATCTTAAACTCTTTTTTTATTCAGTGTCGTTTACTCATTACAACAACAAATTATATGATTTTTATAGTTTTAACAACCATACTGGCTATATCTAGAGAATCTAAGGCCCACCAAATCTTCTACCCGATTTCACTACTAAAATATTGGAATGTTTATATATTTTTTTAATGGGCCACCACAAACAGCACTGTATATAGCCTCTCTCTGTCTCTGAAGTACGTTAAATGCACTGTGCACCGGCCCTGCTGTCTCGTATTAGCGCACTGCACTATTACTCTGTAAACACACTCATGCCCTGCTCTCCTGGGCTGCATTCACCTGACATTTACCACTGATGCTTTAGATCAGTTTTTTCCCCAATTGTCTGGGATATTAGAATAAAGCACCACAAGCAAATAGAAAAATCAATACAAACATGATTCACCTTGTCTTTTTGAGCCGCGTTATCTTATCGGACGTGGAATTTCTCCTTTCAAATACACGCATAATATTTGTTCAATGTTGACAACCTCAAATTAAACATATTGGATCAGACAGAACACAATTAGGTGGAATGACTTATGAGAAAAGCTGTCACACATTACAGCCACATCTGCCTCAGCAAAGTCAACGAAGATGAATCGATAAGCTATCTCTTATCGCTCTGTCACTCTATCTATCCTCCTCTTCTCCTGTCATTTATTATTCTCTCTGGCTCTTGTTTTTCTCTGCACAACACAAGATCTATAGTTTAAGTCTATTATTTTCAAGCACACCCTGCCCCAGTCCTTATACGTTCAGAATCCCTCCCTTGACCCTCTCCCCTTTTGTGGTACTAACAATTTCTTCTTCTTTTTCTCTAATCTCGTGCATTCATTGCTCACTCAGGTGGCACGCCCATACGAGGTAAGACTGCTGGGAGGACCAACGAGACACACTCATTCATTTCCAGCTCCTGCACTCTGCTCTTTAGCTAACAGTAAAGTTATTACGCATTTGGCGGGATAAGATTTATGCTATAGATCGCGTTCATGTGACATCAAAAACGTATACTTTGAAATTAGACAAATCTTTCCTGCTATGTGCGGTGAGATTATTGCTAATTTCTCTGCATGGTAATTCCTGGGACAATCTCCACATGATCTTCTTTGTCAGTACATATCAATTATGGTCTTGTTATTTTCTCATAAAAGTATCTAGAAGTGGTGGCAATATTGAGAAAACATATGTATGACGTTTTAATAAGAATAACATGGCGGGTTTGTGAATCCAATCAAACAATGATTTTCTTTTTCAAAATGTCTTTCCCTTAGAGGAGTATTTGGCATCTACCCTGCAAATGAAATATATAGAACATGGACCCAACCAATTAAAATTTGCTATGGACACCAAGTTATTTAGTAGAAGTACCTCTTTGTTCACATGGTGGTAGATGTGTGCCTCCAATGAAATATGGCCGCTCTAGACGCCAGCAGAGTTTGAGATGCATATTATTCTAGTGCGAGCTTTTGGAATCGGTTTGGAGTCATATTTGTGCGTTGAATTATGAACCATGTGTGCTGTTTTTGTTGGCTCCTCCAGTCCTTGAAAGCAATAATATCCTATATACATGTACATATAAGGTCCCTAAGAGAAAACTGGTTCAGATCTGCTGGCGTAATATTGTTTGTAGGAGTAACAAAAAACAAATCTTATGGACAATCAAGTTTATTTATAAAGCACAATTCATACAGTGCAACCCAAGTGCTTTACACAGACATATTATCGTACACATTTACAAAACATTTAAAACACAAGGTCAAATATTAATAATAATAACTGAATAAGATTGAATGTCAGAATTAAAACTGTATACAAGCTCAATATATAGAGTCATATGCACAGCTAAAAAGAGCAGTTTTCAGCTTAGACTTAAACAGTGCGAGAAATGAGGCGTTCCTCATGTCAACAGTATGGCAATGTCAATATCAACGCCAGCTGCCCAAAGTGCTTCACAGGCACGAAAGAAAACAGCTTAAAATACATACACATACATGTAAAAGTAAAATGGTAAAACTTAATTGGTTTAAAAGCCAAGGCATGAAAAATGACTAGACTAGATTTAAAAAACTGAAGGAGCTGCTCTAATGTACAATACAGAGGCGTCCCTCATGAGGCCAACACCATTAGGAAGACAATTTTCTTTTTTTCTTTTTTTTACAATACATAACATTGAATATAGTCTTGTCTGCGCTTTTCTTTCTTATTATTGATTTTATGTCTTCTAGAAGCCTAAATACACACTTCTATAGTAATAGTAATGTTGTAAGGACCATTCAGTCATAGCATAGATGGAGTGAATCATTGCCCCTTCGTCAGCCGTGTTAGTGAAATGTGCAAGTGCAGGAGATGGAACAGGAACAAAGCCACATCCATCTTTTGTGTTCATCTCCTCATGTCAGTGTCCGTCTGTCCTTTTACATCTCCATCGGCTAAATGGATGGATAGCATGTCTTTTTAATTTGTTTTTCTTTTCATGTTGAGGTGGCAAAGCAATCTCTTTCACCTCAAATGACTTGTTTTCCTCTCATTTTTTTTTTCTCTTCAATTTTTTGGCGGGTCTTGACCAGAGTTTGACCTTTGCCTCTTGTTCTACCGTGTCTGTATTTTCCAAATCAAGCGCCCTGGTTTGTGTTTTCCCTCCCAGCTGTTTATTCACTTGGGCCTGAAAAGTACAGATGGCAACGCGACTCTCAAACGCACACACACATATTTTTCTCATAGTTTTTACCATTTCTCTTTTCTCTCATTATGGATAAAAAGCCCCAAACAACCACTTTTTTGATAAAGTTTTTGTGGGCGCTTTTTTGCCTCACCACACCATCTTTGAAGAAAGCTCTGGTTGACTTTTTTGACAGTTTTTCTGATTTCAGGGAGTGTGAACACAACGGTCCCTTTCCAAGGCTTTGCGTATGTCGTTATATTTTTTTGAGGTTGATGTTTTTACCTCCTTATATGGGCTGTGTTTTGAATGACATCACACTCCTGATCCCGATGGTGGATCCGTAAAACAAAATACATGTATAACTCCCAATACAGCTTCATTGCAGTTTTCAGCAGAGATTGAAAACATTGTGACAAGACGTCTTCACATTTTGGATGCTTGGTTTACTGATTGTGCCTTGCATGAAGATTGCATTTTTCATTAAAAAATATGCTTTTTTGGGATTTTCACATTTATAAAAATTGTTTTTTTTGGTTTTTTCCTTTGGAGCATTTGCTGCTGATTTCTCTTTGGCTTAATTTGTTCATTTTTGAAAACTTAACTCAATCCAGAATCCTGTCTTGGTATTTATAGCCATACTTGTGATGATACTTCTGTTTGACTCTCCCTCTTTCTCTCTTTGTCCACTTCCATCTGCTGTCACACAGGTGCCCTTCAGATTGAGATGAGCGAGGAGTCGGACCAGGGGAAGTATGAATGCGTAGCCACCAACAGCGACGGCACTCGCTACTCCACTCCAGCCAATCTTTACGTCAGAGGCAAGTCTAGGCTTCAACACAATCAAAGAGATGGAAAATAGAATGCATTTTGTATTAGTGACTGTTCCGATGTAGTAGTAGTATTAGTAGTATTTTATAGTAGTATCTTTATTTCGAATTATTAATTGTTCATAAATATACAGTATATTAAATTCAAAAAGGAGAAGGTACTTTTGTTATTTACCCCTTATTGCATGTTTTTACTGGAGTTCTAATGATTTAGTTAGATTTACAGTCACAACTTACATAAACATCAGAGATTTTTCTTCGATATTTTTGAAAGTCGTTACCATAAATAGTCATAAAAACTAAACTGTTTCACTCACGCCGCTGTATAGCAAATGTCTGTTTCTTCTTCACTGTAGCAAAAGTGATTTTTCAACTTGAGAAATTGTGTTGTTGTCTCTACGTTTAGTCTGTTATTTCCGAAGACAAGATAGGAAAGTCATGAATAAATGTTTCCTCACTTCAAGTTAAGCCAGAGCCTGTGCTCACTCTAGCTATTAATCTCTGTGCCCTCCTGTCACAGCCTTTAGACCTCAGAGAAAAAAATGAATCATTGTCTGGTTGAAACTTGTGTTTTTCTGCAAATCTGACAAGCATCACCCGTCCTGAGGCACAGTGTCTCTGCAGAGGGCTTCAACACACAACCACAAAAACCTAAATGTTGGAGTGTTGGACGCAGCTTTATTCCTCAGGCCGTTTAGCTTGTGTCTGCTCGTTCAAGAAAATAGGCCCATGCAGAAAACAAATGTGTCTTTGTGAGAAACATGATTTGTGCACCCAGACGTTTTACTCTATTTTGCACATATTTTACATAAGATATTGACTCGAACGCTGCAGTCATGGTTAGTTTTATTATCATTAGGAGATAGAGTAGCAGTAGTGGGAATAGTGAGATTAGCAGGAGCAGTAGAAGCATCAGTAGTAGTAGAATCAGTAGTAGAAGTAGAAGCAGAGGAAGTAGTAGCATAGCAGTAGAATAAGTAGTAGTAGTAGCAGTAGTAGAAGCAGCGGTAGTAGTAGAATCAGTAGTAAAAGTAGATGTAGCGGTAGCAGTAGCAGTGGAATCAGCAGTAGGAGTGGGAGTAACACAAATAGTTGTCAAACGGTTGGAGTTGTCTTTCCTCCTGTGACACCATCAACACATCAGCAGTAGTATTTGTTCTTCTTCAGATGCCTGTCCTGTCTGTAGACGCCTTTAGGATTCCCTTTTGTCTAACTCTCTTTTCTAATCTCCTTCCTCCTCCTCCTCCTCCTCCTCCTCCCTCTGCGCTCTGTCTCACCTCCCTCTGCAGAGCTCCGAGAAGGTTGGTACAGTAATCATGCATGGCATTCCACTGAGATTTTTTTTCTTCCATTAAACTGTGTCTGTGATGAGGGGTTTGTATTTATTTTATTTTTTATAGACACTTCATACCCTGGAAGTCCTCTCAGGGACTTTTGTGTGTGTATGTGTGTGTGTTTGCTGTGACTATCTTTTGTGACTCAGATCATCAGATCATGAAATATTTAATGTAGCACACCTACAAACATTGTGAATAAAACATGTGGATATCACACGCACCCAGCGCAGATGTTTGGATGTTTATGAATGCTACAAAACTTCATTGTAACCAAAGTGCCACATAAAATAACACTCTCACACTAGTGTCCATCCACTGTCGGGCTGAAAAACACACTTCTATTGGTCGAAATCGCAAAGATTGCAATTACTCAAGTCCTTCGGACTAAAGTGCAGTAGTGGCTATTTTTGTTGTCCATACTCTAGGGCAAACAAGGTCATTTGTGCTCGTTTGCCAAACATGCTCTAAAACATTAATTTTCTCAAATAAAACTTTTGTAATGCTGGAGTACCTAACTTTTATGTTTCACAAAAAGCTTAGTTTTCCCATCCAGCCATCCCACAGTATTACTAACGTGCCCCGGGGCTTCCCCGGGGTCTCCTCCCGGGGGGACATGCCCGGAACACCTCCCCAGGGAGGCATCCATGAGGCATCCGACATGTAGATTGTCTAACAGAAAGAATCTTGTGAAAGTAAAACGTGAACAAATCAGACCACAACATTCTGTTATTAGAAATCATCTTTTGCATCGTTGTAAGGAAGAGCCCTGTGAGTCACTCTTTGATTCACTCAAACAGTGACTCACAGTTTATGACAGTGACTATTCTGTCACGCATCTGGAAACCAGTGATAGAACCAAAATGTACTGAATGAATGGAACTCATGCAATGGATTTTACTCCATTTTGTTTAAAAAACTGTGAAAGTTCATTCTCCAGCGTTATGAAATCTTTGAGCTATGTATTGTGTTTTTCGAATTCTATTTGCACTCTAAACAAAACCCACATTTTTAAACTAAAAAGCATCACAATGTTTATTTAAAAATAGAAATAATATATTCCTTTGCTCCTTCCAGTGCGACGGGTTCCTCCTCGCTTCTCCATTCCCCCCGCGGACAGTGAGATCATGCCCGGAGGAAACGTCAACATCACCTGCGTGGCTGTCGGCTCGCCCATGCCCTACGTCAAGTGGATGCTGGGAGCAGAAGACTTGACCCCAGAGGACGACATGCCCATCGGCCGCAACGTGCTGGAGCTGACCGATGTGCGGCAGTCCAACAATTACACGTGTGTGGCCATGTCCACTCTGGGGGTGATAGAGGCTGTGGCGCAAATCATCGTGAAAGGTGAGTCACCCAATCATAGTGGAAAATAAGGGATTGCCTCGAGTACCAGCGCACTCTAAAGGATACTGCTACCAAACTAATATTTGTGTGTTGGTATATACAGTTGGGGTTGAAAGTTTGTTTTAATGATTATGAAAGGATAACACAAATGTCAACTCATCATTATTGTATATTTTTACATTATCACATCATTGAGCCTCTCTGGGGAGATCTAAAACGTTCATGCAAGGTAGTCCAGAAATTTACTGGAGGCTTTTTGCCAATGAGGATACAGTACCTCAAACCTCTCAGGGAGCATAACAGGGTATTGGGAATTGGGGGCTGTCGTGATTATCATTAAAAATCTAAAATAGAAAACCCATTTATTTGACCATAAATGGCCTCACAAAACCACAAGCAATAAGTCGGAAATGCTTTTATTTATAATCTGCAGATTTGGGGAAAATCTGCTTGGGTGTGTAAACTTTCAAGCACTACTGTACATGTCTTGTATTTGTTTTTGTTTTTTTGTGATAATCTTTACTTGGAAGCATGAAGCAAGGAACTGCATTATACAGAAACAATGCAAATCAATATGTACATAAGATTCATACAGATAAGGAAAAAAAAGAAAGTAGGAAGGACAGCGGGGATTCTAATCTGGTTTTGGGCTGTAGTGAGTGTGTGTTTGTGTGTGTGTCACTGTTATTGCTGGATATTGCTACAAAAGTTCGGAAATGTAGTTATTGATGTATGTAACAGTGTGAGGACTTTGTTTTATTGTGTTAGTGGGTCTGTGGGATAGTGCAGTTGTGGTGCATAAAAAAACAAGGTGCATTATGGGGTTTTCAAAGGGAGTATTGGCTTCCTCTGAGCGAGCCTGGTCTGTGTACAGTATGTCTGGTCGAAATCTCCTGTTCTTTGTGTCTCCTCTTCTTTGTGATACACGTCTTGTATATTTCTGCTTGTAGCACTCCCAAAGCCTCCAGGAATCCCTATGGTGACAGAGCGAACAGCAACTAGCATCACTCTGACCTGGGACTCTGGCAACCCTGAGCCTGTGTCCTATTATATCATACAGGTTCGTTTTAGCCATGTCAGCTATTTTTGATCTCCATCCTCTAGAAAATAATAATCATCTCGTCATTTGCAGCATCGTGCCAAAGGTTCAGAGGATCCCTATAAGGAGATTGATGGAATTGCCACGACACGTTACAGTGTGGGTGGCCTTAGCCCTTATTCCCATTATGATTTTCGTGTGGCTGCTGTGAACACCATTGGTCAGGGTCCTTCCAGTGAAGCAGTGGAGGCCCGTACAGCTGAGCAAGCCCCGTCTTCTCCTCCGCGACAGGTGAGAAACGTGTTCAGCAAGGGGGCTCTGTTCATGTTTACCAAGGGTCAAGGGATTGTTTATGGTCCAACGGCTGAACTACAAAACCGCTTTCATTGTATTCTGTAATAAACGTGGTCTCTCGTTAATTGCACGGGGTTAAGTTCTAAAAATAATCCATGGTCATACATTGTCTAAAATGTTTTATAAAAAATAATGATAATAATAATAAGGTCCGAGGCGCAACCGACTTTAAAGAAAGATCCTTTAATTACTCGGGACACTAACACGTTTCGACCACTTAGGTCTTCATCAGGAAAGACAATCACTTTTCACAATTCAATTTTCTAAGTATTGTCTCGATACTATCCACAAACAACAGTTTTTCAAGAAGCTAGAACAGAAGCAATGCTAAAGCAAGTTAAGAATTGTTAGATCTAGACTAGAACTACTCACAGTATCAAAACAACGTCTGGTTTAATTGGTTTGAATTCACTTTTGCTTGTTGTGTCTGCAATATTCAGTTTAGTTATACATTCAGATTAACTCAATCTCTCTAGTCGACTGAAGTGTTATTTTATATGGACCACTTTCTGTGAATTACCTTTCTATCCCATTCTTTGTCATCTGCAGGTCCGGGGTCGTATGTTGAGCACCACCACGGCCATTATTCACTGGGATGAACCCGAGGAGCCCAATGGACAAGTTGTGGGCTACAGAGTGTACTACACCATTGACAACCTGCTGCCAGTCAATCAGGTGAGGTCTTGTGGAGTTTGAAGAGGAGGATTTGTCCTTTGCAAATAATAAATAGCTGAACATGCCTTACATGACGAGAAAGCATATTGCATTCCATGTTAGAATAAGGTTTGGTTCTGTTTCTGCTGTGCAGTGGGAGAAGCAGATGGTGCGCAGCGCCAACTTCATCACTATCCAGAGTTTGACTCCTAACAAGACGTACTACATCAGGGTTATGGCGTTCACATCTGTGGGAGATGGACCTCTGTCTCAGGACCTGCAGATAATTGCTAAGACTGGAGGTATGACATTTCTCCAATTTATAACAAGTAGACCAAAAGGGACAATATTTTAACAGTGCCTTTCTGATTAGTTAATATTGCTCACTAATTTCAATGTTCTATGACGTTGTAGTTCCCTCCCAGCCCTCTGAGTTTAAAGGTGAAGCCAAATCTGAGACCAGTATCCTCCTGTCCTGGGTGGCACCGCCCCAAGGAGGTCCGGACAACCAGATCACGGGGTATGAGCTGGTCTACCGACGATCTGATGAGACAGAGGAGGTAGGATGGAGATGTCAAAGTAATTAAACAGTACTTAGCTCCAATAGAAAATCTTACATATGTTTGTTGATGTTGTTTATTCAACAGAAGAAAGTTAACTTTGAGCCAACAACTTCATATCTTCTCAAGACTCTGAAGCCTTTCTCCACCTACACTTTCCAACTGGCAGCAAAAAGCAAACATGGAGTTGGAGCTTACACGAATGAAGTGTCCATAGACACACCCCAGACGCGTAGGTCCAGCCACTGTTCTGTGTGCATGTGATGAAGGATGTGTGAGTGCTCTCTCTGCTGACATTGCAAAAACTTCAGACTGAAGCAACACAGTTTCAGAAACATTTTGGTAATTTGTAAATAATTACATAGTACAGTTTCAATTCAAAGTGTTCAATTGTTTCAATTTAGTTATTTCTTTTTGCATTGTCACAGAAAGCCAAGTTATAAATGACCTCAGATTTGATTATAGATAAATTAATTCACGTATTACTCAATCTGACATAAATTTACATTCATAATACTTCAAACTGGTTCTAATCAATCTGAGATCTTTAGTCATGACAGTAAAGGTAAGAAAGTGTAGTAGAGAAATCCGTCATGATGGCTTGAGTAGGCTATATGGACGAGAGCTATGGTCAGGTATGTGCACGTGTAGTCACTGTTTCGATGTTCCATTTCTTGGGTCATTCACGTTTTCATTAGGCGAACAGAAGTCCACATTAATTTTTTTATATGAGCTTCTGTTTTCCAGTGTTTTGTTTTCACTTTGTTTCTTTGTCTTTTGTTTCCTGTCTCTCATCTGTCATCCCAATTCTTTCACCATAAACCTCACCTTCGCTTGTCCACCCAATAATGATAATACACACATCCTCATGACACTTACCTAAACTTACCTATTACCTTCAAATCTGGTAAATTAGTCCCTGCAGCACCACCTCAGAATATCACATGCAGCAGCCCCTCTTCTACCAGCATCCTGGTAAGTTGGGCGCCCCCTCCTGTGGAGTTTCAGAACGGCATTATATCGGGATACGCCATCCAGTACTCCAACACTGAGGGCAACAAAACATTCAAAACCGTCAACGGAGTTCCACCTGAAAGTGCATCCTTTCTTCTGGAAAACCTGGAGAAATGGACTGAATATGGGATAACGGTACGCGCCAAGACGGAAGCCGGTGATGGACCTGAAAGCTTACAACTGCTTATCCGCACGGAGGAAGATGGTATGTTTCCAAACAAACCTCTCAAATGGGAGAATTCTTCCTGCTAACAAAGGCTAACGAATACTAACAACTCCAAGCAACTGTTTCTGTCTATGTCAACTGATGCATTGGGATCCTCCTCTCTCTCTCCGACACCTGGAAAAGTTCCTCCCTATTTTCCCCAGTTTTTCAAGGCAGCCATTTTCTCCAGTTTGCATCCTGATTCTTTCCTATTGCACCCATTTTACCAGTTTTTGTACGAGCGGAAATAACCCAATAACACCTCGCAAATTTTTACCTTAGCCTTTCCAAAACCTTCCTGACCTAACACCAGTCCCATGATGCAATGTTTTTGATTGTCCTGTTTAACCTTCATTATCTCCTTATATCAATAGTTGTGAATCTACCTGCTTACTTTATATTATTGAGGGTGGTTTCAGATTGCAAAAAGTGGCTAGATATTTTTTATATATTTTTTAGCAATTTTGGCAGTGTTTTTTACTCGTATCTGCCATTTATATATTTTTTTACACATATACAGATATTTTATACATTTTTATTAACCATATTGGATTTTTTCTGGCACAAAGAAGTCTTTTGTTTTGTATCGGCTTTTTTTTAAGTACATTGTGACTCCTGACCTCTATTCCAAAATGCATTTGTAGTTCCAAGTGGCCCTCCCCGTGGAGTGCAGGCAGAGACAGTGAACGCCTCAGCCCTTAGAATAACATGGGGTGCCCCGGCTCCAGAGCGGCAGCATGGTCAGATCCGAGGCTTCCAAGTGCACTATGTAGCGATGAAGTATGGAGAGCCTCAAGGCCAGCCCCTCATCAAGGACATCCTCATGGAAGACACACAGGTAAACATTTCATTCTATATACATGTAGCTGCGTGATGTTCTATACAACTATTTTAAATCGCTCTAGCTACTGATATAACATAGAATTTAAATGTCTTAGATTACTATTTTCATGTGCAGTATAACAGAACATACTGTACCACAATGAAATCGGCTTAAATCTAAACAGTTCTATTCTTATTTTTCCCATATTTTCCGGTTCCGTTACACAGTGGGGATCCGAGGAGTCAACTGAATATGTACGTGTGTATTTTTTCACTTTTATAAACTGTTCTGGGATGCCTAGCTTTCATATCTAACTAGTACATGGCTTTCAACAGTCTGGTTCTATCACTAGTTTTCAAATGGATTGTATTCTTTGGCCCCAGTCAGAACTTTAGAGCAACTATTTCAGACGGAAATTTGAAAAAGAGAGGACCATGCTTAATCTGCTAATCTGCTCTCAGCTCAAAATGTCAAAGGGTGATTCTCAGGGCTCATTTTCCAAAAGTATGCAAAGTATTGTTGTTGTGACAAATCAAAAGTTAGGTACCCCAGCTCTGAGCTAAGATTTTGTTAAATCATGACGTGCGCTGCTTTGCCTGAAGTTTGCTGTTGTTGCAGGAGGTGGTTCTGGGAGAGCTGGAGGCTGACACCTCGTATTCGGTGTCAGTGGGGGCTTACACGGCTAAGGGAGATGGTGCACGGAGCAAACCTGTCAGCGTGTGCACGGCTTTGCCTTGTACGTATTCACCAACATAAATTAATTACAGAAGATGAAGAGCTTTTATAACCATTCAAATGTCAAAATTAATGGTCCTGAGCAAATTAGAAATATTTTATGTCAGCCCAGTGTGTGAATCAAGCCAATTCTTCATGATTTAAATGACCTGGTTTCAAATGTGAACACCCGGATGTTTGTGAGGAGACCTTTGCTAATGATCATTAGAGAGACTATTGAATGGTCATCCATTTAAATCCTCGTGAAAAGAAATCTGTAATTGAATGAAAAAATCCTTGTCAATGCCTATTGTCTGTTATTTTTGCTAATCACAGATCATTTCCTGCCATTATTTGTATATATTTGTATAAGTCACAGACGTCCTTTTGTGTCCTCTTCTCTAGTTCCAAAGATGCCCAAGCTGATGGTTAGTGCCACTGAAGCAGGTACAGCCCTTCTACAGTGGTACCCGGCTCTAAACCCTCCCACTCCGCTCCTCGGGTATAGGCTCACTTTTGGTCGCATTGATGTCCTTCCGTTTACGGTGGTTGAGTTTCCAGCAAAAGAAAACCGCTACACTGCGCAAGACATCCATAAAGGAGCGAGCTATGTATTCCGACTCTCTGCCCGGAACAAAATGGGGTATGGGGAGGAAGCTGTGAAGGAGGTCAGCACTCCAGAAGATGCTCCAAGTGGATATCCAGAGAATATTATCGCAGAAGAAGCAGCTGCCACCTCCATGCGTCTTGCTTGGAAAACAGTTCCTCTCATTGAACAAAATGGCAAAATCACAAAGTACTCTGTGCTGTTCAAGGATATCAACAGTCGAGGCAATGCCTCAGAAGTTGTGGTGTCCTCACCAAAGTGCAGTGTTGTTTTGGAAGCTCTTATTCCAGACACAGTGTACGAAGTCAGAGTGTGCGCATTTACAGGTGTGGGCCAGGGGCCTTACAGTCCCAATGTCCAATTTCGGACGCAGCGGCTGGATCAAGGTATGCTCCTTTCCTTCCCTAGAGACTTTCTCTCCAACAGAAGCGTCTGACTACTGACAGTTCCACAACCACTCACAAAACACCCCAACATCTCAGTAATCACATTCTGAGTGTCCTTTTCATTGTCTTGTCACTGTAGTCATAGACAGAACGTCTTTGTGCAAAGCAAGGTAAGAGCCCGGGGTCCTGGGTGAGTGTTGTTATATAGACTAGACTCTACATAGTGTAAGTAGAGCAGAGGAATGAACTCACTCACACCACAGTGATGGAGCAGACGATGTACTGGATTTGAATATACAGTAACACCAATATTATTTCTGCTTTTTCTTATTATAGTTTTTGCCACCAATTTCCGAGTGAAAGCTGCTATGAAAAACTCAGTGCTCCTTTCCTGGGAGATCCGAGACAAGAACCCCGTTCAACCATTCACTGTAAGTGGCTCCACTATGACCTTTAGGAAGTTTAAGAACTTTAACTCCATGGGTCTAGACACAGTGTAGTTTGAACTCTCATCTCTGTGTGTAGATCCTTTATGGGAAAGGCCAGTCTGTGGAAGTGGAAGGGAAACAGACTCAAAAGTTGATCACTGGTCTGGAGCCAGACACACAGTATTCCTTCTTACTCACAAACCGAGCCAACAGCGCTGGAGGCCTGCAGCACCGAGTCACTGCCACCACGGCCCCAGACCTGCTGAAGACCAAACCCACCGTGGTGGGAAAAACCAATGCAGACGGTATGGTGACCGTGCAGCTGCCGACCGTCCAGACCACTGCTAAAGTCAGGTAATGATGACAGATGTGAGGCTTGTTATTACAGCAATAACTTATTCAAATGATTGCCTTAAATGGGTTTTTAACGTGGGGAATATGTTCAAGTTGTTGTCATAGAATTGTTGCTAAGATCCACTGAGGTCATTTCAATGTTTTGTTCACACATCTGTGTTTCATTTAGTGGACCACTAGGATGGATTTGTCTGAGCTGTCGGCACAGCCAGTAGAAGAACTCCCAAATGAAAAACACTTAAAATCTGCCGATGACCAAATGCTGTAAATATTATTGGCACATCAGCCACACTGCAAATGTTCTGGCTCATCACTTCCACATTCAGAACAGTAATAATAAAGCATCACTTTTAAATATACCTGCTCATCTAATTATAGTCTGCTTTAAACATCCAACTCTAGGTCATCTTTTAATATGTGCAATAATAGAGCTAAATAACAATAAAGCGACACGCATGAAAGTGCACGCAGTAGGAACATGAGAATCATGTGAGTCATCACCCTCTCTGTTTTTCCAGCGCTTATAGTCTGTGTTTTACCAAAAGACCCATCAGTGGAGAGGTTTTTGTTCTCACACAAGGCTTTAAAACTAACTTCCTTTCCCTGATGTTTGGATTTATTGTGTATTGTTGCAGCTGTGGTAACATGTTGGCGTTGGAATAACATGGTGGACGGCTGATGTTTCCACAAGCCTAACTGAAAAAGCAATCAGGTTTCGGTGTGTTTCATCTGGACTCATCCCAGACCTGACTCTGTTACAGGGGCTACTATGTTGTGGTGGTGCCGCTGAAGAGACAGAGAGGAGGCAAGTTTCTCAATCCATGGGAGGATCCAGATCAGATGAATTTAGATGAGGTGAGGCATGAAAAATATTTGTTAAACATACTAAATAAATGAATCATGCTTTTGGCTAATAGTGGGGCAATTATATGTACAGGACTTCTGGTTATGGTAGATATATTTTGAAAGAAACTGCTGAGTTTACTTTAAACTTTTCATTTTGTGGCCATTTTTTCCGTTTTAATGTGCAAGTGTATGGTCTCAAAACCCATTTCCTAATCATTTCCAACAATGCCATTCCCCATCTAATTCCACATCCTTCCTTTGCCAAAGACTTCATTGCCTCATTATGCAGTTGTGAAAGCACAATCATGTGTGTGAGATTAGAATGAGTGGAGGGCTTTATGGTGCCCGCTGTCTGAATAGATACATTTTGATAGCCACACAGGAGATGATGAAGTCATTGGCGGTGAAGGTGTATTACCCAGAGATTTGGTTCTTTCACTGATGAGTCTTTTCATAGAATTCATATTGTCTTTTTTCACAGTGAAGTAGTTTATTCAAAACTTACCACTTCCTGTAAAAATATGAAATGTACCATATAGGAAAAAAATGTTTAGTATTACTAAATTAGTTTTTAGTTTAGTAATACATTTTACCATCTCAATAAAACATCTAGACAATAAATGACAGTAGGAAACAGGCTGACTGTGTATTTGTCATTTGTGTGTGTTTAGCTGCTGAAGGAGATCAACAGAACCAGCGTAAGCCGCGCACTTCGTATTCGCAGACAAGCGAGCCAATCAGATCCCAGAGCATACGTGTCCGCCCACTTCAAAACGCTCCCGCTTGAGTTCACGTTAGGAGATGGGCGAAACTTTGGAGATTTCCGCAACCGCCCTCTGCAGAACGGACAGGAGTATGTGTTCTTTGTGTTAGCGCTGCTGGACCTCTCCGAAAACGTAAGCCATGAAGACTCAGTGTCATTTCTTTGAGTATTCACAACAACAACAAAATACTCAAATCTTCTGACTTTTTTTAGACCATGTTTTCCACAAGCCCCTACTCGGACCCAGTGACATCATCGGATGTGGATCCTCAGCCAATCATAGATGAGGAGGAGGGGCTACTGTGGGTCGTCGGGCCTGTACTTGCGGTCATCTTCATCGTTTGCATTGTCATCGCCATTTTGCTTTTTAAAAGGTATGTTTACCTTTATTCGTCCCACAGTGGGGAAATTTCAGTGTTGCATCACAGGTTGCAGAAAAGTAGGAATGAGGAGCAATGGCCTCAAAGTATAAACTGGTAAACTTTGAGGTTCAACCTATATACTCAGTATATAATATTCAGTGATAGTGATACTACCTACTACATTTTAGCAGTCTGGACTTGCACATAATTGCACAGACGCCTGCCATGAGGTCAGGTCAGCAGTGTTCATCAGTCTTCGTTGTTCATTGCACATTTCTTTCAGTCTTTCCTATTCTTATCTATACAACTGTGATTTGGGAGCTTAGTCTAGACTTCCACTCTGCCATTGTCTCTATAATTCAGAGCCAGTGTGTGTGCATAAAACCAGGTGGTGGGCTTCCATTCTTTATGGAAGAGTAACATTAAGGGTTATATTTAACACATTACAGGTACTTATTAACCCCATGTTGTGGTAATGTGTTAGTAATCATAGTTTATACGAGTACAAATTAGTAGAACACTGAAGTATTTATTTATTTACCATGAAACAGTAAAGAAAGCAACAAACTCTTTCTCTGAGGCTTAAGGTGTAAATAATCGCAATGTGACTTTATTTTCTCTATTAGAATGTAGCAGAATGTAGCATGTTTGAGTGCACTGTTCTTTCTTCAATGAGTATATCTTGCCTTATTTACGCAAGGTGCTTTTTTTGCACATCTATCACAATATTAAGGCATGAGGGACTTTTCTGGACGAGCTCAGCATTACCTGCCCCTGATGCTTTTTGATTGGACACTAATGTTATGCATTTCTGTCTGTCCTTTTATCTGCTGCTCTCCTTGTTTGGATCCAGCAAACCTGACAGGTAAACAACCTCTGCTTATTATCGTTTCTCATCCCCTACAAGGGCATTTGTCTTTGCCAAGAAGATTTCATATAATAGATCTCAAGAGACTCTAGCTTCATTTGATGTTTCTTTGATGATTCTGATGTAAAGTGCACTTGCAAACCAAAATACTGCATGAAGCACAAGGGCAGACATTGATCCATTTATTAACAAAAAACAAGCTGTAATACTAACGCTTTTTTCAACATCTCCGACGAGTAATCCTTGGCAATCACAATCAGTTTTATAAAGACTTGTAACACTGTTTTCTCTTGATGTATGCCCTCATCACTGGGATTTCAATTATATCCTGAAATTGCCCTGTGGCCAAGAATGAGAGTTTGAAAGACTACACTGCTTTTGATGGTTTTTGAACGTCTTCATTCTGTGTGTTTGCTATTCCAGGAAAAGAGCTGAGGCTGAGGGCAGGAAGGCGAGTTTTCCTTGCAGCAAAGCGATGTCATCCCATCATCCCACTGATCCTGTGGAGCTGCGGAGGATCAACTTCCAGACTCCAGGTAGACAGTGCACACATGAGGCTTACACAGGGAGACACTCACACCACGGCCCGTTCAATATTACCAGCTTTAGATGCGCTACTATTGATAAGATTGACTCGGGTGTTTTCTTCCCTTTGCAGCCTACCGCGTGTCTGTGTACCGTGGCTATCGGCGACTGTCAAGTTAGTTGGACTTGGCCACAGTCTTTTCTGTTAATACCATTTTATAAACTATTTTCTCTTTTTAAAACTAACTTTCATTCCATTCAGGAGGAAGCTGCTTGCTCTAATTTGTATTGCAAAGCCCATTTTTTTGTCCATGCTAAATTCTTAACCGCCTGATTCACGCTCTTATCTCCACCCAGCAGTGTGCATACTCTAAGGACGTGTTGTTGTTGCTTCAGTAACTTTCCAACATTCACATTGTTCTTTCTCTCTGGCTCAGGAGAAAATGGTCATTTAGTAAAAAAACCCTCCATTTGCTTTCTTTCTGACCATGGATAGCGAACTAAACAAAGTCCTAACTCTTAACATTTCCACCGCAGCGCGAGAACGAGGATTAAAACGGCCTGGTTCTGTGTTCGCAGGCATGGCAAGTCATCCGCCCGTCTCCCTCTCTGAGCTGGCAGATCACATCGAGCGCCTGAAGGCTAATGACAATCTCAAGTTCTCTCAAGAGTATGAGGTAGGAATGCTGATATCTGTCCCTGAAAATCTCCAACAAGGAAAATTCAATCACAACGTTATTTATCTAGCACTGATCAACCCGCCTCTGTGTCATTCTCCAAGTCTGATATTGCAGCTTAGTCGCATTATGTTTCATTTTAACTGAAAGATTGAGTGGATAATGTGCACCGTCCCCTTCTACCAGATTATTGTTATCTATATATTAAAGAAAATGAATAAAAATGGCAACTTCAGCGCTAGTTTGCTTACAGCCAAATGCTTATCAACTCGTATATCAAGCCAGAAAATGCAGAGGCAAGCCCGACTCCATGAGATACAAGAAGAGCTCTGCAGAAAGACCTTTCATGATTAGCTTTCTATCCACTCGCAGCAAAGTTGAAAGGGAAAACGCAAGACAGAGACTTAAAGATAACAACTGGTCTGACTTCAGCTTGAACCATGCCAGTAAATATAACATAGTAGGAGGAAGAGAATACCGACTTACTGGTTCTGTAGAAAATACAGCTTCCATTACAATGAGCTCCGCAGAGAGCTATTAAAGGGGTAAAAATGTTTTCGTTTCTGTTTAGACCAATGGCCTCTGGGTGAAGAAGGGAAACACAAGGCTCTAATTGGCTACCACAAGAGAGACAACCCGTGTGTGACAGAGATTCGTACATAGACGAAGACAAGAATGCATTATGCAAAAAGCAAGAACGCCAAAGCTGTGTTGCGTTGGGAAAATAAAAAAAGCAGGAAGAAGGCTGTGTAATTGTGGCACAAGTTGGAAACACTCTGTTGAGCCTCACATTCTCTCTGCATGACTGTGTGCTTTGTTCGGCCCAGAGCCTTAACGAGGAAGCGATAGAGACGGAGGGTAGAGGAGGGAAAAGAGCCCAGAAATGATTGCAGTGTCATAATCAGACACACATGATGTTGGGCAGCTCGTATAAAAGGCACATATACATGCATGCACTTATCCCGTTTAACTCCCCGGCCATTTTTTCCTGAACCAAACCATAATTATGTGTCGTAAAATATTTTGAATTGCTAAATTGCTCTGGCTCTTTCCTCTTCTTCCACTCATCCACTGACAGGCCCATAATGACCTCATGTCTGCCTTTTTCAGCTAACAGCGATAGTTAGACTGTAATTACGGCCCAGGAACACAACCGTGGCTTTTCTGTCCCGGAGGAATTGATTATGCTTATCATCTTTTACAGGTTTTATGTCACAGTTTGAAAGTCTTGACCTCAATGGGAGAAAACATGTAGTGCCCGTTCATAGTCTTGTTTGAGGTTGTTAATTTTTTGTATAATAATGGGATTGAAATAGTAGAAGACAGCATATGGGTTTACTTGTCATTATACATTTCCTGCTTAATGGAGGAAGTATTTTCTTAGTGCTACCAATTGTAAGATCAAAGTTGATGATCTTTTACTGAATATTGTAAGCCTAAAGTGTGAATTCTTTTGTAACTACTCTTTGTGCACCTTGTAAAATGATTTCCACAATGATTTCCTGTTGTAACACCAAACTACCTTCTTTGTTCAGTCTGTGGACCCTGGGCAGCAGTTCACGTGGGAGAACTCAAACTTGGAGGTGAACAAACCAAAGAACCGCTACGCTAACGTCATCGCCTACGATCACTCCAGGGTCATTCTCTCCAGCATTGAGGGTAAGTCATGCAGCCACTTTGTGGGTACGGCTCATATATTCTGGGTACTTTCTGGTGGGCTGACCTAATAAAAAAATGACAGCTTAGAATAGGTGCGTCACCTCCCTAATATAAGAGAGTCATTTAGGTTTATAGCCTTTTTCATGATATAGGATTATGCCTGTGGGTTAGCCTCGAGAACTAACAGCGTGTTAATCTATTTTCCTTTTGTTTCTGAAAATCCCACGAAGAAATGGATTTCTCCCCAAGCCTGTTAATGTATGCACTGCATCTGATTACTACAGTGGCTCTGCCAAGTAGGCGATTTATTATCAGCTGCATCACTTTTTATAATGAATATGTGATGTTGAGAAAGGTGATTTAGATCAACTTTTTACTATTATTATGAACTTTCACCTAATAAGTGAAATATCAGACCACGCCCAACAACTGTCCCAGAGTAGACCATAATCTGTGGATATACATTGGAACAGAGTCCTGCACCGTTCACGTCGTATTTGACGCAAATGTGTCTAAGTGCCTTTAAAATACGGCTCGCCCTCTCTGTTGTCACTCCACTCTGGTCCTTTGCTGGTCAGAGCGCAGCAGGAGACTTCATACAAGGATCACAACAGCGAACAAGGAACTTGTATTTGATGTTAAAACATAAATCCTGCCCCAAACTGTCTCTGTTGGACTCTTCATGCAGAAGTGTCATGTGATTCAGCAGTGAGCATAGTCAGGTGTGGGCTTTAGATTTTGAACCATATGCAAGTTTGTGCTTTTTCTACACACAGTGTTCATTGTAGAAGCTGACAGCAGTATAAAAGGTCTCCAAAAGTGCTCCATAATACAGTGAACAACTTGTGGTGACCCTCTCTCAGCGGATGGGGGCAGATCAGTTCTAAAGACCTGGCTGACTTCAGAACTGACCTGCAGCTTACCGATGATCAGGTGGTAGTGTAGATCTCCATCAGAGTCATGGTGCTGGACTTCTTGGAGGCTTTCTGCTTCCTCTGAGCCTTTCCTTCAGTGGATTTACTCTTGGTGTGCTTAGTTCTGGACATTTTATCTGCTCTGATTCAGTGTGAAACCTTGGATGCTGTATTAGGACGCACTGCTCTATGTCAGATTTTTTTTTTTTTTAAACTGAGCCTGAGCCTCACTTGGTTCTGGCCGTTATCTCTCCTCCGGTTCAGTGTTATGCTCTGTACACAAGGCAAATATATAGATGGAAAAATCAGAAAAAATAACTATAAAGTACAAAGTAGTGGTACTTAGGACATGCTGGTCCTAAGTAGAATAAAAATAGCTCAAATCAATCAAAAGTTGCTTAATATTTTTTTAACAATCTTCTGCAACTGCAAAATGTCACTGGCATAGTATTAGAGTACATGTTAAAGAGCACTCAACCACCTCAGCTAGGAAAGACCCGAGGCAAAGAAACTGGCTGCTCTGCCGTGGAGAGAAGGGAGAGCAGCAGTGGGAGGCCAAGCCCAAGCAGATGAGCCTTATCTGGGCAAAGCATGTGTGAGCAGCCCTTCCACCCCCGCCTGTCCTGGAGCCTTGCTTGTCTGTCATTTTGCTTTACAAAAAACAAAAACAGTATATGCTGAAGCACGTCCAAATACACATGCAGTATGCACGGGGATAGATTTGCAAAACGTGCATCATTCTCATACTCGTAAGCGTTCAGCCAAAGCTTCTGCCAGAGCGAGACTGGAGTGTGTTTGTTTTATCAGCACAGTGGGTCCAGTCTTCTGCATTCAACTTATTGCACATTAAAGCTTTTAGTCAAGCTGTCTTTAGCGGCTGAGGTGGATAAACACATGCCAGAGCTGTCTCTATCCTATTAAAAAGACAATGTTTAAACACAGGGTAGTGTTCTATAATTTACTGTACTTAAAAAGAGACTGTGAATGTGTTTGTGACATGGGGTTTAAATCTGCATAAGGAGATTTTCTTTTGAAAAACGGTGGATTCTCCCTTTTCAAAGACGTTTATTCTCTGAAACAAATTAAGCATAATTTAGTAGGCCAGGGTAGTTATATAGCTATGATATAATTGTTTAAGTACAAGGAAATTACAATGCTCACAACGGAAGGATAATTAAAATACAACATAATTTGCTAAATTAGATGTTTTTTTTACACCATAATCATGCAATAGTATGGGTTCTGTTGTCTATAGTAATTAAGATAAGCTCTACAGCGGGTCGTAACAAGTAACATTGTCAGTTAAACATATCAAAATACATCATATACAAGCTTCAATTAATTTCACCTCCGTCTCGCTGTTAGCTGTGTCTTGAAATTGCTCCTGTGGAATAACATTCATGTGCGAGTACCCAGGCCCATTGTCCCAGGATCAGAGAGGATTGCATTATAATGACCTGTTTATCATCCGCGTGGAGCATAGCCACTTTCCAATGTACTTTTTACAAGGACAACTTTATAGAGAAGAAAGTATTGTGCTTTATGTGACTTTTGTAAACCTTCTTCACCTGAGCCTCGTGTAAGCAACAGGATATAAAACAGTTGGTCGGGTGTTCACACTGAGCATGCTTGGGCAGGGTCTGAAGAGGGACAACCGTAGAGTGGTTCTGATACACATCCCGTGTGTGAGGATCAGGAGCTCTGGGTGTGATAAGGCCTTTTTGTATTGGTCCAAGTCAGAGCAATAATGGGCAAGAATTAAATCAAAAGGAAAGATTGACAAATACATTTTTGGCGAAATTTTAAACAACCAAATCAGCCTCTGATTTGATCAGAGGCTGATCTGGTTCTACTGTGACGCCAGCTACATAGAAAATAAAAGATCAGTCTGAAAAAGCGGCGGATGAACTCCTACAAGATTAACATGGCGAACACACAAATTTAAACAACCCTTGAAAAATGTGTAATGGACGTGATGATAACCTTTTTTCCCTAAAAATTAAGCTTGAAAAATAAGGAGTATGGTCTGATTTCATATTGAATTGGTTAACTATAGGAAAGGGATCACTTTGTTTCTACCCTGTGTAAAAAAAAAAAGAAGAATTTCTAAATCAATCTGAAAATATGTAAAAAAATTCCGCAGCTCATTCTGTCAAAGCATCACGTCCGTTACATAAATAAACAGAGGCCCTATAGGATTCAGATTAATTTATTTGCCATTTGCAGTAAAACCACATTGGAATATATTTGCAAAAGTCCCCAGTGTGCACAAGACAAGTACATAAATAAAACTTGACTGATGTATAAAACAGTTCTAGTAACTACTAATGAAGAGTTGTTTGGATAAATGAAAAACATAATATATTATTATTGTATCCTTTAGTGTGAACAAGCCCAAGTACAAATGATACAAAAAAGCTTTGTAAAACAGTTTCTCAATACAAAGACACACTTGAAGCTGAAAAGGATGTACCATATGGGAAATCACAGCTATTCAAAAGCAGACATTTTAAAGTGTTTTTACCGGCTCTGTGAGTTCTTTCAGACAATAGCAGGAGGGAATGACCCGAGGCCTTAACCTAAACTGCAGCTTCATATAATCGAAAACCATAAAGTTCTCTTCAGATGATATTTCCCATAGCTAACTCTTTTAAGCTCTTTTCTTCCCGTCCAGTTCCCACTGCCTGTCATGGCCTCCAGAAACCCCAGCAGCAGAAGCAGCTCACTTATGTGTACGTGGGGCTGTATGCATCAGTCTTACACACATCATGCCGTAATGTTAGCGTGCGTGTTTGTGCTGTGACTCAGTGAATCTGGGGATTATGGTATTACGATCTAGATGAGCAGGCCTGATCCTAAATCAAACTCTCACACAGAGGGCGCCTTGCATCACAACCACACAATGCCCCCAGGACGAGCAGTTGTCAGCCCCGTCTTACACTCCGGCGGCCTCGCACTCGCATTTCCATTCAAGGCGACACATTCTGGAGTATACTTAGATTAGGGCATGATCGTCTTAGCATGTATTCTAACCGAGATGGTTCAACAATACAGCAGGGGAAAACGCCGGGGTATATAAGAAAACATTAATCTCCATGCTGCCTCAGATGATTCGTGTTATTCACTACATCGACATAAACCAACAAATAATCCATATAGATTGATTTGTGCAAAATTGAAATTACACAAACTGTGAGTCTTCATTTCAATCAGGTGCAGTGCAGCTGTTGCCGTCTCGTCGCACGTCATCTTGCTTATATTGTTGTCTTTGTAATCCAAATTGTTGATGTTGGGAACATTAAGGAAGAACATTGTTAGTGACAAAATGTTATTGTGCACACATGTTGCTTTCTTTGCGTGTGGCATTAATTTTTTTCTGTGATTTGCTTTCTTGGCAGACATAGCATGGCGATAACTATGTGCCAAAATATAGATTTGGTCCTACATAGCAATATTTTGTCTCAGAATCGGTTTTTGATGTGTTAATTCCTAGTAGCGGTACGCAAATTGACATTGTTACCTTTGAAGTCTTACAACAGTATGGGCTGTCATTGGATGTTAAACCTCCTTTTAATGCATATTCTCCCTGAAAAAACAACCGCATCATGCATTTTACTCTCAGGCATAAACCCAAAAGATAATTGGTTGTAATTAAATTAGAAAAGAAATCAGCAATACACATCCTTCTTCTCTTGTTCTGTTTCAGTCCCAGCACAATGTACCAATATTGTTCAGAAAACGGTTTCTTTTGGCATGAAAAGTGGGAATAATATTGTGATAATGTAGATAAACTAACTGTTATACGGCTTGTTGCTTACATGTGGGAAAGTTGTTGAAGAAGGTTATTTAACTACACACAAATAATGACAGTGTAACAAACCGCATAACAACTTACTTACTATCAAGGTTTGGGGGTTTTTGCGTGCTCCTCTACAACTGTAACTTCTTTCTCCACAGGTGTCCCGGGCAGCGACTACACCAATGCAAACTATATTGATGGATATCGCCGTCAAAATGCCTACATTGCCACTCAGGGCCCACTCCCGGAAACCTTCGGAGACTTCTGGAGGATGGTGTGGGAGCAGCACACCGCCAACATAATCATGATGACTAAGCTGGAGGAGAAATCCAGGGTAAGGAAGTGAGATAATGGAAAGAGTTTTTGACAGGTAAGAAGGGGGCAGGAAAAGGATGATAACAAACCAAAAAGAGACAAGACATAAAAAGATTCATTAAAACACCAGCGACCAACCATGAATCCATGACATAGTACTGTATGTGCAGTCGAAGGAAGAATAAAAGTATCATACCTAAATGCCATTACGAGTAAAGTTATGAGATCTCACAAATAGGTCACGGAGTGTATTTTAATAATTGCATAGCACTTCATTGCATGACAGCAAAAATAATGTGTTTTTATTGGGCTATGAAACTGAAACATTGTAAATGTTGAGTTACAGAGAAGGTCAAGTTGAGTTCAATGACAAAAACATCCCTCTACCCCAGTGTTATGACTTTATATAGCATTATAATGAAGTGAACGAGACAGGATTTTAGGACAGAATTGGATGGAGCTACCAGCTGAGAGCTGTGTGTATGACAAGAGCAGATATATGTAGGAGGACAGCATCAGTCAGGCTCAGTGTTCCAGGATGGGAGACAATTCAAACCCCCAAATGTGTGGGACAATATTAAAACGTGTCTCTGAGTTTGCAGTAATTGTGGAGGAGCATGTAGCTGACCAGCACAGGCCGCAGTAAGACCGTGTCGGTGCTAAGAGGGATTACTGGGGAATCGGGACAATGTAATGAATCAGAAAATCATTTGGCTTTAAGGCATGTCTGTTGTTAACAGAATACACGCTCAAGTAGAGATTCACTATAATGAGAAAGTCATGTTGGAATAAAATGAACAAGAATGGCTTGAGGTGTGAATCATGATTAAGTCCTAACCAATTATGTCCAAAGCCTTCCTGTGAAATGATCCTCTCTTCTCATCTGAGCTCCTTTTTCCGATTAACTGTCTGTGTTAAAACTCCTTTTCAACTCTTTCCAACTGTCTCTGTTGTGTCTGTTTGACCCTCAGATGCCCTCTTATTTCTTCTCTAAGGCAAGACCTCTCTTTCTTTAACCCCTTTTCAAACGTACATCACATGGTTTTACTTCTCTATTCAGCGACCCTGTATTTGTACTGTTTTTCTTGTTTTGTTTCTTCACGAAAGCCTGTGAAATGTGCAAGAATGCTAATACTATGTCTTCAGTTCCCCACAATGCACTATAGTGATCTGTTCCCAGAAGGATATCTTGTAACCACAAGTCTTCAGAAACATACCACATTAGTGTCAACAATATGCATGACCACACTTTCACATGTTTGTCTGTTGCTGTGTGTGTTTTACAGACGCAATGTGAACTCTTTATTTAATACCTTTATGAAGTTAGGATAAGCTCCACACTGTTCGATCTGTACGATCCATTTCTGTTTGGTTTGTAATATATTTATACAGGCTTTATGGGTTAAGAATGTGTTGTATAACGGCCAGAAATCCTTTTAATTACATGATTTTAGCACCTCTTTGAATGCATTAAAGCACAGATGATTGCGGATCGTCCCAATGTTGGAACTATGCCTTCCCTTTTGCTTTTAGCACCAATCAAATAGTACAATTACAGTTCTCTCGTCAGACAGTTACTGTGCAGCAATAATGTTTAGCCTCAGGCAGTGGGAAGGCCCCCTACGTGGACAACCATTTTTGTCCCCACAGTGTCTCAAGGTCTGCAAGGAAAACAACAGTTGAAAAGCTGTAATTACAGCCTAAACATCCCAGGCCAAAACGCATAATCCCCAGTCTGGAGCAGTGGAATGCAGAGCAAGCTGAGCTGAGCTCCCAACCGTCTTTGATGTTGGGACTGGAGGGATCAGCACATAACATTTGGTTTGGCCTGATTCTGCCCCCTTTTCCCCCTCTGGGAATGTTCCCCTCACTTCTGTGGTCTCCAAAGAACTACAAATATGACTGTCTATAGTTGGGACATTTCATTTGCTTTGGGGATTGGAAATGCTGGGAAATGGTGTACTTAAATGCTATAGAGATCTGTGACACTTGTTTGTGGAGGTACAGCACCAAAAACATGCTGTACACAGAATCCACACATTTCAAAAAAACAGAAGCAACGTGTTCCTCACTCACTTCTTTGCTTTAGCAGTAACATCTCATATGCTCTTGTTCCCCCAAAGGTGAAGTGTGACCAGTACTGGCCGACCAGGGGCACAGAGACGTATGGCCTGATTCAGGTCACTCTGCTGGACACAGTGGAGTTGGCCACATACTCCGTTAGAACCTTTGCTCTCTACAAGGTAAATGCACCAGTGTATTATTTGTATTATAAGAAAAAAAGTAGTATATAGTTTGCGTAAGCTCTCAGTCGTTCTCAGGGATTATTCCAATAGAGGAAAGTTGCGCACCCATAATTTTTACTTCAGTTAGCAGGTTTTCCCAACGTTTCGTCCTTAAAGGACCTATACCCATTTCTGCAAGGTTCCAGAAATGTTTAGCACCGCCCCTCAACTCGCTCACAGGCTTCTCATTTCCCCTACGCTCTCATCCCACGGAGCCATCTAGTTGTATTTGCGATCTATATGCAAACATTAGCATGAGCGCAACTTCTTGTAAGCTGTTCAACAATCACTGATGAAATGGTACAAAAGCAACGCACTGCTAACAAAATATGTAACTGAAAGATTACCGCTAGTTTTGCGTCCGAATGTGGTCCGAGCATAGATGGTCCGGGGCACTCCATTAACATGGACATATGAACCTAATAATATATTAATTGCATAACTGCTGAGCTGTACAGCAGTTTGCTTGTTTAATTATTTCAATCCATCAAAATGCTTACGCTTTTTAAAGATTAGAACTATTGTTTTTGCTACGCACCAGAAATATACAGTATAAAATGGATTTTATTTGAAGTGCCCCAATAAAGCTATATTATGTTCAGCATACAGGCTTCATAACAAAGATTAAAAACACACCCAAACAAATGATTAAAGCATTCTCTGTGTGTCTCCTTCAGAGTGGCTGCAATGAGAAGCGTGAGGTTCGTCATTTCCAGTTCACGGCTTGGCCAGACCATGGGGTTCCAGAACATCCTACTCCCTTCTTAGCCTTTCTGCGTCGGGTCAAAGCTTGCAACCCTCCAGATGCTGGTCCTATGGTTGTTCATTGCAGGTATGGAATACATTTGTGTGAGTGTGTCTTTTATCAACAAGAGACGAAATAAAGCTCCTAAGATAATAATAAAGCCGAATGTTGAGTGCGAGCCGAATCCACTTATGTTCAATTATGGGTTTTACTTGGCAGTGCAATGGCTAGAGTACAAGACCTCTTGTTTAAAATCATACATAAAGGCATGAACTGAAATGAGGTGCGATTTTGTAAACCACAAACCTCCTCCTCTGGCCAGGATGCACATTCCTGTCACAACCATCTCTCAGGTCGAACAACGCCACCCACTAAACTGGCCCTTTTTCCATAAGTAGCTTTTAATGTAGACTATTTACCATTTCAGCTACCGCTGTATTCGAGTTCAGGAGTTTATATTCAAATAAGCTCTGAGTCTGAGCAGCGGGAGGCTCATTCATCACATGAGAAGATTCTGGAAACATATCATTACAGACTTTGCCTGTTCATGAGTTGCAGTGTTGAAATGATTCTGCTTGTATCACTATACATTAAGAGAGTAAGAGGAGACGGGGTGACTGCATTGACCCCTTTGGCTGAGCCCAGTCAGAGATAAAAGACGTATATAAACATGCTTTTATATATAATTAGTTTAAATGTGGTCAGGGGCAATGTTTTTGGAAAGCTTTCTGATAATAATTTTTTTGCACACAAAAAAAAATGTTTTTTGCCTCAAGGAGGTTTTCTGTTTTGGTTCTACGATAATGTCAAAAAATGGACAAGCCCTATGGGATGGCTTGTGCATATTTAGTAGTAAGGGAACCAATTTGGAACAGTAAGATATATGAGACAACCCTAAAAAAACTTATGTAGAACTGCTGTATAGAAGTCATTCATTTTGGCAAGACATTTTGCAAGAAACATAAAGCACCTATAAGAGGTCTTTGACCTAAACATCGTCAGATTGGCCCTGAAATCGGATGAAATCTGTGACCCGAAACAAGCAAAATATGACATCCTGTGTAGATGCAACAGTTGACAACAAAGGGGCACAAGAAATCATTTACATTTTCTTTTTGTACAAAATCCTCAAAATTACTTCTAACTTGTCAATCCTACGTCTAGACACAATTCCAACAATTTAATGTGCGATTAAAGCTAGTTTGGATTATTAATGGATGCCTCGTCACTACGTGGAAAAAATATGCCTAGGGCATATTTTGTGCCTGTGCTGCTCCAGACTTCTACCACGGGCACGTATCTGATATCAGCCCTGAACCCTACACGTGCTGCCGCAGAGACGCGATCCCCTTTGCAGCAGGCGTGGGAAAGAAAAAGCAGTCATGCTCACTGCTGATTACTTAATTACTGATTACGTCCATCGGGAATTTGACCTGAACCCTATCCCATATATATATTGTGGCTGCAATATAATATATATATATATATATATATATATATATATATATATATATATATATATATGTGTGTGTGTATACATATATATTAGTGTAGGTACTGGGCACTAAAAGGATGGGTAGGTACTGGGCACTAAAAGGATGAATTAAATATTTGTGAGGAGTGTCTCAGAAATGGGAGTCTTAAAATGTACTAGCGTGTGAGTGAAGAGGGGGCAGGGCTGGTATGAGGGGTACTTACAGTGAAGATAAAGACGAGAAGAGAGTGGTGGAAGGTGCGGAGGTTGGCAGCTGAAGAGCTCTCCCTAATCTCCCACTGCAGTCAGATGGAGTACCTAACAGGATTATCAGTCAAATTTAATCATCACGGCAAGACTCCATCATAATGTACCTTTACAAATCATCTCTCCCTTGTATCAAACAATGAGCCATTCCCATCACACCTGCACATGCTCTCCACGTAGCGCACAGTCATAAAGAGAGGGTTTTGTGCACCAACAGAAAATTGCTTGGTCAGTCTTATACCCTTTAGAGATCAGCACTGCATAAAGGTGTTTGGGTGGGCTGCCAAGGGTATTATATTCTTGGAATTTATGTCAATATAAGCAGATGCAGAGTCATCGCTATGTCAATTCTGCATACTTTGTTGAAAATACTGCTGCCTGACATATGATACTTCATTGATTTATAAAGAAGAGCTACATTCAACACACAATAGTCTAAACTATGCAATACATCTGTTGCTAAGAAGTACAGATGATGGGTGAGAAACCTTCATTTGCTTTGAATAATCCCTGTTCAACTGAGGGCTTACACAAACTCAATCCATACCTAACATTGGGATATATGTCCTTTGAAGAATAAGTAGCGCAGGTTTGCATTAGAGTGTAATTTTATTTTTGACCGACCGTTTTTGGGCAACAAGGAAGAGAATTAGTTTCGGACCAGATTGTGACCAATCACAGCGGACCACTGACCCCCACTTTCTTAAGAAAAGCTACAGGTCTCTCATTAGCACAGACAGCTGTGAACAAGCATCATGGCGGAGGCTAACCTGAAGCTTCCCGTGTCTTCGTTACCGGTTACTGCTTACTCAGCAAAACAGCCAAAAGAAAGTCTCGTTCTCTCCGCGCTTCCCAGTTCTATCATTCTATGATCACGCCATCCACGCTCAAATGTGCGATCCATATTGTGAGACGCGAGCTCCGTAAACAACAGCACATGAGCACACGCATGAGTTGGAGGGGGGTAGTGGGGAGCGAAAGCTTTGTGAGTGCGGGTAGGGGAGTAGAAAGAGCGAGGCCCGAGCTCACATTTGAAACGGCTGCTTCGAAATCACAGTGAGTTAGTCCAGGTTTAAGTGGTTAAACACATTGAGATTTTAAATGTTTTATTGATCCACGGCAAGAGAACTGTCTGTGTCACAAAAAGGTTTCGGAATTTAGATTGTGGTTTCAGAAAAACATATCTGTTATTTCAGTATAATTTACTTTTTGTCCTTTTTATTTTATTTCCTTCTAATTATCAAGATCTAACTTTTGTCACACACACTGAGACGATCAAGATAGTTAATGGCTCTTTTGTAAAAAATGTCTATGTCTCTGCAGTGCTGGAGTGGGTCGCACCGGTTGCTTCATTGTCATCGACGCCATGACGGAGAGGATCAAGCACGAGAAGACCATCGACACCTACGGTCACGTGACGCTGATGCGCTCTCAGAGGAACTACATGGTGCAGACAGAAGACCAGTACATCTTCATCCACGACGCGCTGCTCGAGGCCGTCACCTGTGGAAACACCGAAGTCCCAGCGCGTAACCTCTACTCGTACATACAGAGGCTGACGCAGATCGAGCCTGGCGAGAACGTCACGGGTATGGAGGTGGAGTTTAAGGTGAGATGATCCACTTTGAAATATGCATAGACCGCAGAAGGAGTGGAATCGCCGAGTGCTGACGTCACCCACAGTGTTTGCCTTATTGAAGAAGAAGCCGATTAGAACTAGCTCGAACAGGCCAGTTGAGCGGGAATCTGGAGCCAAAGGGTGAAGGTAGCAACGAGCTAGCAACCATTGAGCCAATCAGGTCTGTTCTGTTTAGTTCAAACTTAAAAAAAATGCCTCAACTTCATCCATACAGGTCTATATCAAACACTGGTAGCTTACATATTTCCCTGACAGAGCTGGGGTGTGTTAAGGAAGTTTCTACCCAATGAAGGAGAAAACTCAAAGGTCCTTTGTCTGATCAAAAGCGTAAGTTTATTGTTAACGCACGTGCGGAGAGCCAGCACATACACTCAAAAAGCAGCATGTCCCAGCTCTGAGGGCAGAGCCCCAAGTTTCCTGTATACAAGACACACACGAGAGACAGTCCCGCCCACAACAGATTGGAGGGGGCCACCGGTGAGGAGGCGCATGGGGAGCGTTTGGCGCCGTCTGGGAACGAGGTGCGAACAGACAGACAATGGTCTAAATGCAGGTCATACAGATGCAAGACGCGGAAGGCACAAGGGTGTGACAGACAGCAGGATGTAGAAGATGCACACATACAGACCGATAGATATGCAAGAGGCGAAAGGGATGCAAGACGCGAAAGACACAAGGGTGTGACAGACAGCAGGGGGCCCTCACAAAGCTCAGCATGGCGTCAGAAGGGCGTCTCTGCATTGATAAAAGGCCTTTGACGTCCGTGTATTTGCTGCGGCTGGTTTTATGTAATAACTCCAAAAACTGTCACCACACTCCCCTCTTTTGATAATTCAAAACCATTTTTGCATTAATCAGTCAAATACCAGAGGCATCGTAATCACACCACCTTCAAGCTTGAAACACTTAAATTATTGCTGTCCAAAGTGGACAAGAAAAGAAACATGCTTGTCAATAAAAGAAAGAGCACATTATAATAACACAATGGATCCGGACAGCGATAAGAGAAGGCAATATTAACATAATAAACACGGTCAGCACGGAAAGTAGTGTCAGTGTGGCCAGCATAACAGTCCAAGGGCCCATGCCGGTCTTAGCCGGGCTACATTCGGTAGTCTTTTCCGCGGGAATACTCACGAACAGTGCCGTCTCGCAGTCAGTGGCACCGCTCCCTATGAGCGTGTGTGGAGCGTTAGTGGCCATGGCGATGTTTGGTCTTGGAGCGGTAAGACTCTAATTGCGTTGAAGCCTTGGCCTCAGCACTCGGTTGGGCAGAGTGCTCGGGGTTTGGGGTGTGGAGACCATGGCTTGAGCACGCTCCAGATCGGCCAGGCCCAAAGCTCGTTTGATGGGAGACCTCATGACAGCACGCTTCACCATGTGCCTCATCAGGAACTGTAGAGCAGCCCTCATCTCCACCTCCTCCGGACACACGGGAGACGAGACACCAGGGGGCACTCCAGCAGAGCTCAAATCTGCATTATGGCCAGAGGGAGCAAGCTCTGGAGAAATCTTTGGAATGGGCAGCAGCTCTGCATACTTGCTGCAGCTGAGCAGAGCGCTCAGGGCCTTCATGGCTCCCAAGCCTTGGGATCCGGGGGCTGGGGAGTTGGGCAGAAGGGGGGTCGCCTCGGGAACGCTGGGATTCTCTGGGTGTTGTTGTTGGCCTGCTTCACCGACGGTGGCCGCACGCCGGCCGACTTCTTCAGCGTAGGGAGCCGCGGATGGGCCTGGTCCGTCCGCGCCCTCGGTGTCCTCGTCTATGGCCCTCAGTGGCAGCACCGCACGACAGTGGTTGGCGTGGATCCAAGTTGTCCTCTCCGCGACCTTAACGGCAGTGTCCGTCACCAGGAGGGCGAGGAATGGGCCGAGCCAGCGCTTGGACCGCCAATGCTTTCGTCTCGTTTCCTTCATCAGGACCCAGTCGCCTGCGCAGCCTGTGGCAGGGCGCTCCTGACCTGGGCAGAAATAGAGGACAAAAGTGCATTAATTTCCTTACAATAGGACAGCATGTCGTCATCACACAAAGAGGTGCTTGGCAGATCTCTGTTCGGGGGTCCCGCGCCCAACGTGGGGCTAGCGGCAGAGCTTTGAGTGCCATTCTCTTGCTCGCACGTGCCTCCGGACCAGGGGGCGTAACTGCAGTGTTTACGTATATCAATGCCCAGAAATTCACCCACTTCCTCAATGACTTTTGCTACAAAGTGACTCACCACCGCGTTGCTCGTGGCGTGTATGCCTGCAAATACTTCAGTCCATTTGGACCAGAGATCCGCCAGACCCAGACAGTATTACTTACCTTGGCATGGTGTGAGTTCAACAAAGTCCCTTTGGACATGTTGAAATGGGCGCAGGGGCGGAGGATGAGCAGCCTGTTGGATACTTTTGGGACTTACCTGGGTTGTGCGCGGGGCATATAGCGCATGTTTGGCTGAATCTCTGTGCAAATGCCGTAAACCCCTTTGTATACCAATTTTGTGTGATTAAATCACACATCATCCCTCCTTTTGAGGCATGGTCTCGACCATGTGCTAAAATTGCAAACTGTCTGAAGAAATGCCGTGGTAGGCACGGTTTGCTGTCTGGTCCCAGCCACACACACCATGCCGTCGTTGAGCCCCATTCCCCTCCCACAGCAGCGTCTCTGCTGGAGTAGAAAATATCAACGTCTTGAGTGAGGTAGTGTGTGTGTGTGTGTGTAGAGGTGCGTATGCCGCTGCCTTGTCCGCGCGCCGATTCCCTGCAGAGATGGGATCAGTGGCATTAGTGTGGGCCTGGCATTTGCATACAGCGATCTCTAAGGGCAACATTACAGCTTTCAGCAGACGTTCAACCTGTGTGGAATTAAGAATTGGTTTACCATCAGATTTCATAAAATTGCGGTGTTTCCACAGTGCTTCCCAGTCGTGCACCACAGAGAAACCATAGCGCGTATCACAGAATATGTTAACAGTTTTGCCCGCTGCCAGCTCACAAGCCCCGGTGGGCGCGACCAGCTCAGCGGTTTGTGCTGAGTGGTAGTGGGGCAAACTACCAGAGTCTATAGTATCAAAATCAGAACACACAGCATAGCCGACTCGGTTCTTCCCAGTGTTGTCACGTGACGCGGCTCCGTCTGTATAAAAAAAATCAAGTCAGGATTAGTCAGAGGCACCTCTTTCAGGTCTGGCCTGGGAGTGCATCTCTGCTCTATTGTGGCGATACAGCAGTGTGCCTCCCCTTCCTCTGGCGTGGGCAGCAGCGAGGAGGGGTTCAGCTGTGTGCATCCCTTCACCGTAGTTCAAAGAGCACCGTGTTGTACCCCAGCCAACGAGCCGCAGAAAGGCGAGAGGCCCTCTGCTCTAACAGGATCAGGGAAACAGCATGGGGCACAAGCAAAGTTAGTTCAGTGTATCCCACAAGGTCACGTGATGCTAGGGCCGCTTTCTCAGCGGCAGCCACAGCCCGCAGGCAGCGAGGCAACCCTGCTGCCACGGGATCGAGTTTTGCTGAGAAGTAAGCAGTGGGTCTCAGTGGCCCTCCGTGAGGCTGCAAAAGTACCGACACCATGCACCCACATCGCTCATCCACGGTCTGAGTGAATGGCCGTTGGGTCAGGGAGACCTAGTGTGTGTGTGTAGATTTGCTGTTCCGTTCATCTCCAGTTGCTTTCTCCCGGATCGTCCTCAATTCATATTGTGGGCTTTTGTGCCAAAGTGGAGGCTCATTTCCTCCTGATCCATACTACTGTCATCCCTGGAGCAGGGGTAGTTTATCTCTCATCTGAAAAAGAAATATCAGAACACAAAACACACAAAAAAAATGCCCACTTTCGCTTGTCAATCTTTTTTCCAATTGGGCAAAACATAACTGCATTGACAGGTGGTGTGTGGCATCAGGGCGGAGGCTGTAGCCAAATACAGAACAACAAAATGTATGTTTCTAATTTTATACTCCCCTAAATGTGAGTTTACAAACCAAAGTTGTCCTCCGCCCAATGACCGCTCACTGCGGTTGGACCGAATCACTGTCAGGGCAAACAGCAGAGGGAGGAACTCCCAATATCTTCAGCGAGGTATTTCATCTCCGAGTACTTTCCGCAGAGTACTTTTCTCAGAGTACTCATCCCAGAGTACTCTCACTTTTACACCTGTTCAATAAAGGTCGTTATCTTTGAATCTCTAGTACTTACACCGTATGCTGTTGACAAAAAAGAATTATTCCATGATCACATTAAAACATTACAGACACATTTGTTATTCCATGATTCCGTTCAGCATTCCTCATTTCACTCCTCATTCACTCCACACTCACATCACACTCATATCACAGTCACATCACAGGCCGATTCCCCACGTTAGTATTGGTCCAGAGTTTGTTAAGGTCAGCGTAGTGTACTTTGACATGACACACAAACATATAACATACACAAAACATATAACACACAAACATGTAACACACACAGAAGGCCTGTAATTTTAACTTTGTTATATTTTCCATGTCCAATTACAATTGTCTCATGAGCTCTTCCTATTGTTGCAACTTTCAGAGCCTGCAGAACATGCAAAGCTTTTTAAGAGATTTTTCCTAAAAAAAAAAAAAAAAAATCCATTTCCAACTTTAGTGTTTACCACGTGGTCTGTATTTCGGGCTTATCACAGATTGTGTCCCCTATATCTCTAATGAGCTCTTGTCACCTAAAAAATGTTTATTTTCCTTATTTTTTCTTTTTCAATAAAGCCAGGTCGGGTTCATTAAAAATGTAAATTAGTCTCAAACTTTAATACTTCACCTTTGTTTCACGATAAAAATGTTTTTGTTGCTCATTAAGTAGCACAAATACCATAGCGTGGTGCCTATCCCAATAAACATACTCCGTTTGTAGCCTATCTTCACTACACTGAAGCCATGAATTTTCAAACTCTAAGTTATTGTCTGGGAACGACCGGAGAGAGCAGCTTAGGTCGTTCGCGTGGTTGACCTCCAAATTTTGTGCGGGCGTAACTCTATCCACTGTCGTGGCTAATAACTTAGCAATCTCAGGGTTTGGTGTCAATTTCCAGTGGTAATTAACTTTTGGGACCGGTGCCTCCTTTTATTTATCTATTTTTAATTGAGTCTGCACATAAGGTCTCGGCCTAGTAGATTAACCGGGCACAATGGGGAATATAGAAAAGAATGTTTAAGCTGGTTGCCCTGAGAATCAAAACACGTTAGCGGTGACGTAAATTGCTCTTTAGTCGTCTCTCCGACGCTGCTAATGAGAATGTGAAACGGCCACTCATTTTAGGGGAGACAGAAAGGCTGTCACTTTTAGCACAGAATTTGTTGCCCCGGAGTCATCCAGAATTTTAACTTGTACACCACAGATTGTTAGCGTATATTACGGGCATGAATTATCTCTAAAAAGTGCCAATTGCAATTTGTTGTTGTTCAACTTACATGAGCGGTCGCTTTGGTGACGAATGTGAACCCGGGTTTGGTCAGTCGCTCGTGTTTCCTCCTCGCCCGCCTCTGCCGTCCTCTGGCCCCGTGTGAGCCTCTGCCTTTAACGCCTCCTCCGGTAACAGTCCTTCGACCCATGTCGAGCACACAGTCTTTCCGCCGGGCTGTGGAAGTTTTTCAAAGTCCGCAGGAGGCCCAGGTAGCCCAAAGCGTTAGCATGTGGTCCATGAGGGTTGGTGAATAACCCAAACGTGCCGGTCACAATGGCTTCTTCTGTTTGCGGTGCGGGAACAACTTTCAAGGGGGTTTCCGCGGGTGCGTTTGGTATATCACGCTGCCCCCTCCGTGGAGAACAGTCACGGGATTTGGAGCAGTTTCTCTCTGTGCTCCAAAGCAGTTGTCGGTGTCTCACATATTTGCTTCCCCCGCTTCTTCTTCTGTGGTTTCCTGAGCGTGTGTCTGTTTCCGCCTCTTCTTCTTCTGCGGTTTGGGCCCACTTCTCGCGGGGTCTCAGCTGGTGCGGGCGCCGCCTGTGGTTGGGGCGTGGGGCTGGTGCTTTGAGGCAGAGGACAGAGCGCGGAGGAAAGGCGCCGACAGACCTGGATAAGGGAGAGGGAAAAGAGACAACAGTAGTCTGCTTCATTTTTTAAAAACCCAACGCCTTGTTTGGGTGCACACTTATTGTTAGTAGGGGAAAAAGGGCGGTGGTAGGGTGGGGGTGTGGGGGTGTGGGGGGTGTGTGTGTGTGTGTGTGCGCCTGTGTGTTCTCCGCTTCGGTGAAAGGCGGAGGAGCTATTGTTTTTACATATTTCTTTCTCTAACCTCTTTTGCCGTGATATTCTTAAAACCAAGTATATTTTTTCTTCCCTTCTTCTTCTAAATTATCACGCAAGATGGTAATGGCCTGCACCATAGGCAAGCACTCCATAGCTTGCATCTTCTAGATTGATTTTTACCCATTTTCTCGTACGAACAATGGGCCTAACCCGCTTAGTCTCTTCCCTGCTCCTACCCACTTTGGGGCGCTCCGTTCCCCCCCCCGCTGGTTCAACCAGCGAGCGCGCGTTCTTGAAAACGGAGCGGTTCTGGCTGAAGACACTTAGAGAAATTATCAGGGTCGCCTACAGGACGATACTAACGCGCAGCCGCTAGCTTCAATCTAGAACAAAAAGCCCCCAAAAAATCCCGCACACAGACTATGCTGTGGCAATGAATGAAATACCCCAAAAATACATAAATAAACAAATCCCCGTGTACACTTAAGGCTGCCCTGGGCTCGTTACGCAGATGAAAAGACAAGACTCACCAGATTAGGTTCTTTTTGGTCTTGTGTGGCAAAAGGATTCCTTCCGTGCGCGGGACGAGCGCGCCCTCCTTTGTCTCCAAAAAGGAACAGAGGCTGGTGATCCAGGTCGGCCAAACAAAGCCGCTCGTCCCCGCCGAAAGTATCCATGCCAAGACATGTCAGCAACGCCAAATTGTTAAGGAAGTTTCTACCCAATGAAGGAGAAAACTCAAAGGTCCTTTGTCTGATCAAAAGCGTAAGTTTATTGTTAACGCACGTGCGGAGAGCCAGCACACACACACAAAAGGCAGCATGTACCAGCACTGAGGGCAGAGCCCCAAGTTTCCTGTATACAAGACACACACGAGAGACAGTCCCGCCCACAACAGATTGGAGGGGGCCACCGGTGAGGAGGCGCATGGGGAGCGTTTGGCGCCGTCTGGGAACGAGGTGCGAACAGACAGACAATGGTCTAAATGCAGGTCATACAGATGCAAGACGCGGAAGGCACAAGGGTGTGACAGACAGCAGGATGTAGAAGATGCACACATACAGACCGATAGATATGCAAGAGGCGAAAGGGATGCAAGACGCGAAAGACACAAGGGTGTGACAGACAGCAGGGGGCCCTCACAAAGCTCAGCATGGCGTCAGAAGGGCGTCTCTGCATTGATAAAAGGCCTTTGACGTCCGTGTATTTGCTGCGGCTGGTTTTATGTAATAACTCCAAAAACTGTCACCACAGGTGCGTTCTTGTTGCAGTGGGGGCAAAATCAACAGTTCGCTGACATTCACAAGCCTTCACAGAATTACAACGATCCTGAGCTCGTAATTGCTCTCTTATTTATGTCCAACATGAAAGCTAGAGTGGCGAGTGGAAATCATCATATTGACATAGTGCTAGCTTTACTTTCCAATAGAAGAAGTCTTGGTCCAAAAAATGTGTTTTGGGAAAAAAAAAACCTCTGCTTTATTACAGCTTTATCACAACACACAGCGCCAAAGTCTCTCTACAGCACAGATATTTGTATATGTGTATGTAAGATTTTATTGGTGAAACTGTCCCGCTCAAGCCAAACGCCATGAAGAATTACAGTTGTTGATACTGGAATCCTGATTGAACTAGTGAACCAGTGGTTAAAGTGGGATTTTCCAGCCACGGTCCATGTGTAAGAAAATAGAGCCGGTCAAATTCTCCCACAGCGCTCCGGTAGCTGCAAAGGGCTCTTATGCAGACTGCATTGTTCCCCTCCTGTCTGTGGTTTTCTCCCCCTCTTCCATCCCTCACTCTTTTATGTTGATTTCATCCAGAGAAAACGTGTCTGCTTTTGTGCACGTAGTCCTTTTTGAATGTGTGTGTTCTGGTGGTTTTTTTCTTCTTTTTTTTTTTCCATTTTACTTGGATCATCTGAGGTTCATATCGGAGTCTAGAGACAGTGTGGGGCCTTGTGGTTTCCTGGTACCCCAACTTTTGATTTTCTCCTTCCTCCTCTCGTTCATCTTAATATATGCCCTCCTCCCACTCCTAACCAAACCCCCACCCGCGTTGCCCCTCTGTTGTTTATTCAATCCTAGTTGTCTGGCTAAATATCCTGAGGCATGTCAGTAGATGTAGCCTGATTTTCTCATTGTAAGTCATCCGCGCCGCCAGAAGAAAACCAAACCATGTGCTGAACGCATTGCAACAGGCGTCCTTGAATTCATGTCTCAACTTCCTACGCTGGGTTTTGTTTGAGACAATTTGTGATGTGTGAAATATCTCCCACAAGCTTTTTCGTGATGTTACAACAGCAAATGTATGTTTCTGTTCCAGCGTTTAGCGAGTGCCAAGGCCCACACTTCCCGGTTTGTGAGTGCCAACTTGCCATGCAACAAATTTAAGAACCGCCTGGTCAACATTATGCCCTATGAGACCACGCGCGTTTGCCTGCAGCCAATCAGAGGGGTCGAAGGGTCAGACTATATAAATGCCAGCTTTATTGATGGATACAGGTAAGGATAGTTGTTGATGTATGTACCATAGAGTGCAATAATGGAAGTGATGCATCTGCTTCTGTGTATAGGCAACAGAAGGCCTACATAGCAACCCAGGGTCCATTGGCAGAGACCACAGAAGACTACTGGAGGATGCTGTGGGAACACAACTCAACCATTGTCGTCATGCTCACTAAACTGAGGGAAATGGGACGGGTAGGTTCTCTCGCCCTATATCCTGGATGCCAGGGACTGTCATGTTTGTATATCCTGAATGTAGGACTTTTTATATCCCAAATAGAGGGTGTCTGCAGGATCCTATTGATTCATACGTTTTTTTCTGGAATAAATAATGTGTTATTTTGTAGAGGTTTTGTCCAAATTAGCACAGATTTTTTAACCATGGAATTTGAGTCCTTTATGGAATCGTGTAGTTGTAGTTTTAAAAATCATGTTTGAACCTCATCAAGGCCTTTTTCCTTGTCATCTGTTTCATCATAGTATTTCTTTCCTTAGTAGTGCAAATTTTGTTCACACTAAAGGGCACAAAAGTGTGACGAAAGGCCAAAAATTAGATTTTATTAATCCAAAGATATTTTATGTTTTTCATGTATCCAAACACCTCCTCTGTCCATTAGAAGTTGCTAGAACATAACTGTTTTAAACATTAGCAAGTTTCCTAAAGCGCACCTGTTTATTTTATGTAACGGAAGATGATTTGACGGAGTGAGCTTTGCAGAAGTTTGATAGGTATTTTCAGATGTCCACATTTGATTAAAAGATTCTATTTTTTAACATAGAGTAGAAACAATTAAATGTGAAACCAGACCAGATTTTTTTTCTCAAGTTTAATTGTTGGACGGAAACCATCACGTTTGTTACACATTTTTCAAGGGTGATTTAATGTATTATTTATTTATTTTTTAACGATTCCTTTTTGTATCAAATGATTGACTTATGTTATGTTAACCATGTGTATCTTGTGGGATTTCATCTGCCGCTTTTTCAGACTGAGGACATTTTATTTTCTATGTAACTGGCGTCACAGTAGAATGGTAAAATCGGAGGCTGATTTTGTTGTTTAAAATGTCGCCAAAAATATATTTGTCAATCTTTCCTTTTGATTTCCTCCACACTATGTGTTCAATGTGTCGTGTTTGAAATATTTTTTTCCAATGTATGATAGTAATTTTAGTTTTTGAGTGATGACCTTTTAAACACACTCAAATATAGAAAATAAATAGGAGAGAGTTTGATGACGTCAGGCTTGCGGTCGGCAGAAGGCACAACGTAACATGCTCATCCATGTCTTCAGGCAGCGCTGTGCACTCATATCAACACATTTCAGGCCGTTATCAAACATTTTCTAGATTGTGGCTGGAGGTGAAGAGAAAATGAGGATTATTTGAGATCGTAGAAAATATGAATTCCATGTCAATACAGTCTGATTAAAAATCGTGCCCTGCAACATCATAACAGCTGTTGCATCACATGGTTTCGCCAAATAATTGATTTTAAGGAAGGATTTTTGTAGATATACCACGTTTATAAATAATCTTACATCAATATTTCCAATTCCTTGTGCCTTGTGCAGGAGAAGTGTCATCAGTACTGGCCCGCTGAGCGCTCAGCCAGGTACCAGTACTTTGTGGTGGACCCCATGGCGGAGTACAACATGCCCCAGTACATCCTGAGAGAGTTCAAGGTCACAGACGCCAGGGTGAGGCCCACACTTTCGGCATAATCATGATTACACAACACTTTTTAACACTAGAACTCCCAGGGCAGTCAATTTGATGGCTGTAAGTTTTGTAAGTGAAATTGCTCTGCTTATGCACCTTTGTGGTCTTCATAACTTTGTGACTTTTTCTGTTTCTATGTCATTATATCATGTAGGATTTACCTTTAACTCAGATTCAAATGTAGTCAGTCGCTTTTTTTCTGTGGCAGCTTTTTAAAGGTCCAGGTCCTGGATTGGTCCTGGTTCAGTTTGGTTTTCCACAAAATTGTAAACCGCCTTGTGACTCTGGTCTGTGAAAGGCGGTATATAAATAAAGATGACTAACTTACTTACAAGAGAAGAACAAGTGCTGGTTGCCTAGCAACACACTGTTTACTGTTAGCAGTTTGCATTTGGTGTTTAGCGTTAGCCTTTCAACAAACTGTTTTCGCTGTCTTTCAGTTATATTAGCCAGTTTTACCACCACATACAAATAAGTAAAGGTAAAACCCTCAAACATGAGTTACTTCAATTAAAGCTGGTAAAAAACTAAACATTTTTGGTCTAATTTCTCCAAATTCTATTGGTTTGGATGAGAGGAGTCAAAATAACAGCTCTGGGAGTTCTTCTAGTTTTATAATCATGTGAGTCCCAGCGATAAACATTTAAATCCCTTTTCTGTTTAGGACGGCCAATCGCGAACTGTCCGCCAGTTTCAGTTCACTGATTGGCCAGAGCAAGGAGTGCCAAAGTCCGGAGAGGGTTTTATCGATTTCATTGGACAGGTGCATAAAACGAAAGAGCAATTTGGCCAAGATGGTCCTATAACGGTACACTGCAGGTATGCTTTGGAGTAGATGAACTAAAATCAATACTGGAACCATGCAATGAATAATTGTGGATGTGTCGTATTGTTTCTTGCTTTTGTAGTGCGGGTGTTGGGAGGACGGGTGTTTTCATCACTCTTAGCATCGTGCTGGAGAGGATGAGGTACGAAGGCGTCGTGGACATCTTTCAGACGGTGAAGATGCTTCGCACTCAAAGACCAGCCACCGTCCAGACAGAGGTCAGATTTCTCCAGAAACTCATTTTCATTAATATTCTTATATTTTTCCACAAACTCAACCAATGCAAACTCCCTTCTCTGCAGGACCAGTACCAGTTCTGCTACAGGGCCAGTCTGGAGTACCTGGGAAGCTTTGATCACTATGCAACATAAAGCCAGTGGCCATCTCTTTTACCACATCCCCACCTAGTGCACTCCTGTAAGGTCGCACCCGCCTCAAGTCAATGCACTAGGCCGTGATGTGTCTTTGAAGATATTGCCACCACATGCAGAGTGAAGAGGGGACCATCGGCGTATCCTGTACCCAGAAACAGCACTTCTAACTGAGCCATAGCAACTTTAAGTGACAAGGGTGCATTCCTTCACACCCCCAAAAACACACACCCCTCATTTGTCAGCCTGGAGAAAAGAAACTCCATACACTGTAACAATCAAAAATGCTTGATCAAATCTACAAATACAAAAAAAAAAATATTGTGAGCACAAAGATTGCATTACGTTGTTTTGGGAGTGGAACTCTCACCTCGTCCAACACCAGTGTAGCATCACTAAACCTACATCTGAAGTCAATGGAATGTTGGGCATCAAAGGGGGCAGAGAATCTTCACTGAGAGGCCCTGTGGACTGAGAGAACCAGGACTTTTGAGCACCAGAGCTTTGCCAACCGGAGCCTGAACACAGAGCACATCGTATTAAAGACACCAATAGTGTTTTTTTTATGTTTTTTGGGAAATGGAAACAGACTTTTGTTCCCTGTGAATGAACAAGAAGATATATGTATTTCTACCATACAATAATAGACACCAGTTCAACCTTATGCTTCACCATAAGATAAGGGAAATCTGAGAGAGGTTTAAAATGTATACCACAGAGTAAAGCATTAATTTAGTTTTCTAGACAAAAAAATAGAGATGTGATTATCTTGTTTTTTTAACTGGGTATTATTCATGGCATGTTTCTCCTTTATAGCTTATTTGGGGGCTTTTGTACAAGACTTTGTCCTGACTAACTTCAACCAGACCAAGTTACGTATTTTGTTTATTGTTTTTTTTGTCCTGAAATAATCAAATGAGCTGTAGCGACCTTTTCATGTGATGAGGTATTATTGTCCTGAAAGTGTACAATCAATTGTAGTGTGGAAAGTGTTCACAGATCTATGGAAACACTGCATATGTGTCACTCTCTGATCCCTCCACTTTTCACAAACGTCAACCACTTCTATGTAGTGCTAAGAAAGTCTAACGGAGCAGATCAGAGTCGGACCATGATGCTTAAGATAATACAGACAAATAAGTGTCAAAATAAGAAACTATATTGCAATTCAAATTTGTAGGGGTTTGCAACAAAATCTCACTGGAATGCTCACTTTTGACTTGTCTAGTATATCTGTGTGCAATAAGTACATGTATTATATATATTTTTGTGTCAATTCACTAACAGCAGTTACATGCCATTACCAGTGCAACGTCAACAATGGGGTGTCTTTTTTTCAGACACGTCGATGTTTTCGTTCAGTTCAATTGTAATGAGAACGGAGGAGCGTCCGGCGAAAGTCCGGGGAAAGTTTTATCAGAGGCAGGAAATGATGTCACCGTTTTATGCGTCACAGCAACCACGAATGATCATTCTTCAGCTGCATCCAATAATTATTTTGATTTTAGATTTCTAGTGCCTTATATTACACGCCTATTTTGATAACATTACTTTACGGTTCTTTGTGGGTACTTTATGTTTGCCAGTGTGTATGTGTTTAGGACTGAGTGTCTGGTTTGTCAATTAATGTTGTTTTAATATGTAAAAGTCCATTGTCTATTCTGTTTTTTTTTTTTTATTCTGGCTGTGAATTTAAATGGAAGGCTCTTTGTGGCCTATAGCTTACAATTTCAATATAGCGTGAAGGTAATCTCAATGCCATCGGATAACATTTAACTGCAACCAAGTGGTGAATCAATAGAATGTTGTTGCCATTTTCTAAATATCTTGACGCTGCACATGTTTGTTGTATTTATTCTTTCTTGAGAACGTAATCGTTGTCCAAACTTGGCATTGACTGTGAGCTGGCTCAAAAAAGTCTTATCAAAGCAGCTATGTAGATGTGGGGCTATGGATGGAGGTCAGTAGTCAGTACGAAGAGGAACAACTTTATCATACAAAACTATAATTTACTGTTATGTACATGATGTTTTTTTGAGAGAAGATCAGGTGCTACGTCTCCTCATCAACACACCCATAAACTATTTGTTTTGTCATATTTTGTATGCATGGTATCACTTTTGAGATTTCCTATGTGGTCGCACCTGTTACAGGAAGACTTGCACTTTCTCTCTTTATACTATGCACTATATTAGTATCTTATTTTGCCCCTGAAGGAGTTTTACTTGAACTCGGTACAGACAGACCCTGATCCGCTAAGGTGGTTGTGTATATGTAAATACCACAGAGTGAAAGGCATAAATAAATGATATGATATAAATACCAGAACAAATGAATGATTAAATAATAAAAAGTAAAATATATAACTAATGATATAAGTTGCACCTGATGCACAGTTTATGACACTGTTAAGTGCAATACACAGCGTGGCTTTGTCGCACCACAAAACGTCTCACAACAGAAGTGTTCTATTTACCCCAATGTATTATGTGGATGGATAAAACTGGAGTTTAAAAACTGTATACAAGTCTATATAAAATGTGTTCTTTGGATTGGTTACCTCCAATTGGTCTCTTTTTGTCCATTTTATTTGTTTTTTTTTTTCTTGCTTTGAGTCAACAAGTGCTTTTTTATTTTTCTTATATTGTTCTCAGAGCGTGTGGGAAACAAATAACAGGTCTGTACAGACTTCTGTTCTTGTCGACACAAGTTTCATTTGTTACAAATAAACTCAAGTGAAATACTTTGTTATCTTTTGTTTTAAAACAAACCAGATTACAACTAAGGGAAGTGTTTTATTATTAGCATTGTCTGGAACTATTAGCATTCCACACAATGTCTTTTGTTGTTTTATCACCATGATGACATGTAAAGGTGTCCTAAAGCCTCTCTTTGGACTCTGGAGCAAATCAGATAGGCTTGGTGAAAGTATATTTAATATTCTTTTCAAACTCGAAAATTCTAAATAGGCCAATTTCCTCCTGACATTTTGTCAGTCCCTATGGCTTCAGTGTATGTAGTGAACATTTGTGGCTAAGATTAACACAAAAATGCACCAGTGCCAAAGGTAACAGGCGAAAAGGGCCTGGCTCGTCTACTCATGCCTGACGGTGTGAAGGATGACTGCACTTAGCCATTGTCGCAGACTGTCTTCTTTGTGGCAGCCTTCGACACGCTGCTGCAGAAGCCTCAGTTATTTAGTGCCAAATAACTTTCTTAGTCTGAACAATATCCCCCAAAGAAAGTAAAGTATTGACGATCAAACATTTTGTACAGCAGATATTTTTATGTATTCAAAATAATAACTACGCATCCATGTAATAACAAATACATATGCATTTAGTTCAATTTGTTTTCTTACAGGAATAAACAAAATTGAAACATAAGCAAGCCAAAAATAAATAACATTTTTGTTTAAATAATTTCAACAATGCGTTTAATCTAAAACAGTAGCATTTCACATTGGGAATGTCTAATGCAAAGTACATGGCTTCCTGCCTGGATTTTTATAGAACCAACATTTTTACAAAACTAATGTTTCATTTTAAAATTGAATCATTAATAATACAAGTTCTTTAAAAAATATGCAGGAAGAAAGCCTTTACACTGCCGAGACATGGTCCAGCAAAGCGGTTAGGAGACTAAGTTATACAAGCAGTTAGACATGATGAAAATACTACAAGGAAGGTGCATAAATAGTGAAATAAAATCAAAACCCCAGAGATAGAAAATTGCGTTTATATACACATTAAAGTATGTTTCTCCACAGATTGATGTGGCAGGAGTGTTATCTGTTAATCTGTGCGTGTCAGACCGCTCAAAAGGGCCCACAGTCAAAGCTCTCAGTGAGAACACGTCCAGGCTGCCTGATGAATGAAACACGCCACACACAGCCTCTCAGATGTTTCCCTGCATTTGATTTACAGAAGAATTCTGAGGGAAAAAGGATGAGATTCAAGATTGTTGGGCGCGCACACACGTACGCACATGTACGCACACACACATGCATGCACACACAAGCACACATACACCCACAGACAGGAGTTAGTTTAGATCATGGTATCATTTATCAGTCACTGCTGTGGGTATTCCTTTCCCTTTGGGGCTGCGCGGCGGCTCCCATGTGCTTTTGCCGGTTGTACGGAGGCCTGACAGCGCCACATAGTCCTTTTGGAAGCGGGTATTTGGAATTCGTTGACGTTTCCTTTCCCTTTGTGTAGTAAAAAAGGTGTCCTGGAAACGCATGCTGGACGCCGTGGACTAAATACAAAATGACAAAAGATGCATTATAAGTTTTCTTTTGGTTTTCTGAAAGAGAAATGCTTGATAATTGCTTAAGTCCGTAACTTACAAGTCTACGCTTCACTTTTTTAGGCAAGTCCTCTTCTAAGGTGTAGATGTCGTCTCTTTTTGCCAGTACCTGAGAACCATCTTCAAACTCCACCTGGACACAATACAAGACCACAGAGAGTTGTAAAAAAATAAAAAAAGAATAATAATAATAATACTAAGGACAAAAATCAATTCCCAATCACAACAGTGTTTGGGTTGTATTTGTTATGATTGCATTTAGACAATCCATCCTGGGAATTAGACATTTTTTGCAAGACTACTTTTTAATCTGAACCATCATGAACTGCGTCACTGATGCATTTGTGCAGATCTAATGGTTGACGTCCGGTTGATCTAAATAAAGCTTTAAGTGGATGCCTCTGTGCGGAGTGAATATTTCAGTAAGTTTGAATAATGCAGTTCATCACCTTCCTCTGCTTCACTCGCTGCATCTGTCCCTACTTTGAGTCTCAGGGGCCTTGTTGCAAATACACCTCTCTGCCTTCCTCAACCTACTTCTCTTCTTCCTGACATAGACTCATATCCACTGAAATTGTCAGTAGTCTAAATTATTCTGAAGTTAAAGTTCATACAGTTTTTGTGTCGTCTTAACACAGTTTGTACCTGGTACATGTAGGAGATGTTGGATCCCAGATATTTAGCACCATAGAAAAGCCCATCAGGCCATTTGACTTGAACAGCTTCGCCTACTTCAGGAGGACCTGTGTTTACACAATCTCTGCTCTATAAGTACAAAAATACACAGTTAGGCAGAGCATGTTAGATTGGGGATCTGCAACCACTGTGTAAAGAGCCACGAACGGCTCTTCAGAGCCTCTTTGCACTTTGGTTGTGGAAAAAGAAAAAACTATTTTGATGTCACAATATTGTTTTTAAATGTGTGGTTTTTGGTTTTAAAATGAAGAATATCCAGATTGTTCTTTTGCATGTCATATTTCCAAGGTTATTGCATATGACCAAAATTATATTTTACTTTTAGAAGTCAGTGTACAAGTAAGTAAATAAATGAATCCTGAACAATAAAGCGACTTTGATGTAACCATCATAACTCGCCCAGGCACAGGGAGACAGGAACTCCACACAGAAAGGCCCAGGCCGGCACAGAATTGAACCCTACTTGCTGTTAATAATCTTGCTTTGAAAAGGTGTGCACTGGTCATACTCTAAGTCAGTTTACTGACTGTTGCATTTGCATGAAGTGTGAACGTATCCTTGTCCCAAGTGAACCAGAGTTCACTTCAGTCACATCTGGTGCCTGTAGCTTATAAAGGGTGTAGATAATGAAGTGACGCTCACCACTATATCCTCTGGGTACGTGTCATTGGAGAAGGAGCCATCATCAAACATGACCTCATAGAAGGTTTGGGAGGTGATCTGTGTGACTTTAGAAGTGTAGTATCGCAGGTTTTTGTGTTTGGATATAACAGTCTGGTCCAGAAAGATGGACCCATGGCCCTCCGGCTGTTTCTGAAGGAAAGGCAGTAAAGAGGATCAATTTGGGTCACTGTGTACGTGTGAATTTAAAAGGTATACCGGTATATTTACATAGCTGTATACAGTAATATTAATGCATCAGGTTTAGTGTATTCCTTGTATTCCTAAAACGACTTTTACAAAATAAAAGACTTACAGCAGAGGAGCTTTGCATCTGATGCGTGTGACAGGTGATTGCCACCACGTACGGCCAGTCGTCCGGCTCTATAGAGACCCCTGCGGCGTGTGCACAGGTCACATGAAAGGAGGTGGGACATCGTCCATATGAACACTGTATGCAAGCTCCATACTGCCTTTTGCCCAGACACCTCTTCTGGCAGTAGCTACACTTCTGTAACACAAAAACAAAACAAAGGTAAACGTAAAGTGCCATAACCCAAGATGTTTCCTAATTTAAATATAGAAAACCAAAGAACTATTGTGAACACGTTATTTAAGAATTTCAAGGGTTTTCAAGACCATTAATGTCACTGCATTCTGATTGAGTCTAAAGTACATTCCTAAAGCAATCCTGGGGTTTTCAGCACCTAACAGCCAATCAAGTTCATGTCCTCTGCCAAACCACCTCAAGTGTTGATAACTTGAAACTATGCCGTATAATACTGCTCTAAACATTCAAAGAATATATCGTCCAATCTTTAATCTACATTCAACTTGCTTTAGAAGGAGTGAAACCTTTATTAGTCCCACAGTCGGGAAAGTATGCTCCTCTTTTGGGACATGACTGACGTGACTAAGTTGTCCTACTTTTTCTCAGTCTCAGACCTTGTGCATTATGGACAACGGCACTGGTGAACTGCCCCAACTGTCTACATATATTGAGGGCAGCTTGACAAGATCCTGACCTTGGTGATTTCTCCAAATAGCCTTTAAAGAAATTGTGGAATTTTTCTATAAATGCAAAGCAGCATAAGGGTGACTGGTGGAGTTACTTCTGTGCAGGTGAGAACATATCACAGTTTCTGTCAAGCTTGTACACTCTCTGGGCTGCGTTTTGGTGGCTGTGTTGAGCCATGCGTTAAGAACATTCCCACAGTAAATTATGAATGCGACTGTGTGTGTGTGTGTGTGTGTGTGTGCCTGCAAATGAATAATAAATGCATTGGTCTGTTGCAGGGGCAACGGGTCCAATGCAAACTTTAGAACACATCTCAATGCTCAAATAAGAGATAACTGCTACAAAAACAATACAGGTGAAACTAGGAAAAATAATGGGTATCATTAAAAAGTCCACTACTGTATTTGAACTTATAGCATGAAACTAATATATGATAGACTCATTACATACAAAGTGAGCTATATCAATATTTTGTGTTGATAATTGACTCGAAAATGGGCTGTAAGTAAAAATACAATGAAAAAATGTTGTCACTTTATGTGTGATGAGTCTACATCATATACTGGTTTCACCTTTTAAGTTGAATCACAGAAATAAATGAACTTTTGAACGATATTTGAGTTTCACCTGTAATGTCTCAGAACTGGGATGTAAAGAGATTGTAGAAATCATTTAAGTGTTAGTGATCAAAACCACGGTAGAATTACAAATTAGCAGTCTCCATTGTGTTGTACCTTTACATACAACGGCAAATTAATGTGTTGATTTCACGAATGTATCATATCATTTGGAAAGGGTATAGCTTGCTTAGTCTCGGGCCCGCCATGGTGCTGGACCACCCGAGATACTGAAGACTATATTCACCAGTGCTATCCAGGACATCGGGGTGAAATGTGGCCTTTGAGCGCATATTTCTGCCTCCATTCAGAGAGACCATACACCAATGAGCACAAGCAATTGATTTGCAAATATTATGGGTCGCTGGGACTTGGTTGATTGACCTCCTGGTTTATGTTGAGACGACACACACGTTGCCTCTGGTCATTATCGTATACATATCAATTGCTTGATCATTTGCGACCAATTTATTTGAGATGAGAAGTTTCTAAAATGTCGAATGTATTCTTTCAGTCATTGCTTATCTCTCATTTTCCCTGCAGGGTTCAACTACAGTGACAAAGTCAGGTCAGCGATACAGCATAAACCACATACCCGGACACACACCCTGCAGAGCTGAATCTTCTGGCTTTGATTGTAGACATGTTAATCTCACATTGTTAATTAGAACTGCGAACGCTCCATTAATTAGAGCAAGCCAGTCCTCAAGGACCTGGGGAATTCCTCCACCGCAGATGTGTGCGTAATCTCACCAGTTTGAAGCGCTGAGTCGGGATCCTGCTGGTGTCAATGGGACTCCTCTTGGCTTCGTCCCCAAAACGCACCTCTGGCAAAGCTATAGCGCACATCACATGAGCCCATCTGGACAAATTCACAGGGGTTACTTTGAGCAGGGTGTCAGGGTAGATTGTCTAAATGATTTTTATACAACATTGTTTTCTAGGAGTTTATTCTGAACGAAATGAGTGTAATTATGTCAAGAATGAGCAATAACGGGACCAAAGGTATCAGAAAATAATGTATTTATCTTTTTGCTTTAGGTTTAATGTTTTGAATAAAATATAGACTGGTTTCTTTAAAAGTATGGGTAGTATGGGCTACCGAGGAATGTTATAACATTTCTTAGTAAGTAAATAAGTCATCTTTATTTATATAGCGCATTTATACAGACCAAGGTCACCCACAGTGCTTTACAATGTTCAGAGTTCAGATGTTTTTCATTCTCTCCACACAAGGTGAAGACGAAAGCGAGACGGCGAACACACTTGCGCATCAAAGCTTCCAATCCACATCATCCATTCATTCATTCATTCATTCATTCATTCATTCATTACATTCATACCTATTGTACATGTTTTTAGTGGTAGGGGAATCAGGAGCACCCAGAGGACACCTATGCTGACACAGGGGGAGAACATACAAACTCCACTCAGTAAGGCCCGACCGGGATTCCTTGGTAGCCTATATTAACCTGCTAAGTTAATCATAATAACCGAAAATGTATGAAAATGTTGGGGCGGCATTTTTGACACCCACTGAGATAGAGGGATGAGGAGGTCCAGGGAATATGTCCCGTTACACATTACAAAACAAAGGCTAGTCTTACTTGTCATCAAGCGTTTTCTTGAGAGCCCCCCCTCTGAGATTACAAAGACAGCATTCCTAAAAATAAAAAAAATAAAAAATAGGTTCTCAGTATTACTTAGCGACATGACATGGAATATTAGTTCAGTTAAATCGCCTTACTGCTGTAATGCATTCTTCGGCACATCGATCACATGACCAGTGTTCACTAATAACATCCGTAGTAACGCCGTAGCAACCTAACAGGAACAGAATAACAACAAAGCAATTATATTTCCTATTGAAGAATGACCTTTTCTACACACAATAAAGAAGAATTGATAAATAATGACAAGCATGCATGTCCACAAGTCTGACTAACCTGATTTGCATGTGGAGATATGCAGGTAAGTAAGTAATGTTTATTTATATAGCGCATTTTACAGACCAAGGTCACCCAAATCACTTTACAATGTTTAGAGGTCTGATATTGTTCCAATCATTCCACACACGGTGATGACTGAAGCGAGTCACCGAACACACAGGCGCATCAGCCCCAATCAACACCATCCATTCACTCTCTCATTTACATTCATACCTATTGTGCATGTTTTTAGTGGTAGGGGAAACCGGAGCACCCGGAGGAAACCTACGCAGACACAGGGAGAACATGCAAACTCCACCCAGAAAGGCCCTATTCCGACCTGGATTCGAACCCAGGTCCTTCTTGCTGAGAAGCGAGAGTGCTATCGCCTCAGCCACCGTGCCACATAGGTAATCATATTCAGTAAAAGCCGAATTGTATTCTTAAAGTTTGTAACTGTAGTTTGTAAATTATAGTAGACTATTAAGTAATACATGTTTAAAAGTACTTGAAATTGGAAAGACACTAAGTAAGCTTTTAAGCTTTAAGCTTTATTTATATACCGCCTTTCACAGACCAGAGTCACAAAGCGGTTTACAATTGTTATTTTTGGGCACTTGTCCTCTCACTCCACACAGAGATGGGAGCGGGTCGCCAGTACAGGAGGCGCATGCCAGACCTATTGAACATAGGTCTGGCATGCGACCTGCCACAGATACTCATTCCTTCACTCATACGACATAATACACTGAATATATATAGAAGTCCTTAAAGGTATTGACAACCTTTTGATAATGAATATATCTGATAATAATTTGTTATTGGGAACCAACAAGTTCTTTTGAAGTACATTTCCACTGAAGTCATAAAGCTAAAAATAGGAACAGCAAATATAAGCATATTCAGTGTGTGGGCTTTTGGACAGGAAGTATATGGCACGAGGAGGACAGCAGAATTGACCCCATTTAAAAGATGAACCATAACACTGAACCGACCACAGTTTAGGGAAAAGATAAGAGGAATGAGTCAGTATGAAAAACTCTCTCGACCTGACAGACTGGCTGAAAGTACCAGGGTTGGAGATAAAGCTGGTGTACTGATTCTCATTTTCCTTATGACTGAAAACATGTTCTCTCACTGTGGACATACTTGCATGAACCTTTAGACAACAGCCTTGGCAGCGCAGTAACAAAGAGGTGCCATCTTCTTGCAGCAGCGGGTTTGTGGGAGTTGGAGGAGAGTTTTGTTCACGGAAAGAAAAACAGATCTCTGGAATTAGGGGTTTGCTTCTTGTGACACGCGTCGGGCTTGCAGATGACGACATGTGCTCAACTACTGGAGACCTCAACTCCTCTTCAGCCTTTAAGTGGGAGAAATGTGTACAATTTGAATCACAAAGAATTAACTCTCCACTTCACTTGTTCATAAAGAGTTTGGCGATTAAGCGGTTTACCTGATAATAAGGCATGAACAGCATACACACAGCACAGTATGGCTGCATGGTGCCAATAAGAGCATTGTACTCCCGTTCTGCGGAAAAGCAACTCTTCTTATTCTGCCAGAGGTGGGACAGGGGCATTGCCCAGGCTTCAATTTCCCTTTCCTCTTCTTCTGCCAAACTTGCTTCAGGGGGTTCTACGTGAGGGGAAATACAATACATTTACCCCATGCAACACATAGCTAGTAAACTAACTTACTGTTATTCCATAAGTGGAACAGAGTCATCATTATCATTATTATAATTGTTGTTAGCAAAATGGCATGGTATATAAATAACCATGTTTGACCAAGCAAGACCTCTGGATTATGATAGCATAGTTGCATGCATGACCTTTTACCAGGGTCATTTAAATAGTGCATCATCGTTAAAGGTAAGTAGTAAACCTTTTAGGGCTGAAATTAACAATTATTTTTGCTAACTGATTAATGAGCTATATAACAGTGGCATTAAAATGTATACCCCTTGAACGAATTCATTTGTTTTATTTCGGAAACATAAAGATAGTTTAGGTTTTAGCATTTGTCTTGCCATAGTCATGTATAATAGTGATTACTACAGGACACAAAGATGAGAATAAAACCATCGGTGTTCGATCTAGAGAACATGCACTGGAGCTCACCTTCATCACTAGCAGTCTGTTGTTTTACCGCTGTAGGTACAGCCCGAGCAGTGGGCTTTCTGAGTGGGTGACGCCAGCTCTTAGCCGTCCTCCTCATTGCTAGTGCAGCATACTGAATGTGGACATTTATTAGCAGTTATTACAGAGCCTGTAATTAACGACGTGTTTACATAAACACTTAACAAACCTTCCCAGCTTCTGAAGCAGAATCACCATCTTCACTGCTCTGAAGATCATTCTCATCCTCTTCATCATATGAGTCACTGCTGCTCTTGGCACTGTATTGCTGTTCCCCATCTGACTCAACTTCATCTAAATCCAAAACCTCCTCTTGTTCTGTTCCACTCTTTCTTTCTCTTTTCAACTTTGGATGTTGTGAAAGGGTTTCCACTTCATCTAACTGTCCCTGGGGAAGCTCATATTCGTCACACGGGTCCGGAGAATCCACAGTATTGAGCAGAGACATGGGCTGGAGCTGGGCCCAGGTGAAAGCCCTACTCTCCTCTTCCTTGTTGTTTGATCCACACAGCTGTAGTTCTTGAGGGTCTGCCACCCGTTTGCACTGAGGTTCAGTCCACATGGTGTAAGGGAAAGGCTCATGGGTGAAATCTAATGGGAGTTCAGGATTTACTTCAGCAGGACTTTGCAAACCTAAGGTTGGCCAGAGGCTAGGGGAAGCTTTTGGAACAGTGGCGGCGTTATGGGACAAACTCTGTGAAGTAAAGTTAGTAACTGAGTGATTACGTGTGCACAAGGGAGCAAAGGGGTTTTTATTGTGAGGAATCTGTTCAAAGACTGAAATGCCCACTGATTTAGAGACTTGCAAATGCTTGTCTAACAAGTTAGATTTTGGCTGTATTTGGTGATTGGATGTTTGGACAGGGGCTTTACTGTGTCCATGAAAAATACTGTTGTTTGAAGTTTGTTTCTGCATAGTTATACTAGTTAATTCAGATATACTGTCCTTTGACAAACATTCATCACTACTTTGAGAATCCAGATGAGGTATAGGCATGTTAGCCTGCTGGACACTTGGTAAAGATGCAGAGTCAGACGGCCGTTCAGGCTGTAGCACCGGAGCACTTCGATGAGTGTATGATCTACATTTGTCATAATGAGTTGGCCCCTCATTAGCAGGGGTAAGAGATGGCATCTCTTGAGTCAATACAGGCGGCAAAGGGCAGGTTCCACGCTGATCTGCTGTTTCAGGGTTTAGATATGGCATATCCACGGAATTGTTCTGCAGCAGAGGAGGAGGAAGGTTTGTCTCAGCGTTGCCATTGCTTATAATGCTCCTGGAAACTGAAGGGGATATCAAGTCACAAAACGTGTAACTCTGTCCATCTCTTGCCTCTGGTTTATCAAAAGGAGCTTCTGTATGCGAGTTTCTGAGTATTTGTTGAGGGTTGATGTTGGTTTTCTGCGATACTACACAGTTCCTACAATTCAAGGGGTCTGTCTTTGGTGAATACCTCTGCCGCTCTGAGACACACTTTTCAGTCTCAGAAATACTTGAGTGGATAGGCGTGACGCAGGTATCCGCTTTTGGGGTAAGAGTACTGGTGGGAGAGACCTGAGATGAAGAGAGGTCTGGTGGTTCATAGGAGCAAGAGTCAGGACACTGAGCATCGTCACCACAAGTCCTGTCAACATGTCCCAAGGACTGTGGAGAATTACTTCTGCTGTCTGTCTCAGTATTTGTGTCATTCACGGTCATGGCCACAGAACAGGATTTGGGTAAAAGGTTTGAGACATCCAGGTCTCTCTCCACTCTATTTACTTTGACCACACACCTTTGACGGCAGGCATCTGCAGAAAGAATAGATGTAATTTAATACAACAATGACATAACAAAACAACAAAATAACAATAACATAAAAACAATCAATAATACATATAAAGTAAACATAATGAACATTTAAAACTTGAACATACCCGACAACTCAGAGTTCAGACTAGGTTTGCATTTTGACTCTGCAGGTTTGTTTTGTTTTTTCTTGGATTTGGAAAGTCCTAGACCAGCTGTGCGCTTCCTCTTGCATTTATCCATTCCAACAGGTTGCTCTGTGGTTCGCAGACGTTTGGAGCCCATGCGGGACAGAGTACTGTAAAGAGCAAAGATACTCATTAAAATTGGATCATGCATGGCTCAAGACTTTGAACCAAATGTGGACATATAATACTTTGATAGTAATTATTACAACACCATTTATCAATGGGTTTATTTTTGCGTCGTCTTTGGAGCCAGCTTTGCAGTTCTGGTGTTGTTCGAGGAGTGGCCATGGTATGGTCAAGTGGTAAAGAATCTTTGCCCAGCATCCAGTTGGGGTAACGATCAGGCTGAAAGCGCTTCACAAAAGGCTCCATGGAGATCTTAACCATGTCCTTACTACATGTACACTATAAATTGCAATAATAGTAAATAAAATGAACAAAGCATTTTGCAGTCAATTTAAAGTTTTAAAACATTTTATACCTGTGTTGCCACTTTTCCATAGTCAATCCAACGGACTGTAGCAAAGTTAGTGGATTCAGCACAGTTGAAGCCATGATTGAAGCCAGCATGGTATCCATAAGGAAATGTGATCATAAACTCTCCAGCTTCTTGAGTGATCTAAAAAATCCACAAAATATCCAAATATATCAGGTTGCTTTCTACAAATAACTTGAAAATGTATCTTACCTTATCAAATGGAATGCCATACTTCTTAAGAATAGACGGGGAAATTAAAGTCATCTTGTGCCGAAGAAAAGCTTCACAGCCCTTAAAGCTATTTGGAAAAAATCCTAACAAAAAAAGAATATAGTTTTCTTAATTGGTGAAAACTAGCTTAATTACAGTCCAATGTTTCAACTGCTATACCCGTCGCCAAACGCTCCAGTCTCTTCCCATGTTCAGGGGGTATGGCATACCTGTTGGGACAACAAAAGACAAGCCAACTATGTTAGTAATACACTGGAAAAAAATATGAATGGCAATAGGAATACATTATATTCGCAAGCTTTGTTGAGCCAGTATCATATTAGCAAGAAATCTTCAAGTAAAAAAATTACGTTTCCACAGTATGCATGGTGACCACAGCAGTTCCAATACTGCCATCAAGTGGCACATAGTTTTATTAAAAAAAGAAAACGAGATGATGCACAGAAAGAACAAAAAACAAAATCATGATTTCAGAAATTGTAATTTGAATACTACAAATACAACAAGATTAAAGGATTATAAAATCCATGTGAAACCTTGAGCATTCTATAGTTCCCTGCAGTGAGACAAAGCACCGACTACCAACAACTGCCCAGGGCTCTCAGTGCACTTCTGCCATAATTTCACTTGTCAGCTTAACACAACAGAGGGAGACAGGGTGAGAGGTAAACTCACCTCAGGTAGAGCTGACAGTCTATAGGGAGTCAAGGGGGCCGGGGACTAAAAGAGACATGGAACTAGTGCAACTTTGACATAATGCACTCTTGGGAAAATGTCTAAAATATCAGAGAAATGTGTGTGTGTGTGTGCACACATGGGAAAGTGTCTGCCACTGTCTGAGCATGACACTGATCCCTGGGGCGTTGAAGGGCCCCACTGCTCTAACGAGCACAGCTCCCAAATAGTGCAGCCAATAATGAGAAAAATGGGAGTAGATATTAAATCTACAAAATAAATTATTTACATCACATTCTGACACATATATAATAATTTATTAATGACGGTGATTGTGTTGTTTTGACAAATCATTGTGCGTCTGTGTGGTTACAGTAAACAGAGGGCTTTCATGTGAAGCCATTAAGTTTCAAGGCTAGACAAGCAAAGAGTCTACAAGCAAAGAGTGTGGTTCCTGTCTTTCCTTATGTTATTTGAGAGTGGGTGTTTCTAGAGATCTTGTGGTATGATTGCCACATTAGACATGGCACATGCAACTCCATATTCAAACAAAAGCAAGTAGAACATGAAAAAGATAATGATGTGGCAACTGATGTGACCTGTTGTTGGTTTGTGAAAAACTACCTAAATGTCTAATGTGGTCCTCTTTATTATCAGAAGATAGTTGATAAAATTACCACTGTCCCCAAAATGAACAAATGCAATCTTATTCTTTTAGCCACAGTTTTAAAAAGGCGGATAACAGATTAAATTTTGTCTCCACCTTAAAAAAGGTGGAGACAAACTGGGATGGTCTTGAACGCACGTCTATGTTTTCTGTCGGCGCGTCTATGTTTTCTGTCGGCGCGTCTATGTTTTCTGTCCGCGCGTCTGTTTTCTGTCCGCGCGTCTATTGTCTATGGTCCTGTCCGCGCGTCTATGGTCCTGTCCGCGCGTCTATGTTTTCTGTCCGCGCGTCTGTTTTCTGTCCGCGCGTCTATTGTCTATGGTCCTGTCCGCGCGTCTATGGTCCTGTCCGCGCGTCTATGGTCCTGTCCGCGCGTCTATGGTCCTGTCCGCGCGTCTATGGTCCTGTCCGCGCGTCTATGGTCCTGTCTGCGCGTCTATGTTTTCTGTCCGCGCGTCTGTTTTCTGTCCGCGCGTCTATTGTCTATGGTCCTGTCCGCGCGTCTATGGTCCTGTCCGCGCGTCTATGGTCCTGTCCGCGCGTCTATGGTCCTGTCCGCGCGTCTATGGTCCTGTCCGCGCGTCTATGGTCCTGTCTGCGCGTCAATGGTCCTCAGTGTTGTGCCAGTTCACAGCTTTTCTGAACTAGTTCAAGTTCAGTTCATACATGGTCAAAGAGAACAATTCACGTTCAAAGTTCACGATTTTAATTCTGAACTAGTTCAAAGTTCAGTTAATTTGACTTTATTCGTGAGATATTCAAATAAATATAGAATATATATATATGGTTCGGAGTGACTCCCTGGAGAAGGTCTTTGTGTAATATAATTAGTATTAGTAGTGCAGAGTCCACTCGCCAGACCTCATACTCAATGTATGTAACAGATTGTTGTGTGCTCCACATTTACCAAGACTTGGGTTCTCCGAAGTGTAGGTAGTTGATACTGTACAGGTCCATGTCTTCAGTGTGCCAGGAGAATGAAGTTTTCCACATCCCAAAATACAGATATGGTGTGTTAACGCCTTGGATAGATACACCGCAGTCCTCCTCGATTACATCTAAGATGGAGTTTAAGTGGCCAATGTTCCACTCCTCCACATCCTGCGGGACAAGATTAAGTCAATAATTTGTATGAGAGCTTTATATTGAGTGTAGGAAACTTTAAAAAGTAAATAATTGTCCCCACCTCATCGTACAGGCTGCCACCAACATCAGCACCATATATGGGTGAGACAAATGTGAGGTTCTTCCAGTATTTTCTCTCAAGATCTTCATAATTTAAGTACCGTGGTGTGCAATACCTGTGGAAATTTGAATGTAGTACTATAAGCCATAATTATGTATTAACTACATCCAGTGGCAATAGATGACACAATTTCAAAATTGTGTCATCAATTGCCAATCTTATACTTACATATCACTATTCGCTAATCTCCGAAATTCCTGCACACTCAGAGGCTTCTTTTGAATATTGTATTGAGTAAACAGCCCAGACTGGCCTGCTACCATCTGTTGTATTGGGGCATCAATCATTAAGTCATCTATATCATCATAAGTTCGTCGAGGTTTCCATCCTTTTGGGGGTATAACCTAAGAAATTATGTGAAATTTACATGACAGACAATCCAAACTTCAAATGAAATGTTCAATGAAATGTTTTAGGTTTTCAGACTGACCTTTGCCAAACCTGCACGATGGGCACCTTGAGATTCCATATAGACCAGGTACTGATTGAAATCCTTGAATTCTTCCATGGTTGGCCTGAACGTCATTATTTTGCAGGTGGGGTTAGCAGGGGTGCATGCCTCTGCTCCCGCCATCCTGCTGTTTTTCTAAAATAATAAAGTGACACAATTATAGTACATAAGTAATCTTGATTTATATAGCAAAATTCAAGCACTTAACAATGTTTTTGGAGTACCGAACACTGGCGCAACAAAGCTCAACCCATGACCATTCATACTTATCACATGCAGACACGGGGAGAACATGCAAATTCCACACAGAAAAACTGGAGGGGGAACTGAACCGAGTCTGACTGTGAAGCTCAAGTGCTAACCACTGCCCCGCACACATTTTCTAACCAATGTATGGCGTTTAATGCATTATACTTTTAAACCACTAGATGGAGGTAGAGTTTTTATGTTTTATCCCCTTTCAGCTCGCTTGGCAGTAGATTCTGCCCGGTGTTGTTGGGGACCCCATCCCAAGTTGGACTTTGCAAGGAAAAGGAACAATGGGGATGCGTCTCTGAATACATTCTATGGCATTGATTTTTTTAGATGATTAAACTCTTTACACACGTTCATTGGTAACAATGTTTATCAAAGAGAAAACAGAATAAATTAAAGGGTAAAGGGCTAAATTAAGTGTTTACGCGTTGAGAAGGTACCGTTTAACGGCAAAAGTTGCATTGGCTAATTAAAAGAAAAAAACAATAGCAACAATATCTTTTAATGTTTGAACTATTCGTGCAAATCTATTAAAAAAATATGAATATGAGTTCCAAGACTGTTTTGGATTTTCAATACTTAAAAAATGACCGAGCATTTACGATAGATCTTTGTTGTGCATCATTATTAGCCAACTAGCGTACGTTTTGTTGTTATACCAAGCAATGGCTGCACAAATAGCACTGGTAGCTAGCTTCAGACGAGATTCACTTTTAAATTTTTACGTTATTGCTTTGACTGGAGAACAAGGAAACAGTGCATGTGTAATTTGCACGATAGTGCCAATTCAAATAATGTAAAATACGACAATACAATAACTAGCTAGATCATACAGCTAAGCTAGTTAACTTCAGCTGGATGTTTAAATGCCCCGAGCACGGTGGCCGCTGCAAACGGGCCTGTGGAGGAGGATGGGCTTTGTAACTACAGCTGGCTAGTACTTAACTTTTAGCATTAGTCAAACGGTTTTCACTTTTTTGACGCAAACACATACAAATCGCCCTTTAAGAAACGTAAACACATATTATAAACATATAAATTAAACTCTATAAAATGCTGTGTGGTGTTCGTGCTCAATGTGCAGAGCTTCTTTAGCTAGTCAACGCTAGCTTTAAATAGCAGCGCTACTACAACATTAATCTTAAAGGGTTAAGGTGTGCAAGTAAGTACATTTTAAACAACATGTGCATAACTAGATTATTGATCACTCAGCGTCGGGGATTTACCTTTAAATTGATAATGCCCTGTTGTTGTTTATCCCTCCCTTGTTCGTACAGCTGATTCACATGACAGTTACCCTAGCGGTAGCTTGTGCTGAACTACCCGACTCTATGGTGTCCACTGATCTCTAGATGATGTGGTCTCCCTCCGCGCATCGAGAGTGTGCGCGTCATGTTATCATCCATACACTGTTAGATCTGTGACGACTCCAGCGAGGATAAAAAGAGCGAACAATTGTGTTTACTAAAAATACTCAAACAATCACTAATATTTAACCGAAACAAACGATTACTTTGCGACAAAACAAAAAAATATGTATTTATATTTATTTGTTTCTGTTTCAGCCGTGACTCCATGACCACCAGGGGTCGCTCGGGATCATTAGAGTAAACATGGCTGCCCAAGATGAACTCAGTAAGTTTCTATCTCTATGGGTATTAACATTTAGATGATATAGTGCCTGCTCATGAACATCATTGTATTTATTGACAGAAAATGCTCGAAAATATGAAATGTGAAGTTATTGTTTTACAATAGATATGGCAAGACAACAAAGCCTGAGCTAGCATGCTGGGTAGGCGTTAGAAGAAGGCCCTATGCACCGTCATGCTCACTATTTCTGTTCGCTGTAACAAAATGTGTTTTCTTGGATTTTACCAGTATGATGTTTTAAAAAGGGGTTATCCGTTGGGATTTGTATGTTTAATGTGCATGCGTCTCAGAAAATGGCCATTACAGAAACATTTCACGTTTGACTGGTTAGATTGCCATGCTAAAGAAGTTGAATGGTTATTAGCTGAAAGCTTTTCTGTCAGATTTGAGATTACATTTTACCATCTTACGTTTATTATTATTCCTTATTTTTTGCTAGATCAATTGGAGCGAGTGTTTCTTCGCCTGGGGCACGCAGAAACAGATGATCAGCTGCAGGATATTATCTCAAAGTTCCTGCCTCCTGTTCTTCTTAAACTCTCCAGTGTCCAAGAAGGAGTTCGGAAAAAAGTAATAATGAAAATAACAATGCCTTGCAATTGTAAAGTGCCGGGTGTTTACGTTGTATCAGATTTTATCACAGTATCTTATCCCTTTGTAATTACACATTCATCACATTGAACAGTCTTATGACATTTCTAACAGGTTATGGAGCTATTGGTACACCTAAACAAGAGAATAAAAAGCCGGCGTAAAATTCAACTACCTGTGGAAACTCTGCTTGTCCAGTATCAAGATCCTGCTGCTGCTTCCTTTGTCACTGTAATTTGAAAGCCTTTAAGTTGCATTGTTCTTAATAAAATCCACAGTTAAGTTGTAGCTGCAATTTTAATCACTAATCTATTTTAACAGAATTTCACTATCATTTATATAAAAATGGGATATCCTCGACTGGAAGTAGAAAAACAGTGCGAGATGGCACCTACCCTGCTCACTGCCATGGAAGGAAAACCACAACCACAGCAAGACAGGTGCAGGACAATACACATAACACTTTAAAGTATATCAAATCAATCTGAACTCTTTTCAAATGTCAATTTAACCTTTTCTTGTAGCCTTATGCACCTCTTGATCCCCACTCTTTACCAAATGAAGTACCCAGCTGACACTACCAAAAGTGGTTTTCCATTTAACTTAACAGAGAGGCCTAAGACTGTACAGCTGCTGCTGGAGTTCATGTTAGATGTATTGCTTATGCCTTATGGGTAAGTTTCAACACTATTTTGTATTCACTCTTCTTTTAATACCAATGAATTACCTCTGAACAAATATAGGTTTGTGCTGAATGATTCTCCAACTCGCCCATCTCCCTCTGCATCCCAAGGGGGGTCAGAGGATGTGGCAAGTACCGGCCAGGGTCTTCCTCAGCCTCCTCCAGGAATGAGTGTTTATGCTGCCAAAAGAGTAATAGGAGAATCGCAGTGGAGTGCTGAGCAACTTGAACAGGTAATTTCATGTTCACTTAGAGATGGACTTACTGACTGAAATGGTTTACATTGTATCTGTGTTGCTTTTAATAGTGTAAACTAGGGATCGTGAAATTTATTGAAGCAAAGCAAGTTCAAGAGTTAGAGACAGTTGTGCATTTGGTGATTGCATCGAGTGATACTCGTCACGGTGTTGCAACTGCTGCAGACCTGGAGCTGAAAAGCAAGCAAAGGTGAGAGGCACCAACTATTTCAAGCTGTATCATTGTGATGTGTGGATTCATTGACTGTGATTGAATCCATCCTATCTCTCTACCCCTTTTCTAGCTTAATTGATTGGAACAATCCTCTAATAATCAATAAGTTGTATAAGGTGTACTTGGGTGATGTTCCCCTCAAAACAAAGGTGGGTTTTGCATTAATAAGTCCAACATATGAGAATGTTATTTAACACAAAGTATTTATCTCAGGGTGGGGCTCTAAAACAAGAGTTAAAACATGAACCCGTGAGTACCAGAGTCAAACTTAAGATTCTGCCTCATTTTCTTCGATCACGATTTGCTGCAGAGTGCTTTCCAGCTAATATCCAGGTACGCTTTTCTTTGATTACTGGTCCTATAGGAGGGGTGTAACAATGCATTGTGCCACAATGCAGGCAATTTTCTATGTTGATTGTTTGTAATTCATATTTAATTTAGTCACATATGCTTATTTAAACTACCCCAAAAACTGCGCACAGTGTGTCTGTGCTATTGTCAAAACTGGGAGCTGGATTCGAAGTCACCACACACACAAACAGGCACCCACAGGCCACTAGAAGGGGAAAGGGGATGGTGCAGTAGACTAGTAAACCATATGTGAGTGTTTACTACCATAATGAGCACATACCCTGTGCATTAATATTAAGCAGTTACATTTAATGTAGTGAAATGCAAATAACTTAATGCTTCAAACTGTGTATTGGACCATAATTATAATATACAACATTTAATACATTTTTGTGTTGTTTTTTTCACACCCAGATGAGAAGTGTTTAATTTTGAGTGTAGAACGTGTTGTGAACCTTGGGTCCTGCGTTGTGAACTGAATGAAATGTGGGATTTATGAATGGTTTTATCCCTACACTTTAAGCATTAATTAAAGTTACTACTCAAAAGCTGTACCTTATTCTTTGAAATAATTATTTGTTCAATTTACAGGTAGTTTATGATGGTCTCTTTGGAGCAAACACCAACAACAAACTGCTGTCACTCACATTACAGTTTGTTCACCACATCTGCATGGTGTAAGAGATACATTTCCACACACATTTTATGTACACTACCGTTCAAAGGTTTGGGGTCACATTGAAATGTCCTTATTTTTGAAGGAAAAGCACTGTAGATAACTTTAAACTAGTCTTAACTGTATAGAAATACACTCTATACATTGCTTATGTGGTAAATGACTATTCTAGCTGCAAATGTCTGGTTTTTGGTGCAATGTTGTAATTGCAGCAAATGGAGGATTCTTTGACGAAAGCAAAGTTGGATGTAAAACAAATCTTATTTCAAATACAAATCATTATTTTCTAACCTTGTCAATATCTTGACTCTATTTTCTATTCATTTCACAACGTATGGTGGTGAATAAGTGTGACTTTTCATGGAAAACACTTGGGTGACTCCAAACTTTTGAACGGTAGTGTATATATATCTATATATATTACACCCACACCAATAATTTTGCCCTGTTCCTATTGCAGATGCCCTGACACAAATAAACCATTGGGACTGATGCTACTTAATGGTCTTACAAAGCTTATCAATGAATACAAGGAGGTAACAAACTCTTCATCAATTTCTTTTTACTTCTTTTTTTCCTCTGAACTCTACAAGTTTTACATATACATTATTTTTGCAGGATCCAAAATTATTGTGTGTTGCATACTCAGCGGTTGGGAAGCTGTCAAAGTAATGATTACCCTTATTTATGTTTTTGTTATTATTATTAAGCAAAATCACTAACTTTGTGTGTTGAATATGTCTGCAGCCGGATGCCGCAGCTTTTCACAAAAGACATAGCTCTTGTTCAACAATTTTTTGAGTCTATGTGTAAGGTAAGAAAAATAGATTCTCAATTGCAATAGTGCCCTGTTAAATAGTGGCCACTAATTTCTGTCTAATTACTTTTAGGAGGAACCAGATGTACGTCTAGCTATTCAGGAGGCGTTATCTATGATGGTTGGTGCCTTTGCTAAATTGCAAGGTGCACAGTTAAACCTGATGGAAGCACTTGTTGCGGCATACATTGTAAAGGTAATAGCTGGAATATTTTTCAAAAAATAATTGGTGTCGGTGTATGTTACAACATGGGCTTAATCAATCAAACACTTTATAGCCTGAAGTGCAGGTTCGTCAGGTTGCCATGAAGTTTGCCAGCACTGTGTTTGCACCAGATCATGTACCGTCCAGGTACCTTCTGCTTCTGGCAGCTGGAGACCTGTAAGTGTGAATGGACATCTGCACTTGCATTTAACCTATTGCTATATACAATACAATATTAACATAATAATACACAATTACAAATGGTTGTTTTTGCTTTTACAGGAGGGAAGAAGTATCTGGAGAGGCTCAAAGAGTCCTAAGGGCTGTTCCTACTAAGATCTTAGAGAAAGAGGAACAGAAATCCATGCCCCCCTTTCCAGATATGGTGGCGTACGTTCAGGAAAAGGTGAGGGCACATTAATTATTCACACATCGATGCCCTACATGTTTTGTTGATGTTGACGGTGATTGTTTGAATAGGCTGCTCAGAGAATTAAAACACCAGCTAAGTACAGTGTTGGGACATCGACTATCCCCTTTAATCCATCAGCATTTTCAGAGGTAAATGTGTTTCTGTCAGGATTATTCCGTTTCTTGTTAATTTATTTGACTCAATTATATCCAGATCATTTTGTACCTGAGGATGTGTCTGGCTCATAGCGCAGGTGTGACACCTGTTACAGCGCGACTTTCAGAAATGCAAGATGATGCCCCAGTCATTGGCCGCTATGTACAGACGCTGCTGTGCTCTCAGTCCATGAAGGATTCTGATGAAAACCCAGTGCATATCTATATAGAGTTGCTGCACCAGCTGCTGAGTGCTGCTGCAGGTGTGTTAACTCTGAAGAAGATGTTGTTTATATATGACCATATTTAATTCTGATCTCTCACACTCTATACTCTGAACTGAAATTCCACTAACTTATTGTATTTCCCCAAAAATGAACAAGGTATTCCTGTTATGTATTGTCTCCTGGAAGTGGTGTCGGTCTGCCCAGATAAGTTGGCCCCCGGATTTGTTAATAAAATTGACTGGATAAAAGTAAGATATACATTCAGGTTTGTGTTTCACATTTAAGTATATAACCAACATTTTTGTTATTCTTTTCAGAGCTTGATGAACACAAACAAAGAAGACATGAGGGAGCTTGCAGCACAGCTTTATGCAGTTGTGGTTTCTAGCATGACAGGCAACGAACTGCAAGCGGCTGTCCATAACCTTGTCAAGATAACCAAAGATAACCATGTGAGTACCCCTGTCAATACCCATGCCTATGACCATAACACGTCACCCCTGTCACAAGATTAATAAAAACATATCTTAATCCAATCTCTTCATGTGTAGAGCCCTGAAACTCAGCATGGTGCCATTATGGCTCTTGGTTTTATGGTTGGACGGTATATGAGTAGAAAGAAAGCATTTAGTCAGCAGCTGAGCAGTACGCTCCAAGACAACGATGACCTTGTGTCATTGGCTACAAAAACAATTGGTAATTGTACATTTTGATGACAAATATTCCTGACCATTCCTTAACACACATCTTTTACTGCTCTTTCAGGCTCCTTTTTGGACAATTCTAGCCCGCTATTGACAGTCGCTGCTTGTACAGCTCTGGGAGAAGTCGGGCGCAATGGAGTCCTTCTAATCCCAGCTGAAGGAGAAGGCTTTACTCAACTATCTGCTGTGGAAAACCTTTTGTCACGCATTCCGTCGGGCAAAGAGAGCTCTAAAGTAAGCCAATTTTGTTATTAATATCTTGGTATTTACTCATTTCACACATCTGTGTTAGATGAAAGAGCGTTCCATCATGACTTTGGGCTACCTACCAGTGGGAGATGGTGACTTCCCACATCAGAGGAAACTGCTGCAGGGTCTCATGGACTCAGTCGAGGTGATGGTTTAACTGACTCACGTTATACATGAGAAGGCAGTCTAAATACAACTGTCTTGATATATTCTATATTTCATAGGCGAAACAGGTAGAGTTGCAATTCATTGTTGGGGAGGCAATCACAAGCGCAGCCATAGGTACAAGCTCAGGAGCGGCCAGAGATCCATGGACATGTACTGAAGAACAATACAGTCCACCTTGTCGTAAGGACCCCAATTATTAATATATTTTGGAATATTAATGAAACTTTTAAAATCACCGTTTGATTTTCCCTTCATAGATGTGAAGAACAATGATGTGGTTCCCTGGGTTCTAAGCTCAGTTCTAACAAAATATATACCCAGCCAAAATCCCCATGTCCGACAAGCCTCTTGTATATGGTTACTTTCCTTGGTGAAGAAACTAAGCCAGCATAAAGAAATAAAGGTATCTTAAATTATTAAACCTGTTGAATTATGTAATTAATCCTAATTTTATTTTTGTATCTATACAGTCCCATTTGAAAGACATTCAGAATGCATTCATTTCCGTCCTTTCCGACCCTGATGGTAAAATGTCACACTCACAGAATGATCCCACCTAAGCAAATGATGAAATTTATATTTGAACTCATGATTTCCTGCAGAGCTGAGTCAGGATGTTGCATCTAAAGGTCTTGGTTTGGTCTATGAGATGGGCGAAGAGAAAGACCAAAAGGAACTCGTGTCAACCCTTGTAGAAACTCTCATGACTGGAAAAAGGTGAACTCAACATTAACCTTAATTATGTCACGCTCTATCTTCGTTCTGCAAAAACTTACTGCAAGATACTTGTATCCTTATTTAGAGTTAAACACAATGTCAATGAAGATACAGAAGTTTTTCAAGGGGAGAATTTAGGAAAAACACCTGACGGGTAAGAACTGAATAATGCTGTTACTAATGCTGTTACCAATACTGATAATATTTATCATGAGTTTACCTTTTACTTCCTCCTCCCTAAAGTCACGGTTTGTCCACTTACAAGGAGCTCTGCTCTTTAGCCAGTGACCTGAATCAACCTGACCTCGTCTACAAGTTTATGAATCTGGCAAATCATCATGCCATGTGGAACTCTCGGAAGGTACAGGATCCATAGGACCTCGATGGGTCCGGTTTATAGTTTTGTTATTTTGATAATGTGCAATGTCTTCTCTATTCAGGGAGCAGCCTTCGGGTTCCACATAATTGCTGCTAAAGCTGGAGAACAGTTGGCACCTTTCTTGCCACAGCTTGTGCCTCGTCTGTATCGTTACCAATTTGATCCAAACCTGAATATTCGTCAAGCCATGACCAGTATTTGGGATGCTTTAGTCACTGATAAGACTCTGGTAGGATTATATTGCATTACTTTTATTTTCTGGCAATCTTGCATAAACATGTCTATAAGTACAGTGTGTGGCTCCTGGAGTTGGCATCGGCCTCTTGACTACATCTCTGATCAGGGCTGTCTTTGTTTGGCTTGTTAGTTTAGTTGAACAGCCATGTCTTTAGTGTTGAGTATGTTTTCAATAGTGCCATACTATTTCTATTAACTCCCCTGACATGTTCCCTGACTCATGTTTCGTGACCAATATTCTCTAAACAAACCTGAATCCAGCTGTTATTTTAGTGTTGTAAAAAAAAAAGATTGAATAGACTGTAATTGTAATTTCTACACTGATCACTCGATTTGGCTGTAAATATCCTTTAATTAAAGTTTTCACTCCACACCACCACAATGCCATGTCAGAAATGTAAAATATTTTTGGCTCTGACTTTGCCTGTATAATTCAGGTGGATAAATACCTCAAGGAAATTCTGCAGGATGTTCTCTCCAACCTGACAAGTCCCACTTGGAGAATAAGAGAGTCCAGGTACAGATATTACATTGCTGTTTACTACCATATTTAGTCTTTCATTTCTTAACTTAATTCACTTGTTGCAGCTGTTTAGCTCTCAATGATCTGATCAGAGGTAGACAGGCAGAGGACCTCACTGATCATCTTGCAGAAATGTGGGAGACACTATTCAGAGTCCTTGATGATATCAAGGTTTGTCAAATAGTAATAGTATATGTTCAGACTGGATGATACTGAGATTTACTTGCATTTGTATACTTTTTTCAGGAATCTGTGCGGAAAGCAGCTGATCTTGCACTGAAGACTCTTAGTAAGGTGCTTACAACTCTTCTGGGTTTCATTTTTTCTCTAGTTGGCAGAGTGATCATGGAAAATTAGGCAATACAGCGAGTTTTCCATCACAGCAGCAGCTACTTTATTGACGTAACATACACATCAGTTTTATGGCAATCATTGTAAATTGATAACCCTATGCTAAACTACTGTCCTCACATTTTCTCTTGTTCAGGTGTGTATTCGTATGTGCGAGTCCACTGGCTCTGGAGCTCAGAAGACTGTGTCTGTGCTGTTGCCAACTCTGCTGGAGAAGGGCATTGTGAGCAGTGTCTCAGAAGTGCGCGCGCTCAGGTAGTGGTTTGTATATTACAATTGGAACAAACTTGTTCAATGCTTATTTTTTATATTGTGTCCCCATGCTGTGTTTGATACCATCAGTATTCAGACCCTGGTGAAGATTAGTAAAACAGCTGGTGCTCGGCTAAAGCCTCATGCTTCAAGACTTATCCCAGCTCTTTTAGAGGCTCTGAGCACACTTGAACCACAAGTCCTCAACTATCTCAGCCTTAGGGCCACTGAGCAGGAAAAGGTATTACTTAAATGTTATTAAGTTATTTCGTTTTTGAGTAACTTCAAAGAAATCAAAGTCATACATCTGTGTATAATGTTACTTAGAGTGCCATGGATGCAGCAAGACTCAGTGCTGCCAAGTCTTCTCCTATGATGGAGACAATTAATATGGTAGGTATCACTATCACTCTACCAGACAGTTTTAAATTCTGGAAAACAAAAGTATGTGTGTTTCTCTCTTGGGTCCAGTGTCTGCAGCACCTGGATGTATCAGTGTTGGGAGAGTTGGTCCCCAGACTCTGTGAGCTCCTGAAGAGTGGCATGGGGCTGGGCACCAAGGTAAACAAGCCTTATCTATGCTGTCGCTCGACACTAAAGGGGCGTTCACACCGGACTTAACTTCGGCGTCAAAAGCGTCAGGTTTCCATTGAAAGTGAATGGTGAAGCGCGTCAGGTGAAGCCGAGAGCCCCGGCGTCACTTGACGCGCGTCAAAAGCTTCAAGAGTCGCGCGTAATACGCGCTCACTTGAAGCTTTTGACGCGCGAAACGCTCGCGTATCAAAACAATCCCTCTGACGCCGAAGCTGAGCAAAGCTGAGCTTTTGAAGCTTTGACGCGGGCTTCAACCAATCAGGAGACGAGGAGCAGCAGCAGCAGAGGGTCTGTCTCTGTCATGAAGAGAAGTCATGCTGCTGCTGTTTTATTGTCATTATTGTTATTAGTAATATTATTTGTATGAGTAGTAACGTTCTGAGTAACAAAATCATTGTACACATGCTGTGTAGTAAACGTAGTTTATTTAAAATAAGAACAGGCTGACGATGAGTCTGGCTCAGAGCAAGGCAGCTCCGGGCGGGCGAGAGCCGGGGCGAGGCAGGGAGAGGCGGGGAGAGGCGAGCGAGAACCGAGGAGAGGCAGGGAGAGGCAGGGAGAGGTGAGCGAGAACCGAGGAGAGGCAGGGAGAGGCAGGGAGAGGCAGGGAGAGGCGAGAGCCGGGGTTTGAGAACTCAGACTGGGCAAGTGACATGCGGAAGTACCGCTGAAAGCGAAACTCCTCCGTACGCAGCTCCTGGAGTAAATGACGGAACTCTGCAAACACTGCAGCCTCTCAAGTCTGTGGTGAACCCAGAACATGTTTTGTTGAAGCCCTACAACAACGTTATTTTGCTTTATATAACAAATAAAGGCTCGCTGCTCATTGAAAAATCCACCGCTGTCCTGACTACAGACAACAGAGAAGCTCCTCCCACCGGCGTCAGGCGCGTCACTCGCGTCAAAAGCTTCAAGCACCAAAATGACAAAACTATCCCGGCGTCAGTTGAAGCGCGTCAAAAGCTTTTTGAAGCTTTTGGTCTGAACGCGCCTTAACGTTGTAGTACTTTATATTGATCTTATTTTTTGTCTCCATAGGGCGGCTGTGCAAGTGTCATAGTATCCTTAACTGTGCAATGTCCCCATGACCTTACCCCCTACTCAGGTGCATTCATTATTACACAAATTGTACTACTCAAAAATATGTAAAAAGCACTGATAACGAAGGTTATTGCTTGTGTTTTTGATTTTAAGGTAAATTGATGAGTGCCCTCTTGAATGGTATTCATGACAGAAGCAGTGTTATACAAAAGACCTTTGCCTTTGCTCTTGGACATCTTGTCAGGGTGAGGACATTTGTGACTTTTTGGCCAAATCAGTTTGATTCATCATTCTAATGATTGTGTGCTTCTATCAGACCGCAAAGGACAGCAGTGTTGAGAAACTTCTGCTGAAGCTACACTCTTGGTATTTAGAGAAAGAAGGTGAGAAACTTATACAACTGCTGTTCAAACAAAATTTAAGGTTTGAGATGCTTATATTTAAACCCTTGATGTGACTTTTGTTTCCACTAGAACCAGTTTACAAGTCATCTTGCGCATTGACTCTACATGCCATCAGCCACTACAGCCCAGATGTGCTGAAGGGCCATGCAGGAGTGGCTTTGCCTTTGGCTTTTCTGGGGATGCACCAGGCTCCTGGTCCTGACGAGGAAAAAGGAGAGAGCCATGATGCCACTTTGTGGGGAGAAGTTTGGCAGGATAACGTACCAGGTTACTACTTCACTTTTTACTTCTCCAGAGGTGGCAAGTAACTGTATTTTTATTTGTGCAGTGTATTGTCTTGGTATCTGTAGTATAATTCACTTTTTTTTTTTCAAACATTAAATGGATAACACTGTCACAACATAAAACATGGTTGAAGTTATTAGCCATGCTTCTAAGAAGCAAACCTCAACAAATGAATTTACTAACTTCAGATAACCAGTCAGGTTAAGTTCTACATGGTTTGTCATATTCTCATATTAGTTAAGGCAATGCTTAAAATATCTCAAATGAATATATTTTTAGTCAAATGTTTTTGATGAATAATTGACGAAGTGCAAACAAAAGTTTGTATATTTACATATAATAAATGTATATTTCTGTTGTCTAAGGGAGCTTTGGTGGCATCAGACTATACATGACTGAGCTCATTGCCATAACTCAAAAGGCGCTCCAATCCCAGTCGTGGAAGATGAAGGCTCAAGGTGCTGCTGCCATGGCTACTGTTGCTAAGGAACAGACTGGTTCTCTGGTGGCCCCACATCTGGGTCTGGTTCTCACCGCTCTATTACAGGGTCTGGCAGGACGGACCTGGGCCGGCAAGGTACAGAATTATTAGAAACTTTGTGGAAGGCAATTGATTGAAAATATTTTTTTGGTGCAGGAGGAACTGTTGAAAGCTATTGGATCTGTTGTATCAAAATGCAGGTGACTGACTACATACATTTTTATTCTTTACACATTGTAGCAAAAGACTATTTCTTTTTTGCTGTTTAGTACGGAGTTACAGAAACCTTGCTCAGGGCAGCCCACCATCTCAGAGATCCTTGATGTGGTGTTAAAAGAATGCCGCAAAGAGAGCCTTGTTTACAAAATGGCTGCCCTGCACTGTGCTGGAGAGGTACTCCACAGCAGCCAAGAGGACTGTTTCGGGATAATGATGGAGATACTTCTGCCTCTCATCAAGAAGGTATCTTTGTTATTCATTGTAAAAATATTTAAAGAGTTCAAAAAATGTATAAATTGAGAAAAGTGAATAACGTATAATTTCTATTACAAAAACAGAGTTGTCCAGAAAGTCGTATTTCATCAAAGCAATCGCTGGATGATGACGATACTGACCGTAAAGAGAGAGAGCTGAAGACTGAAGTCCTGCTTTGTGCTTTTGAAACTCTTGGCAAAGTTTGGCCCAAAAATCCTCTGACTCAAGGTGAATTAGTCCATTGCCATTCCTTATTATTTCTGTATTTGTAAACATCTTTTTTTCGCAGTGTCTTATCAAGCGGAGGTTTGCACCATTATGTGTGACAACCTCAAGTTGAACACATGGAAGGTCCAACTTGCCATATTGAGCTGCATGAAAGCCTTTTTCGAAGAGTAATTACATTTTTTTTTGCATGACTATATATTAATTGTAAAGTTCTGGAATAAACTTTTTAACCCCCAATAGGTTACTGCTGTTGGGAAAAAGTAATCAAGATGTGAATGCTCTCACTCAAATACTCACAGAAACCTGTGCAGCTCTTACATATCCTTTAGGTAAATACAATGCCCTGACGAAATTGTTTATGTAATGAGTTACTCAACCTAAGTGTTCTTCTAGAAAATAAAAGTTATTCTTCAGTGCGGACAGAAGCTTTGTCGGTGGTAGATCTGATTGTTAAAAGAACTGGGGGTAAGCATCTGTAGATTTCTTATTGTCTTTAATAGATTTACAGCTTATCGCCCTTTGTTTCTGACAGAAAGTGAAAAATGGGAGTGCATGACAGCGAAAAGCCGGGAGCAGCTACAGCGCTCACTGTCCACACTGCAGTCCGACAGCAGACCGGATCTGAGAGACAAGGCTCAGGAGCTGCGCCGCCACATCCAGAGCCAGCCATGAGGGGGTGCAATGGCATGCCATTTACTGCAGATGTTTCCATTGGAATTTATTTGAGGGTTTCTTCATGTTCTTACTGATCATGCACAATATCAACTTTTAACTTGTTCATATGTGAAATGGAAGTGTTCAACACATGTTTTAGCAAATTACTGTAGCATTAGGCTATTGTAATATTACTTCTCGTTTGTACAAGATAAATAAACCAGTCATTTAAAAAAGGTGTATTTATTGACATGTTTAATTTTTAGGCAAGCTAGATTATTTAACGACAAGTAAGCATTAGAGAATGTGTAGATTGCTTCAATATAACTTACTTTTCTTTATCATGTAGCTGCATCCTGTCTAGTAAACAATAGTTTATATACCAAGTGCATTTATAAAAGGTGTGGAAAACAACGCAGTTAAAAAGGTTATTGTGCAGACGCATACATCAATCAATTCCCAAACTTGATTCTCTGCTTGTCCTTTTGGCGACCTTTGTCTTGACTTTTCAAAGGGAGATTTGAGTCACTTTGGCTGAGAGCTGATCGACTCACTGTAGACATCCCATCCACAAACTTTGTTTTGAACAACACATTGGCGTTGGTGAACATGCCGTCCTTCAGGGAGACGACGATGAACTGTAGGTCCATGCACACAATTAGAAATCCTTTCACAATTACAACATTTTAGTTACTCCACTGCCAAACTTACCTGCGAGTGTCGGAAATGAGTGCGCAGCATTTGTCCAATATTTTGCGTGTGTGAAAGATCCAGAGCCGCATCAACCTCATCCAAGATGTAGATGGGAGCAGGTTTGAACAGCAACATCGCCAGAATGAGAGACAGCGCCACCAGAGATCTAGATCAGGCACATAAAAGTAGTATTAATGTTAATAACTTAAGCCTTATATAAAACGAACTGATCCAGGTCATGGCAATTTTGTAAGCACTACACAATGTCAAAACCTGGAAAAGAAATTCTCAAACACTGAACACTCCAGCAAAATAAACATGAGCGATAATCAGATTTCAATAAATTAAACCCTTAGTGTCTTTTGCAACAACAAAAAATCAAGGTATTGAACGTGATGTGCGAGGCTTTCAATTACCTTTGACCGCCACTGAGCTCAGTTAAGTTCTCCTTCCACGTTTTACCCAAAGCAACTTTGAACTCCAGACCCTCAAGGACCCCACCTCCCTGTGGGGGTGCCAGTTTAGCTGTAGCTCCTGGTAGCAGCGTAGAGAAAATGGAACCAAAGTCCTTGTTTACCTGAGAAGAGACATCAACTTGAGGACATTGAATAATACGCGTTTATACAATAGTAGAAAAGCGGCAAACCTTCTGCCACGCCAAATTAAGGGCTTCATTTTTCTTTTGGTCCAACTCCTCAATAGTTTGTAAGATCTTGGCTTTGTCGTTCTCTACTATCCTTTTCCTCTTCATAAGTTCATTGTACTGAAAGAAGTCAAAATAAAATTAAACTCTACAGACCATTATTAGCACACGCATTGGTTATTCTTCACTTACCCTTTCCTCTGCCTCATTGAGCATGTTCATGGCCCTCTTATTGACATTTCTTTCAAGTTTGGTGGTAGTCTCCTCTAGCTTCTTCAGGCGTTGGCCAGCCTCTCGAGGATTGTTGGTTTTAAAGTCATAAGACGAATTTGGTTGACCAAACAAGTGGCGCTCTGATTGTATCCAGTCGTGTTCCTCCAACATGCGTGATACCTGTCCAAACAAAAAACCGTGAGAAACACATTTTTCCTGCAAAGTCCTGCAAACAGCTTCTTTTTCCTACCTTGTCAGCAGCATCCTGGCTTTCTTTGCGGTGTTTGCTGATATTGTGTTCCATTTCTTTGATTTTCAGTTGCATCTCGTTGTTTTTCTCACTTATTTTATTCGCTTCTGAGCTTTTCACCTAATAATTTCCATAAAAGGTTAGTCATTTGTTTAACAGTCATTTAGCACATTGGTAGACTGAACAGTAAAAGTCACCTTAAGTTCCTTATCCTGAGTCATAATGATTTCTTTCTGTTTGGTCAGTTCTTCCTGTGCTTTCCGCACTGCATCCTAAGAAAAGACAAATTATCATTTTAACATTTTTTTCACATTATTTTACAATTGAATGTATTCTCCAACTTGCAAAAACTTTTTTTCCCATATATTCCCAGCCCTAATTTTGATATGATACTACATAAATGACATAATGCAAAGCAGTATTGTAATTTACCTTATTCTGGGAGATTGTGGATGACAAGGCATCAATCTGGTCCTGAATAGATTTTATGGCCTCCTCCACAGCTTGGATCTGTTGCTCATAACCAGCCTGCTCTCTGCGCAGTTCCTCCAGCTCAAGAGCAACAGCATCAGACTCCTGCACGAAATATATACATTTAAAATTATTTCAATCCTTTACATAAAACAAAATACCAGGGCATAAAAAATCCCCAAAGTTAGTAGTTACAAGCCTCTGAAAATACAAAATTACAAAAATATCAAAAAACCATATTTTACTATAATTATAATTAATTATATATATATTATATATATATATATATATATTATAGTAAAATGTTTTTTTGACAATACATAATTACATATAAATATAAAAATATGTATTTATTATTAGTAAAATATGGTTTTTTGATATTTTTGTATATATTCCGTTTTCCCATTACTTTGTACACACTTGATTTTTTTAATGAAAATAAATATATTATAAGAAAAGTACAAAAATGAATGTGAACATTTCCCCTGAAAATAAAATCATCAATAAACATGTCGTGCGAGCAGCATGATCCAAAATAAAAGTATGGAAAATTATCACTACAGGATCGAGGTTGTTTTTTCATGTTTATGGGCTGTATTTACTAAGATATATCAGATTGTGCTATGGAGGTGGTGGTGTTTTAGCTTTTCTTCTTTCTCCAGCAAAAAAAAGTCTCGTCAAGTCTTTAAAGTAATAGATGGTGTAAATAAATGTGTATTCTGACCTGCTGTTTCTGCTTTAGTTTCTTCTGAAAAGCATCAGCTTTTGACTTTGCTGAATTTAGTTTCTGCTGAGCAGCCTTGAGCTCCTTCTCCCTCTCAGCTTCGGCATTCTTCATCTTATTCTCCAACATTTTGTACTTCTCTTCAGCCCGTTTCTGCACCTCTTTAGTAGATTGTAGTTTCTTCTCACTCTCCTCTGGTTGGTTTGAAAATAGAAATAAATTACTTTAAGAGAACTTGTGCAGGGAAAGCCACCTGCACATGAATGAGCAGACCTATGGCTTGGCGCAGTCTTTCGAGCTCCTCCTGCTGTTGATGAAAAGAGCTCTGCTGCAGTTTGGCTTGAAGAATCTGTTCTTCCTCTGCCTTCAGCTCAAACTGTTGCTTCAGGCGCCGATATCTGCTCAAAATATAGATGTTTGCCGACATATTTTTATTTTCCAAAATTTTGATTTTGTTCAAAAGACGATGTACTTTTCAGCCGTGGTCTTTACGCTGGCCAGCTGAACTTCAGTTTCTTTAAGTTGGTTCTCTTTTTCAATCAGATTGTCCTGAACATCCTTCAGGGCCTGTAAGCTGGTCAAAACTGATGCTGACTGAGATCGAGCACCTGCAATTACAATAACCATTCAAATACCAGATTTGTGTACCATTTCATTGCACAGTGCACATTTAAATTTGGGCTGCATGATTTTAGAGAAAAATCTAAATGTAATTTTTCAGACCATTGCATTTATGATTTGATTTGTAATTTCTGTTATAAAGCAGGCATAATGTTCAAAGTGTATTATGGAAATTCATATTTGAGGGAAAACAGAAAAAAATATTACAATTCCTTTGAGAAAATGAAATGGCAAGCAAATTTTCATTTAAAACTAAGATAATTAATTATGTCAATGTAATCTAAATAACTGCAGACTTTGTGATTGTCTATTTGCAGACAGTAAAATTGAGATTTCGATTACAGTGCGATTAATTGTGCAGCACTAATTTAATCCATGCAATGATACACACTTACCTCCGGTCAGTGTTCCCTGTGGGTCAAATATATCGCCTCCGAGTGTGACAGTTTTAGTCATCACCTGTTTATCAAAAGCCACCCTTTTGGCATTGTCTAAAGTATCACAAACTAAAGTTGAGCCAAACACATACTCCATAGCTTTACGAAGGTCAGATTCATAGCCGACAAGAGACAGCGCTGTGTGAACATTGTTTTGCCCAACCTAACAGGAAAAAAAGGTAAACATCTATGAATTGTGAATATCTCTGCAATATATCATAAAGTGGTGATCCCTCACCAGGTTCTTTGCAGTGCTGACCACTCTGTCATTGAGGGTCCTGGCAGAGATTTTGTTAAGGGGAATGATTGTGTATCTTCTCTGCAACTCACCCTTCTCCAAAAGTTTCTTACCAGTCACCTAAAACACATGTACAGAGCCTGTGTTACAAAGGATGTTTTAATAAACCCAGAGCATTCACTTCAGAAAGGACCTCTTATGTTACAATGGAAGTTTGAGTGTTTATATCTTATCCAGATGAATACACAAATACATGAATACATAAATCATGTTTTTGCATAGCTATAAAATGATGAGAAAGTTTTTGTGTGTTAGCATGCATACAATTAAACAATTTAAATTGTAAAATGGTCAAAAATATTATTTGAGTGAGAGTCAAATTAGAACTACTTCAACTTTTAAATTCAAGAGGAAAAAAACCTCTGGCCGCAAGTCCTCATAAAATGCATCCAAGCTCTGGGTTAAAAAGGGTGATGGAGAAGATGAGCATGTGTGTACCTCAGTGTCCACAACAATATTATACAGCCGCCCTCCGGCCACCACCTCCAAGGCCGTGGCATAAGATACATCTCGCACAGAGATCAAGTTGGCCAGTAAACCTTTGACATTGTTGCGGTCCCACCCTCTTTCTGGATCCCTGAATATAAAAACATAGAAGTTTAATTTTCCTTTAGCAACACTTAAGATATTCCAATCAAGTTATATACTTACTTATAGTCAAAGCGCAGGTTAGGAAAACGTGACACCAGACTTTCATAAGTCTCTCTAAGTTGAGAGACTTCCCGAGACAGTTGTCTCTTTTGATCCATCAGACTCTCTTCCATGCCATCTGATTGTAGCAACACAAAAATAAATAAAAACATACATAACTATACACATGAAATGAAACAAGCACATTACCCTCATAGTTCAGTTTTCCCAGTTCAGCTTGCAGTTTCTCCCTGTTCGTTCTGACGGCATTAAGAGCGTCCTGGTCCTTCTTGTAACCACTGTCCATCTTTTTTACCTCTGCCTGCTTGGTTTTCAGTTCAGCTTGGGCATGTTTCAGAGTCATCTGGGCCTAATGCAATTCATGAAAATTTAGTAACCACTCACTTTACAATGAACATTACTAAGTGCGTGGCATGTTACCTGCTTTTCTTCAGTATCTGCTTTGCTCATGTCATTCTTACAGGCCATCATTTGTCCAGCCAGAGTGGCCTCCTCGCCATCTTCATTAGTAGAAAGACCTGCAGAAACTGCCTTGAAATGCTGTTCAGCAGCTTCCAGAGCAGCATTGTCCTCATTTCCTTCTTCTTTTAGAACAAGTAGCTGTTCAGTAAATTTAGCAACCTCCTTTTCTTTCACCACAAGCATTTGTTTGTCCTTTGGGAAAAAGTGAGGTGTGGGGGGGGGTACACTCAATAAAATGTCAGCTTTAAGCATAGTAATTATCTGAAGAAGGCCTTACCTCTTGCATGCTTTTGGACAGCTCTTTCTTTTTCTTTTCTTCATCTTTCAAATTCTGTTTTTTCATATCTAGAGAACTTTGCGCTTTAGCATCCACTCGCTGTACTTCAGCGAGTGATTCCTCCAGAGTTTTCAAAACTCCATTTACCTCCTAAAAGATCGATTCACAGATTACTTATGAGAACAAGAAACTTGTAAATATTACTATTTTTACCTGATCCTTTTTCTTCTGCAGTTCATTAATTTGAGCAGTCAGTTCGTTAATCTTGCCTTCATTCTCAGCTATGGATGCTTGCATCTTCGTGATGTTTTCTTGCATCACTCTAAGATTTTCTGCTGATTTTGTCTTTGTCTCTTCAGCGCATACAAACAGCCAAGCCACATACAGACGAGACAAATGCTGGATCTCACGCATCAGCTTCTGGTATTCCAGGTAAGATGATCTTTCCTATTAAGAGGATATGTTACTCAAAATTCTTGAAAGCAGATTATCTATGCTTCACAAACTGGGTAATTGTTAAACACACCTCCTGCAGTTTCTGCATGGTTGGGGTAATTTCCTCATGCAGAATCTGAAAGTATAACATGTTACATTGTATTTAGGGGGACAGGAAGTTAAGGCCAAATTTTTACTCACAGTCTGAATTTCCTTTAATTTGGCCTCTTTCTTTTCAATAGTTTTTTGAGCACTGATCTTCTTGCACTCATACATCCTTGTACCCGCAGCTTCTTCAATCATAGCAAGGATCTAAACAAAACAGCATAGGTAATATTAGACAAAAAGCATTATAAAAAAAATGTATATTATCTTTTTGTATAGACGTACCTCTGGTGGTTTCATATTCAACACTTTTGTGATTCTTCCCTAAATCAATAAGCACAGTGTAAAATACAAAATCACTGATGAAGGAATATGGTATATTGTTAATCAAAGCCATCGGCTACTGTACAGACCTGCATGATAAGGAAATGAGGGTTGTTGACATTGAGTCCAACAGAGCAGAAGAGATCCTGGACTCTGTTATTGTTAGCATTCACTCCATTAATAAGGTATTTGTTTCTTCCACCAATTACAACCTTAAATGCATCCATAATAACAAGGCACATGTAACGCCACAATTATACAATATATTTTATTCCCAGTCTGTACCTGTCTGGTGATGGTAATCTCGTCATGAGTCTCAAATCCCAGGGGACTCTGGCTTTTATTTGAGTTGTCAAAAGTAATAGAGACAGTGGCCTTAGTGATGCCAGCCTGGCCATTCTTATAAACCAGATCCTGGAGGTTGGAGGCTCGTACCTATAAACAAAAGACCATGTAACTTCAAACGTGAGCTATTGTGCAGATGATAAAAGAAACTAGTTAGAAAGGGAACTTACGTGAGAAAGATTAGAGATGCCTAGCAGAAAACAAATGGAGTCAAGTATATTGGATTTTCCACTGCCGTTCAGTCCCGTGATGGCGTTGAACAGTGGATCAAACCCGTTGATCTCCGTCCTCTGCGCATAGGACTTAAATCCCTCAATGATAATAGACTTGATGTGCATCTTTTTGCCTTTTTCCACAGACCCCGGACACACAGACGTTAAATCCAACACCCCGTAATCGAGAACTGTTTACAGCCAACAACAGGAAGACTGCGGAAAATTAAAATTTTGGCGGCAGGCACGGGGTCCTACATTTGCGCCCTACACGCTCCAGACAAAAAAAACCCGTGGAGTGTTAATTTTTGAATTATTTCGTTTCTATTTCAACAAATGATCACACAACAACATTATGTTACATATTCCGTTCATGGATCTATAATTTCGTTTTATAAAATTGTCGATGACTAACAAAATATGTGTTTTCTTCAGGCATATGCAGGACAACTACTGCACGGATGGGATTTTGGCGCCATCACCAGGTAAAGTGTGGTAGGAACATGGATAATATCGAAGCAGTAGGAACCGATATTATAATAGATCCATGACAGTATGAGAAAGCATGACTCTTCTGTCAGATCTCTATCCCATTGACTTATTATAATATCATGTGGGCGGCTGCACCTGTAAGTGATGCACGCAACTGTTCTTGTGTCCATGGGCAAGATTCTTTAACCACACTGCGCGCGTGTGTGTGTGTGTGCGCGTGTGTGTATGTGTGAGTGTGTGTGTGTGAATGAGTGTGTTTGTGTACGTTTGTATGGGGGATTTGGATGTAACTGCGCAGAGGACAGTAGTAAGAGGACACAGGGAGCACACAAAACATACGATAAATGGCTGTATATGATTATAGCTATAAAAAATGTCTTAGTGTTTTTACCACAACTGTGTATGGAGTAGAAGTAGAAGAAGTGGAGTATGAATAGAAAAATTCTACGTGTTGTGTCCATAACGAGAGCGGACTGTCATTTTCACAAACCTATCCATAGACCTAGGTAAGAGACCTTGTTTTTAAATAAATATTACTTTATTTAACGTTATGGCATTAATCAGCCCTTTATATGTACTGTATCTCCATATTTACGGTCCTGGTCTCCATAGGTCAACAAATATTCCAAGATGATGTTTAAATGTATTTTATTTTATTAGCTTATTTGACAGGAAAATTGTGCATCAATAAACAATTCTGTAAATGCACCAGAATTAGCCAAGCAGGAATTTTTTCATCTGCAGTCCCTGGACAAGTGCACTCCCTAAAGATAATAACAGTAAATGTCATATAGTTAAAAAGGCAGAAAAACACAGACAGTAGGGTACAACAAGAAAATATACATCACCCATTAAAAATACAATCCACATACAAAAGAGATATTTGCAAAGCAGTAAAGGGACCTAAACTAATGCTTTCATGTCTGCTGTGTTCCTAACCAGTTTTTCAGATGTATTAAACAGTGAGTATCGTGTGAATTCTCAGATGTTTGCTTGGATGGAGTTCTAGTCTCTGGCAGCGGTTACAGAGAAGGCACTCTGACTGAAGGCGCTCCGTCTCAGAGAAACCAGGCAGTGCCCTCGTGCCGCCCCTCTGGTTACCCGCTGAGACAGAGCAGTGTTCCTGATGTGGACAAATTGATTGAGTGGAGGAGATTACTGATTGTGAATTATTTTGTATATTAAACAGAGGTTTGAATACTTGATTAGATTGTCCCAGTTAAAAAGTGTTTTGTCCATTACAATTATTGTATTTTTGTATAATGATTCCGTTGGTTTTAGTGTTGTTTTATTTGGCTGTGACCATGTTGTTAAACAGTAAGTGATTTGAGATAGGACCGTGGAGTACAAACACTTTTGCTGCTTGCAGAGATAGTTGTGACCTCATGAACCGAAAATTTGAAAGATTGAATTTGACTGGCTTACAGATCTTAATTACTTGCGTGTTTTGAATGTGCGATTTGTTTATTGTGATGCCTAGGTATTTGTTTTCTGAAACAATTAGCAATTTTTGATCTGCAATGAAAACATCTGATCATTGATCTGTGGTATTGGACTTGGAGAAAAAACATAGACTGTATTGACGTTGAGTTTTAAGCATGACTGATAAAACTAATCTGTAATATGGACCAAACACTGTGTTTTTTTCATGCACTTGTGATGGATGTTTGCCATGTGCATTAATAACTGTGTCTTACAACAGCATACATTTCAATGCTGACGCAACTAGGACAGACGGAAGGATGGTCATTTATGTAGAGGGGGAAAGCAATGGACCCAAATTAGAACTCTGTTGAAGACCTGTTTTTACTGGGAGTGGAGGAGAGTTGTAGTCCTTGATTCTGACTGACTGGGAGCGATTTGTCAAATAGGATTCAATCCATTTAATTGCATCCAAGGAGAAGTTGAAATGATTGAATCCTATTTGTCAAATAGGATTCAATCAATTTAATTGCATCCAAGGAGAAGTTGAAATAGATAGGTTTTGAGAGGAGTATTAAGGTTGACACTGTCAAATATTATATGGATTCATCTGGGTGTTTTTGTTTTTCTTTAAGAAAGTTACGCGGCACGGTGGCTGAGTGGATAGCACTCTCGCCTCTCAGCAAGAAGGTCCTGGGTTCAAATCCCGGTTGGACCAGGGCCTTTCTGAGTGGAGTTTGCATGTTCTCCCCGTGTCTGCGTAGGTTTCCTCCGGGTGCTCCGGTTTCCCCTACCACAAAAAATATGTACAATAGGTATGGCATGTGCCTCCTGTACTGGCACCCCCACTCCCAAAAAAATAACAATTGTAAACCGCTTTGAGACTCCGATGTGCAGTGAAAAGGCGGTATATAAATAAAAGCTTACTTACTGCTTACTTACTTACATGTCATGGTTTTAACCTAAACACTCTTAGGTTAAACATTGTATTTTTCATTATGTATTGTCCAAATGTTTTTCACTTTTTAAAGGGCAATTGGACAATATAAAATATAGGTTTTAAACCTGCAATTCCCAACAGTAAAACATATAAGACACTGGAAATTTAGAAGGATCTGAGTAATAAGTGGTGCCTCCAATATAGAGAGGTGAAGGAATATACACCTTTAAAGAAGGCTACTTACAGTATATTTGACCACTTGGCCTTGTGTCATAGCAATGTGGGTGAAGTGTCTTTTCTGTGCTTCTCTTTCGTATGATTGATTTTGTATCTTCTAGATGCCCGAATAAACACTTGAATTTTAATTTTTTAAATTAAATTGTGTCTTGCCTAAGGACACAACAACAGTTTGGCACTGTACTGCTGCAGCCACCAACTGTGGCGCCCGGTTTTTCCACAGGTCTCCCAATACATGTATGTACATTTTAGTGATATATAGAACTAAGGATGAATTATCATGCAAGAAAAATCAAACGTTACTGATGAGAATATGACCGTGGCAGCTCAAAAATATATTGAACACATATTTAGGACCTAGTGAGTTTGAGATGTTTGTGTATGATATTATTATGAAATTACAACATGCACAAATGACAAACCCATGTCATTTAAATACCACAATATTTTTCATTATATAGAATTACTTACACAGCAAAAATACATTTTATATGATGGATGACTCCACACACACTGTTTTATTGAAAATGTTGACCACGTTATATAAAGCCTATGATGGACTTATAATAGTCCCCAGTTGTTACTTGTGTTACTTCCACATTCTCTGTGTGAGCAGTGTGAGTGCACTCACGCATCGAGGGGCACGGGACACATAGACAGACAAACCAAATTAAATGCATAGAAGCAGATCTGTGACAGCACCACACAGTCTCCCCTGTTGGAGTAGAAGGCTGTGGGTTTAATGTAGGCACAGTCAAAGTTCCGAAGGTTCAGCGGCCTCTGACAATACTGGTCGCTCAGGACAACTAGCGCACGGACGATGGAATATTTGGCCGAACAACTGACGGCCGTCACTGAACGCACCTTCCCGAAGTGCAGCAGGAAACACGGGTCATCCTACACAAGAAGGCTCACGTTAGACTTATCTCTAAAAACATTTAAATCAATCCCTTACTTAGGTATAAACATTTACAATATTTTATAAATAAAAAAGTAAAATGCATTGCTGTTGAAGTAATTTGTTATTAATGTCAGGTCAGTTAATCTAAGATATATGTAAATATATCTATTTGCTGAATGCCACAATACTACGATTCCTGGTTTCAAATAACCAATGATCTTATTATGATCCCTGAATAACCAAACAGCTGGTAACCCTCTGTTGTAACTGACTAGAATAGTTGTTTTTTGTGAGTATTACTTCTGAGGGGGAAATTAATGAGCATCAAACACTGCGTGACAAGGTCTTGATCTAAGGCGCGTTAGGAGACGCAATATTGCAACTTGGAATGAATTGGAAATATTCAATCTATAGTAATTGAATAATGTGATGATACTGAGAGTGATGTTAGTCTTACCACATCAGGATCTCGGCCATCCACAAGACTTAAGTCCTCCAGAAACCAGATCTCTGTTCTCTTGTAGCTGTCCTGTATGCTGGAGCGTTGGGTTTGGGACTTCTTTGATCCAGATTTTAAAGTGGTCTGAGATTCCTGACATCGCACAATCGATAACTGCACTTGCCTTTTTGCAACTACAATAAGAAATATACAACAAAATTAAAGCAAAAACCAACAACACATTAGAAAAGAATTGATGTTTTACCTGACACACAGAGAAAATGTCTGCCTGGCGACGACTCCTCGATTTCAATAAACTCAATAAGTCTTTGTTTTGCTGGTCTGAATAAAACTCGTTGCATTTCCTCCCGAAGAAGAGACGACATACCTGTGACAAAAGTTGAAATTCTTTTTAGAAAAGACTTAAGAATTGGAACGGCAAGACAAACACAATCGGTGGAGATGGATAATTCTGGCAATGGGAGGGAGAGAGAGGTGTGTGCTGCTATCTGATGTGATGTTCTCATTCACTCAAGCACACACACTCACCCATACATACTCATACTCATACACACACACACTCATGTGCACACACACGCACAAACACACACAGTCATACCATCGCACGCACACACATTCTCAGTGTTTATGAGCTTTTGTATTGTTCATTTAAGCACCATCCAAGTGGGACTCAGGAAGAAGCAATTATAGACCAGTATGTTTGGTTCATCCTTTTATCACTTCAATTAGCGTCCATTAAGAACGCAAACTTTGTGATTCCATATTGAGCTGCTGTTTCCTGTAAATATGGATTTTGTTTTTCTTTATTTACATCTGCTAAAAGTTGTTGTATGTGTTTTTTCCAAGGACTCTATGTTTTGCCTTTTCCATCCTGGTCTCACTGTCTCCACTTTAATACCCAGGTTATGGATCAGCGCCCAGTGTTCTTCTGTGATTAAACAGATTGTGTGGGAAAAGGATGTCCCACAGCACTTTGAAAGGTTTCCATTACCTTATGATAATTCAATCCATGTAATTCTATAGATATGCATTTGATCGCACTATCTCATACTTGTTGAATCACATCCATTATAAGGTGGATAGCGGTTTGCATTAGTTATCACTAATGCACTAATGTTGTAGGCATTAGTTATCACTAATGCACTAATGTTGTAGGCATTAGTTATCACTAATGCAAACTCATATCTTGTGTAAATGTACATTTTTACAGGATTTTGTTCACCAAAAATTCCCCCAAATAGACAGATTTTATTTGATTTGTTGGCCGGAAATGCTGTGGCTTCAATTGATTTGTCACCTTTGTGAAATCATAGACTTTGCACGCTTAAGTGCTTTATTGTTGTTTTTGTGCTCGCTTTGAAAGGCTCTTTACCTCTGAGATGGAAAGATGAGCAGATGGGCAGGAAGTCTATTGAGGAAAGCAAATATACAAGTGTTGAATCTCATGAATAACATATGAGGTGTGTACTTATCAGAAACTTTACACATAGTGTGTTTTCTAGACATGGAAACACTTGCAATAAATAAACTAGGGTTTGGAATAGATAGAGTGTCTCTTTTCCAGGTGCATGTCAGGCTGAAACTTTTTGGGTGAGATTTCTTTGAAGATGGAGCGTGTTGTGTCTGTTCAGCTTGAAAAGTTACTGCACTTTTTATGGTCACATGATGCTTCTCCAACTTGAGTAAAGCAAAGAGGGAAACTGTATGTTATAGAAATGTAGAGATAGACCTGTAACCCAGCCTTTTTTCGAGATCAGATCTAGATCAAACCAAAGAGGACAAAGCTTTGTATATGATTTGTATCAATGTGCTTAAGAGACGTTTTCACTTGAGACATTAATGATGCATGCTTCAGATATAGATACTAACATTGTAGGTCAGAACAAACACCTTAGTTCTTCAAATATTAATGTTAAGCAGTATTACAGATATGACAGAGCCCCACAGTACACATGCAGTCCCTTTTGACGCTGATCCCCCCAAAAAGGATATATCATTCAAGGAAATACACTCCAGTCTGTTCAAATTATTTTCAAATGTTTATAAAAATTGACCCATGAAGATGCTTCCTTCAGGCCGCCTGTTCAGGCAGCCTATACAATAAAGTATACCATAGCTTATCTGGTTTGCACTTGTCTTTGACAACAAGAAGGTCCTTGGTTTGATTCTACATCCAGACATGGTCTTTCTGTGTGGAGTTTGCATGTTTCCCCCGTCTCTGTGTAGGTTTCCTCCGGGTGTCCGGTGTCCCCCACCCCTGACACATGTACAGTAGATCTGGCACTCACCTCCTGTATGGCAACCCATCTCTGTGGAGTGAGAGAAAAAATGCCCACAACTATTGTAAAGACCTTTGTGACTCAATCTCTGACAGATGCTATATAAATAAAGATTGCTTACTTGGGGAACATGAGGCCAGAGAAGGCAGCTGAGCCTTAATTAAACACCTAAAATGTTAGTCCATCTTCTCTCAAACCAATCACTGTTCATATTATTTTCAAATTATAATCATATTTAGAATATTTTGTATATGAAAACATTTGCTTCTTGGTCTTGCTTTCCTTATTATTATGGTTCAAGTATCAACAATATGTAAAGGTTTTTTATGACAAGGTGTGGTTATTGTCCATAGTGAGGGCCAGGAGGCACTGTTCAGCAGCCTCAAAGCAGGATGATAATAGATTCATGGTTGTTGCTCAGTCCGGATGTCTTGCTCTGAATGGTATGGACATGGTGTGGACATGACATCCCGCAGAGGGCAGCAATTGGAACAGTACCAGTCTCCACTCCTGTGACAGCGACTCGTGTAGATGATCAAAAGGAGAAGGAAATATATCGTTAGATGTGGTTGTAATACCATGATCATTTTTGGACTAAAATTTTGAGAAAATTAATGTTTCAGCTCTACATTTATGTAATGTCTTGCGTACTGAAATAAAAATCATACGTACAAACAAGTTAAAAATAAAAATAAAATAATAATATTTTGAAAATATGCTCTAATGAACACGAGACAAATTATGTAAATTAATGCTTTTTGGGGGAACCTCTCTATTTTATAGCTTCAACGTCACAAATCACAGACAATGTAATTGGATGTCAATAACCGGGAAAGCCCTCGCTGGGCTATCCTGCTGCAGTTTATATATAGTACTTAACTTGCAGCCCTTTTTTAATCTTCGGCACCATTGGTGTAAAATCTTAAGAAACCAAAAACAAGATGTTATACCATAACAGCAAATGCATTGTGTATCTATTGTCACCTTTGCAAACACTTTCGTATGTAATTCAGCAGAAAAGAACGAATTTTAGCAGTGAAAACGCGCTGGCATTTGTCGTCGCTACTGTACTAGTACTGTGCTGAACAGTGCGCTCTACAGTCTCCATTGCGCATGACTGTACGTCGTAATATGAAGTAGGCCTCCTGTTTTTCTCCCATCCAAGAGTCCTCCTGGCCCCCACCACTCGATGCAACGTTTAAGTGAGCAAAACACGGAGGCCCTGGCGTTTATTCATGAAGGTAAGGCTCAATGTACCCAAGTCCGACAGACAAGCGTCCGTACGGCGAGGCTGCGCGGTCCGTGTGGAGCGTACACGGTGTTTAGAGCGTGCGGAAGCGGTCGGGCTGCAGAGGAGGCTTTGGGACTGTTTCCGCACGCTTGAGGGAGAGCAAGGCCCAGTGACCCACATTCAGAGCCCCAGTGTGTATGTATGTGAGTGGGCGAGCGTGTGAGGAGAAGGCTGTGCTTGTGTGCGTACGTGCGCGCGTCGGCTCCGTGTGTATACATCTGCCGCGAAAATATTTCCACCATTGGCGATTTTAGTCATTTCTTTGCGGCTCAGGGTTTTCATTCGTCCCACTTATGCAAGGATCGTCTTTCCACGCTGACGTTTAGGTACAGTTTGGCGTTGGGTTTGCTTCATTTTCGTGATTATTATGCCTTCAATGTCAGTGGTTGGCGTGACAGCTTGAGGCTTGGCGCTTGCTTGCTATGTTAAAAGCACCTATTCCTTTTATTTAATTCGTCAACACTAGTGAGTTACCTTTTGTAATTGTGCCTTAGAGCATTCATTAGTTGAACACGATCAAACTCGAGACATTAAAGCTGTCAGATCATGTTGTCTACACGTAGTTTTCTGTAGCAAGCTGCGTAAACCTGCTAGCCTGCTATATGGTTTGCTCTCTTTTGGTTGTATAATGAACACCTGTGGCACAAAAACACATTTCTTATTAAATACACTTATTGTATGCAATGATATGTATGTGCTCTTTTAATAGTAAATGGCAACGTTGCTCGACTAAGTATAATTTTGTTTGTGTAAGATTGTTGACTTGTCTTGTCCTCATTTATGAACTGTAATAAATGCTTAAATGCAGACCGTGTCGTTTTGAATGGCATTACAAATAATACACAGGCATAACATCACATGCTGTTTTGAAGTTATGTCTTTGCTTTCTCAAATGACGTTTATGTATGACTATGACTTTTGATTGATTCATTGCATGTTCCCCCTGTAATAATCAAGAATTTCAGTATTCAGATAATTGTTTACTGCTTTATAAACAGACTCCAAAGCATATCTTCTCTTATAGGTGTGAGTGTAAGTCTCAAAGTATATTTGCATGAAGAGTTGAACATGAAATACACGGACTATTTTTAAAAAGTATTGTCTGATCAGTCTATTTTGATAGTCCTCAAACTCATCACAGTCAGATAAAATGTCATATCTGTGTCCGAAACAAATTCCTCATTCATCGATTATAAAAATAAACATAATTGTCTCTATATTATTGCCTATATCTTTACCTGATACGTGTGTTTAATTCAACCTAAAGTGTCTGTTTACAAAAAATTGATAACGTAATGTTGTTAGTAGTTGTAATATTTATGTTTTAAAATGTAATAACGAAATGACCTATTTATAACACGAGCCAACAAATAAATGACTGTGTGGGTTTGGGAATAGCCTGTGTAGTAAATAATGAACTGGGCCCGTGTCAAATGAATGAGAAGTCTTTGCTTTTGTGTTGTAGGTGAGGTGTGGCCAGCACGTGACGGCCTATCAGCGCCTGAAAGGTTCAAATCAAGAACAGCAAGCTCTCCAGACCTGTGTACATTCCACTGAGTAAATCATACACACGCGCATTATGATTGATCATATTTCAATCATAATTTAAGGAATACCACTTTTTCCAAAACGAATAATATGCAGTAAATAAGTCAGCTCGTTACCCGATGCTGGAATTGCTGCATGGCATGTTTCAAGTTTAGATAAAATATATGTTTACAATAATCAATGAATGGAAAGAATACATCACTTAAAATTATCAAAATTATGTTTGGGTACATCCCAAGTGTTATAGTCAACAATGTCCTTCAAGAATGATGAACTGTTCACCTCTAACTGACTCAAACATCCAGTTATGGTCTGTCTCCTTTGAGAAAATGCCACTAGGGATTCAGCAGTTTCACAATTTGATACAAGAGTTAGAGTAACCTTGTGGAAAATTATGAATGTATTTAGATTTAATATTCAACACATCCAGTGATATATTTATGTTAATGTACATATTTGAAATGAACCTCTCCGGTCTGTGACTCTCTCTGTTGGGGTGGCATATTCATATTATAATGAAACAAATAAACACAGAAATGAACAGCAGCTAGTCCTCTGGTCCCTTATCGTCATTGTTCGAAAGTCTGAGGTCACTCTTTCCACTGTGTGAGGCAGGGGTTAGGTTTTACAACTTCTGAAAATTAAATGCTAAAATAGATGTATTTGTTGAATTAACTATATCATAGTTTTTGTATACCTTATTACCAGAAAGTGGTACTTTCCCTATTGAAATAATGTGCAATCCTGCGCTTGCCAGGGAGTACTTAGAATGATTTTATATTTGCATAGAAGGTTGAATGAAATAGATGGATTTTAAATTGTCGCAAATGTACATTATTTAACTATTTGGACACCAATATTATAACACTGCTATAAAGGCTGTTTGTTTTCACATGTACACCAGTTGTGTAGTATTTATTATGTTCTGTGATTTCCACCATAGGTTCGATTGACACCATGATACATCCACATTCTTCCTCTTTTTCATGACCCTGTGGAGCAGTTTTTGTAATATTTCGTAAAACCTTTTTAAAAACCTCTTGAAGAAGACGTCACCTGAGCACAAGCATAAGCTGTTGGGGGTGAGTTGTAAACTAGCACATACTTGTTTCTTAAATCTCTTCTGTTCTAATGAGATTAAGATTATTTGGTAGTAGAATTTAACAATCTTTTTTACCTTCTCAGGGGGGGTCTTCCAAATGTCTACCTCACGCTTTAAGACCAAGTCACTACAACCACAGCCCTGATCAGCAGCCAACATGACATCTAGCATCGGGTAAAAACAGCAGCTGTGCCCCATCACATCATATATAGACTTAAGTGTGAGCACACAGCTCTTACAACAAGCAGTACAATTGAGTATCATCAAACAATTTAGTTTTTCTTTTTCTTTCTTCTTTTTTTCCCCAAAGAAGAAAACTATAGTCTTGAAACCCAAAGTCACGTGCTCGGAACCTTGTTTGGAAGCACAAAACAGTCCTACCCACACACATGTGTTGTGTGTGACCCAAAAATAAACCTCCTGCTGCCATGTTGGAATTCCTCTCATTAGCCAGCGTCTGTCATTAGCTATTATTAACAATACATTTAAGCTAATTCAAACACAAGAATGTCTGAGAAATTGGTCTGTAATTATGCCCTATTCTCTCTCATAGGGATGATTGCAGCCTCTTTGATGGATTGATGGAAGAAGATGAAAAGGACAAAGCAAAACGGTGACCTGAATAATGAACTTTCCTATAAAATGTAGTTTGTTTTGTTTTTTACTGTTCATTTCCCCCATATTTTAGCGTGTCCCGAAACAAGTCTGAGAAGAAACGAAGGGACCAGTTCAATGTCCTTATCAAAGAACTTGGCACCATGTTGCCTGGCAACACCAGGAAGATGGACAAGTCCACAATCCTGCAGAAAAGCATCGACTTCCTCTGTAAACACAAAGGTCAGGCTTTTGGAGTTGTGCACACACTACTCAAATATTATGATTCAATGTAATAAACATTGTGGTTTATTTTTAAACAACTGAAAAACCAACACTGTCTTTATGGCCATATATTAAAATACACATAGGGATTGGTGTGTGTGCAAAAAATGATTGGCACACATTTACATTGAAGCCAGCATATTTTATGATGCCCTTGTTGATAATACAGTAGTAAACTAGAATTAAGTATTTTTATGTACTTTATTATGTGTATATAAAAAAATGAAGAGTTTTTTGAGTTCACAGTTTGCTGTGCTTCTTGTGTAAATGTTTATGTTATTTTGTTACAAATTTTTCAAAGTGCAGTGATCATAAGGTTTTGTGTTCTTTGTTAACAATTGTTATGTCTGTCCCATACAGAGATTGCAGCTCAGTCTGAGTCCAGTGAAATCAGACAGGACTGGAAACCTCCGTTTCTTAGCAATGAGGAATTCACCCAGCTCATGTTGGAGGTGAGAAAGCATCATCTTTTGGCTCTTATTCAGTGAGCTTGGATGTTACTCATATTCTGGACATTTGTCTTTAGGCCTTGGATGGGTTCTTTATAGCAATAATGACTGATGGAAACATTCTTTATGTTTCTGAAAGCGTCACCTCATTACTTGAACATTTGCCTGTAAGTAACAGCATTTAAAAAAGTATTCATATGCTCAAGCCTGAAGATATTTCATTGCCATTTTATGTGAAAGACCAATGTGGATGACAATTCTGAAGTGGAAGCAAAATTGTACATTTGCTTTGTTTTGTTTTATTTTTATACCTTATCACTGAAAAAATATTGGTCAAAAAGAGTCCACTTGAGTCAAATGTAATCTCAGTATATCTGCGTGATAACTTTGTGTGACGGCCTGGAGGTCTGTTTCAAGAATAGTGCTCACTAACACAACTAAGAGGGATGAAGTCTAAAACATGGTTAGGATTTCAAAAGCTCAAAGAGTACTGATACATTTTTACTCTTTGGCCTAAATGCAAAACGCAATGTATAGTGGAAAACTATAGTTGTTCATCTCTCTACTCCACTGTCAAACCTGATGATGACAGCATCAGACCTGATGATGGCAGCATCAGACCGTGCAGCTGTTTTTCTTAAGCAGGAGCACAGAATAGTGCCACAGTTTACCTTCCATCAGGAACTTCCATAAAGCCATTTTCTACAAAGGACTGTTTATATCAAAATATGTTTGAATGATCTTGTTAAAGTCCAGATCTAGAACCATCCCAATGCAAAAACAGAATAGACTAACAATTAAGTTTTAGAAAGATGTCCACAGCTGGTAAGACATACCAAAAAACTTGCAACTGTAAAGTTTTTGGAGCAAGGATGTTTATTGTTATTTGTGATAACAATAAAATATAAAGTAATGTATAATTTTGCTTTCACACACTTGTATGCCACTTTCAAATAAAATTCCAATAGAATAATGTAATGCTTGTCATGAGACAAAATGACTTGTAATGCCGCTTCACATACTGAGTTCTCTTTTGGTGGTTGCAGGCCGACTTGGTGGACCAAAATTTGTTGAATTTTCTTCCAATTGGGGAGCACTCCGACGTGTACAAGGTTCTGTCCACACACCCTTCTGATGTGGACAACATAAATTCAGATTATCAGAAAAGTGAGTATGGATAATCAAAATTCCCACACTATTATTTTGTATTATTTTCTGTCCAACAGAACTGCGTTTTCTTTTCTTTTCTCCTTTTATTTCTCTTTATAATACACAAATAGCATTAACAACACAAACATATCCTATAATAAGCTAAATCACTCACTTAGGTCAATTAAGAAGACATCCAAATACAGAATACGGTTCAAAGATGAAAGATAAATTATTTTGATATACTGTATTCTGTATAATACAATACAAAGAAAATAAAGTGCCAAAAATAGAATGGTTTGTTATAATTGTAAAGGTAGTTGTACTATGGTTCCCAAACCTTTCAGGCTGAGATCCCTGATGTGTACAATTATACTTTCTTCAGCTTGTTTTGAATCACAGTTTAAGTTATTATTTTCTATAGATTTATTTGCCATGTGACCTTGAACATTTATGACTAGTTGACATAAACTTGAGCTTATATAAACAATCATATATTAATAAAACATAACCAAAAATAAATATTGAGGAATCTCAAACTATTGAATGAAGCACTGATTTAAAAATAAGTAATTTAAAATCTTCTTACGTATTATTTTATCTGTCAGAAAATTACCAATTGCAAGTTGTAATTCTCCTACGGGGATCAATAAAGTATCTATCGATCTATCTATCTATTTTTCCAAAATTGTTTAACCCTATCTGGTTACATAGATTAAAGAAATCACTTTATTTTTCAAATATAATAATAAATCCTGGTTTTTTTCTTGTTTAGCTAAGAATCACATGGAGTTTTGCTGCCATATGCTGCGAGGGGCCATTGACCCGAAAGAACCCCCTGTGTATGAATATGTGAAGTTCATTGGAAACTTTAAATCTCTCAACAATGGTATTTCACACGCTTACTACAAAAATGTGTCTTCTTTACTTTTTCATCCAAATATGGCAGTAATGAAACCTACATTTTATATCTAACCATCGTTTGTATGTTTTGTTTCCTTAAAGTTCCCAATGTTACAAGAAATGGTCTTGCTGGAGTCTTGCAGCGGTCTCTACAACCTGCCTTTGATGACCAGGTTTGCTTTGTAGCTACTGTTCGACTGGCAAAACCTCAATTCATAAAGGTACTGTGACACCAGAGAATTCGTTAATTACGTAAAAAAAAAAAATCTATTTAGCATAAATGTGTTTTTGTCTTTCTCTCATTTGACAGGAAATGTGTACGGTCGAGGAGCCTAATGAGGAGTTCACATCTCGACACAGTCTAGAGTGGAAGTTCCTCTTCTTAGACCACAGGTAAACTTTTAATTCCTAAATTTAATTTATTGATGTTTTATTAAGGATTCCCATTCGATTCTTTTAGCTCAGCAGAAGAAACTCAGGGGTCCTGGGGTCTATGAAGTTGCCAAATGTCATAATTAAGTGAGCCCAGAATGGGAGGTTAGGTTAGTGTTAAAGGAGCATTATGCAAAAATCTGGCCAAAAGTGGTACTGCAGTCACAGTCAATATTTTGTAGTCCTCTCCCACTCTCCCTGACTCAGGTTGCCAGATACACACCAAATCCAGCAGCAAACACAGGGAATAATTTTATCAGTTGTCTGTCTGTCTCCATTCACATTGCCATGATAGCTGTGCAAATGTTGATTGAATGTTTTGAATGAATGTTTTTATTTTTTTATTTGGACATTTGAGATGAAAAACAAAACAAAATAAAAGCAATGTAATTATACATAGATTATGCAAAATAAATAAGCAATTGATGCCAAAATAGGAGTGGGAAGAATGGATGTTGGAACATATTTCTTCAGCAAATCATATACCCTTCAATTTTATTTACATGCGGTCTCAAATGATTCTTTATACAAATAAGCTATAATCTGCAAAAAACTTCTTGATTTTTGTCTTTAACCGTTATTTGAGCATTCACATAGAAGTGATATTTATATAATTAAATACAAACAGATTCTTCCTGGACTTGAACCCGGATCTCTGGGGTGACAGTGCTGTGGCTTAACCATTAGACCACCCTTGTATGCAATGTTTTATGTTTTTTATAAGAAGGTCCTTGTCTACTCTGGTTTCTCTAAAACCATGAACAATAGGTGAATCCTCCAGCTCTGGTTGTTCCGACCAAACCGAGCATCATCACCTGGAGGCATGGGTCTCTGGGCGTTATACTGTGACGACCACTGCTCCAAAGATGCTGCTCTTGTGGTATTGGAAGATGGGTCAAATGAAGAGGACAAATTTGAATTTCCTTACGAGGATCAATAAATTGTACAATAAAGGTGTATAGGAGGATTTTCTACTTTCCGGGTGGATCATCAAGACTATTGGTACTCCCAATCATTCTGGTGATATGTGCTCGTCAAATAAGACCAGAGAGTTTTTTTCACCAGGCCTGTCCACGTTCTGCGGCCGCTGTGTGGCCTTGGTCCACGTTCTGTAGCTTAGGTCCTGAATCTATAGCCCGTCCGTCCATGTGGAGCGGATCTCTTTCTCAATGTGGACCTCCCCGATGTTTCTCACTTTCTGCAGTAGGGTCTGTTGTGCAGTTAGTGTCTAACTAATAGGACTGTGGTGATGGTCCAAGACACTCTAACATTTGACAACATATATGGACATGTATCAACATTCATGGACAATTGTCTCTCCATATGGACCAATACATATGTGTTCACATTTTTTTGTGTTTGAACCGTTTGATTCTCTGATCTGTGTTGGCGATTTCAACGGTTTTGTTAAGTCCTCTCCTCTGAGATAACTTCTGTTGTGATTTAGGGCTATACAAGAATAAATTGTATTTTATTATTGTTCAATAAGTGGAGAGGGTGGTTCTTTCCCAAAATTTGGTAAAATCCTCCCATATACCTGTAATCTTAAACATGGCTCATCAAAAAAACCTGCCCCCTTGGTGCAAGTAATAACTTACAGAAACTAGAACTTGGATGATATTTTGTTATTTCTGTCATGTTTTCAGGTGTACTCCAGGATTATTATAATGTTATTCATGTTTTTTGTTTACAGGGCTCCACCAATAATAGGCTATCTACCATTTGAGGTTCTGGGCACATCAGGGTATGATTACTATCATGTGGACGACCTGGAGACACTAGCCAAGTGTCATGAGCACTGTGAGTCATGTGAAGACCTAGTTTAGGCCCTCTGGATTTGCAGACTCTAATGTCTTGTTTTTTCCCTCTAGTGATGCAGTACGGTAAAGGGAAGTCCTGTTACTATCGTTTCCTAACAAAAGGCCAACAGTGGATTTGGCTACAGACGCACTATTACATCACGTACCATCAGTGGAACTCCAGACCAGAGTTTATAGTTTGCACACATACAGTAGTCAGGTAAATTTAAACTGGCCAAGACATTAGATGAGTATTTATAAGTGGAAACCGGAAGTTAACCAACACTGTGTTCTAAGTAGTATGAAGAATTCAGTTAAAAGAGTTTAAGTAATTGAGAGTTACCTTCCTCAATGCTGTGACATTGAGCCAACAGAAATCCTTTTGGTAAAATATCTGACCTGATACAATATCACTATGATTATGCTGATACTTCTGGTTTCCACTGTATCTGTTTATTGTTTTCTGTAATATTTTTCCAATTCACATTTTCAGCTATGCAGAGGTGAGAGCAGAGCAGCGTAGAGAGCTAGGAATTGAGGAATCCACCCCAGAGGCTGCTGCAGACAAGGTAATACTTACCTTGTAATTACTAAATCATTATGTTTTAATTCCAGCTCTGATTTTTTTAAGTAATAAAGACCCTTTTCATTACTATGTGCAAAAAATTTATCCTTAAGTAATTGTTTTTTTCAGAGTCAGGACTCTGAATCAGAGTTAAACACGTCCAGCCTCAAGGAAGCTTTAGAGAGATTTGATCGCAGTCGAACACCCTCCACTTCTTCTCGTAGTTCTCGCAAGTCCTCCTCCCATGTTTCTGACAACACTTGCACTTGTAAGTAACCACTGATAATGTATTGACTGGTTTTATGAAGCGCAAGACATTATTAAAACTGTAGAGGTGGGGCATTTGTTAAATACAATTTTATTTTTGTAGCTACAGCTTCCAAGCTACACATGGACACAGCCACACCTCCTCGTCAATCCTTGGCTTCAACTATGGAGATGACGTCACAGCGGCGTTCCTCTATTAGCAGCCAAGTAAGACACATTGTATGTAAACAAGACAATTTTTACACATGTTTCATTTGTAATGTTGTTAACCTTCTTCAGTCAATGAGCTCTCAAACAACAGGCCAGAGTATTACACCTGGCATGATGGTTCAGCAACAGCAACAACAACAACAACAACAGCAACAACAACAACAACAACAACAACAACAACCCCAACAGCAGCTATCACAACCACAAACAAATGTACAAGTGAGTCGTGTTGATTGATCCTAAAGTTTGAATTTATGAATTGAATTTGGATTAACTATGTTTTGTTTCGATTTTTCAGCCTGTAATGGAATTTTCAGCGCAGGTGAATGCTATGCAGCACTTAAAAGATCAGCTGGAACAAAGGACCAGAATGATCCAAGCCAACATCCAGCGGCAGCAGGAGGAGTTAAGGCACATCCAGGAGCAGCTGCAGAGAGTACAAGGGCAGGGCATACAGGTAACACCAGGGGGCTTTTGGTTGTTTGACAGGCTTGACCGGCTCTCTTAGTACATTGGGTACACTTTGGACCTGCTCCATACTGCCCCCAAATGGTCTGGGGGAAAAGAGCCTTAAACAGCTAATCAATATGTTGTTAAAGTGTTTCCATTTTCTCATAACCAGTTTTGGGAGTAATGTTTCACAAAAGTAATGTAATAACTGTAATGTATTACTTTTTGCTGTAACGCAGTAATGTAAGGCATTAAACAACAACAAAAATTATAATTTTTACTCAGTACAAAGATCATTAACGTGAGTTAGAGTGTATTTTTTATACTGAAACTGTTTTTATACTATGCCACTGCGAGATCAGCAAAGTGGCAATAGTAGACGCCTGGACTATAGGGATCACCAACCGAGTGCCTGCAAGCGCGCGGTCGACCACAACGACCATGAAAAGTGTAGCTTGATGTATAAATAATATTGGTTCTGGACCCTGTTAACACAGTCTTTTGTCCCCTTTGCTCGGCGGTTACCGTTTGCGATGCTTTAAAACAACTGATGATGCACTTCCATCAAGTTTAGTAAATTAAGCTGTAAGCTGCTCTGAACCAGTTCTGAGCCAGGACTGAGCCAGGACTGAGCCAGGACAGGACTGAGTTTGTCAGAGACAAAGATATGGAACATAACAGTTAGGTGCAAAACCAAAAGTAACTTCAAAGTTATGAAGAAGTAGTGTAATGCGTTGAAATTCAGAGATAGTAATATTGTAGTGTATTGTAGTGTAATACATTACTTTGATACAACAGTTACACATAGTCACATAATGTATGATGTGTCTTGCTGAGCACTGCTCATAACAACACAAAGTGCTACCTCTGAGAACTATGTGGTGCAGATGGGAGCGAATCAAGAGAGGGCAAAAACAAGAATGTTCAAAGATATATTATAATATTTATTTCTTAGCAGTTGCTAAGTTATCAACATTTATTGCTAATTATATCTGGATTAGCTGTGCAGGCTTTTCAAATGAATAACTAGAGATTGTTCTTTTTCAAAGATGTTGCTGCAGCAGCAGGGTGGAACCATGAATGTTCAGCTGCCTCAAGTGGGTGCGGTCCAGCAAACAACCGCTCGGCCAGCTCAGGTCCAGCAAACATCACTTAACCCTGTTCATTCAGGAACCCAATCCCTGACCATCCAGTCACAAGTTCCTGCCCCTCAACAGAACCTCCAGCCTCAAAACAACACTATGGCGCAGGTGACTCAAGCTCTGTCTGCCAGCTGTCCTATCTCCATGTCCATGTTTATACCATTTAGAATCAGAATTCTTGTATTGCCGTCGTAAGTAGGATAGACAGGGTTTCAATGTTTGGATCAAATGTAGTAATCCAAAACTCATTGTTATGTATTTGCTTGTTGATGTTACTCTGAATCTATTTTTGTTTAATATTGCTACTCGCGATGAGCGTCATCAGCTTTATCTACTGAGGCCTGTTGCTAGAAACCGGTTTTGTTTTGGTTTGGTGTATGTTAAAGTTTACTTGAGTTTTTTGTTGCTGAAAAGACTTCAGGTTCCGTTTTTTGTCCGTCACTGCGGTGACATGGAGCATGGTCCAGAGCAAGTTAACTTTACAGGTTCAGAGGAAGAGACATTTTAGGTGGTGATAGAATAGAGTTTTAAGAGCCTTATTAGGGATGTGCTAGTTTTCCGCTGTTGGCATCATTTACCAAGTCCAAGAAATGCACTTCAAGAATGATACTGGGTTTTGTGGCTTCAATAGTGTGAGACGTGTCTAATGACTGAAATGTGTGTAATTGCTTTAATTTACAATATTTACAGTTTAAATGACTTATCATGAATGATGTGCCAGGCTCTGTTGTTGGTGAATCGACAACCTTGTCAAGTCCACAGAAGTGACTGATGTTGTGATTTAGGTCTATGCAAAAATAAATGTAATAGAATTGAATTAGAACTTAGAAGTTGTCTCATTGTTGTATTTTCTTAAAGCTTTGGGAGTTGAGTGTCATTAATGTTGGTTACTGGCCCAGGCAGATGTTGCACTATGTTTTTGTGCTTAATTTGTATTTATCTTTATGCGTTGTGATTGTACCTGATTTTCGGCCACCTTTCTACCTGCACTTTGGCTGCTGCAACTCCTGCGGGAAGCGTGTTTTATCCATGATTTTTATATGAACGTGCTCGCACCGTAATGGTTTGAACCTGGGTTAACTCTTGGTTAACAGACTGTTGACAGACAATTGATAGATGGCTTTAAGGTTATCCTGAAGTTACTCGGCTTGTTAAACAGAACTTACCCTAGTTTTCCAACACCGCCTCTAGCAACAGTGCTCTGAACATTTCTCAGCTGTAGTTGTTTTCTTACACTATTAGATATTGCCACTAAACTCTTGTATTTTCCTTGTACTTGTTTTCTGCCTCATTCTCAAAATAGAGTGCTCAGTGGGTTTTGTTTCTTTTATTATCCAGACCTTTTATTTTTGGGAACTTTACACACATCTCCCTGTTGCTTAATGCACAGAACGCTGATGTAGGACCGCAAAACTTAGCGTTAACTGGGACTAAAAATATTGTTGATACTTTACGTTGACGGGATAATATTAACATGCTCACCCCTAATATATATGATATAATTGATATGCTTAAATAAAACATCATGTTCAATATGTATTTCTAATTTTCTTGCAGCCACAACGTCAGACACAACAGCCTCCTCAAGCGCAGACTCAGACACAGGGATCCGTCTCGACTCCACTTTATAACACCATGATGATTTCTCAACCGGGTCAGCCTAACGTTCTACAGATCAGCACCAGTCTGCCGCAGACTAACACCCAACAAGGCACCACTGTTGCCACCTTCACACAGGATAGACAAATTCGGTAAGGACAATAATGTTGTTTAAATACATGCAGATTTGTTTTTTAAGATGAAATATTCATCTTTAAACAATTTCACCACAGGTTTCCAGCAGGGCAGCAGCTTGTAACCAAGCTTGTTACGGCGCCAATGGCTTGTGGTGCAGTTATGGTGCCCACCTCTATGTTCATGGGACAGGTGGTCACAGCTTACAACCCTTTCAGTGGACAGCAGGTGAGAAACTTGACTAGAAGATGTACTGTATTAAATGCACAAGAGAAGATATAAGTTCATATGTTTTGTTCTCTTTAGCAGGCTGGACAAACTCAGACACTAACTCTGCAACCTGCCCAAGCAACCCAAGGTCAAGCTGATGGCCAAAACCAAACAGCAGTAGTGGCTCAGAGTGGTCAGCAACAACAGCAGCAACAACAGCAGTTTTTACAGGTATTGCAACATTTGTTGTATTATTTTCCAATCAAACAAATAGTTACACTCAAAAAACACCAACACCATAAACGTTTGTGGGCACAGCATTATGACTGTTTGAACTACTTGATTTGAACTACTTGAAACTACTATTTTTTTAGCACTGAAGAAAATAAGTAAAGGAGTTATGATAAGATAAGATAGGATATACTTTATTGATCTCACAATGGAGAAATTTACATATCACATCTGGCATGGATAGAAACACTTAAGATGGTGCAAAAAGAAAGAAACGTGCAAACATGTTAAATGGAGGATATATTATGTGCAATAAAAAGTAAATGATGGTTCATGATGAGTCTTTGTAGTCTGTTTTCATTATGACTATGATGAGTTTGTGCTCACTGTGAAATGCATGATGATCATTATTACTGAAGGTAATTTATGAAGCATTACAATCATACATGAGGAATTCATTAATGAATTACAATTCACTCATCATGAACTATTGTAATGCTTGACTCCTGATGACTGAATTGCATTAGTTTAAAAAGTCTTTAAAGACTGTAACACATTTGCAACTACTGCTAATCAGAGCAGCCCTCTCTAGCCTCTGGCACAATTGTGAAACTAAGAAGTTATCGTGTGTGTGTGTGTTATATCCTCAGGGCACCCGCCTCCTCCACAGTAACCAATCCACTCAGCTCATCCTGCAGGCAGCTTTCCCACTTCAACAGCAGGGCACCTTCACCCAGACCACTCATCAGCAGCAGACACAGCAGCAGCCACAACAGCAGGTCCACCACCAGCGGAACCAGCAGCAGCTCAAACCACAGCCTCAGAAACAGCAGAAGGCCCAGTCCTCACACAGGGCTGACAGTGTGAACAGCCAGCCTCAATGATCCAGCTAGAACACTTCTTCACCCCCAGGGATTTGGCTTTTGGCAGCCTCTTCGTTATCCCTGATGTGTCACAAGATGGCATCATAGGAAACCGGAAAGGCAGAGTCTGTGGAGAACTCTTGATGATTTGTCACCATGGCAACAGGACGGATTCTGGTAGATTCCTTGTTTTCATCAGCGGTTGTAAACTATCTCTAAGGAGGGTTGGCGCTAATCCCGAGGAAACATTAATAGTGGATTTTTGCATTTGCGTATCAAAATGAACTCACTATGTACAGACTCAATGTATGATAAAACTTTGTAAATATTCCATATAGACAAAAAGGAAACAGATATGTAGTATTTTATATGATTGCATGGAAAGAATAACCGTGTAAGCTTTTATTAGCCTTTGAGAAATTTGAAATTTGTTTCCTGGTAAAAGATGGAGCAATGAAGCTTTCCCAGACTCCTCTTCTCCAATCTGTCTCTGAAAGAGTAAAAAAGAAAGGCTTTAAAGTACTGTCAAATGTTTGAAATGTTGGGCTTGGGATTTTGTGGAAATCAAGTTTTTAAACTCAGAAAAAATAACTTGGAATTTTTTAGTACTAATCATATTAGGGAAAAAAAATTATGACCATAAAAATGAGTAGGCCTACCGTACTTTGCAAAAAAGTCCATTACTTCTCATGGGTTTAGTGATTTTAAGTGCCAATAGACCCTTGTTATTTTAAGCAAAATACTAATATTCAGAATCATATATTTTCCGACAAGATTATACCCCTTATACAAAATGTATACATACATACATACATAAATACAAAATATATATATATATATATATATATATATAGTATGGATTATTTTGTAACATGCAGAGAGCCCTATAGGTGAGAAATGGTGTATCTTCAAACCTCATGAAACTAGCACTTGATGTGATTGTGTTCCGTAAATCACTGTTCTGACCTAGTTGTTTGTTTATGTGGCGTGATTCTTTGAGAACGTATGTTTTATGAAAACAATCTGTGTGCATGAGTTTGTATGTTGTCCCTTGTGTCTTAAAAAGCAACTTAGTAAGAAATAGAACTTGCTGGAAGGTACTTGTACTCAGGAATGTGGAAAGTTTAGTTTCTGCCTCAGTCTGGATCCAGACAATGAAGGATTAGACAGTGATGCTGCAATGACCAAAGGAACTGATTTGATCCATTTTTGATCGGCCTTTTATGTGATAAAACTTGAAATGAAATTTGCTTTGACTCCTGCAAAACTACACAAGTCTTCTGGTCTTCTCCAGATCATTGTATCTTCCTTCCAATCTTCCTCAGCCTCTCAAACCCTCATGCAGTCCGAAGGCTGTCACTCAGTTTATTACAGCAGTTGTACCCATGGTTGATGCAGATCCACTCCGGACCTGTGCTTGGCCCCTGTACTACCATTAAAGCCATATCAAATAGAGAGCCTGGATTTAAGGATGTGTATTGATTGATAATGGAGCATTGTAGGTGTTTTTCGTCTCCCAGTGTCACAGCAGCTGTGCTTGTGTGTCTGAGTGTGTGAGTGTGTTTGTTTGTGTGCGCGCAGTGTGGAATGGTGTGTCCTTATCCTACTTGTATCAATCGGGGGTCAGCTTTAGTTTCCCCTGGCGATAGCCAATCAGTTCTTGCGTTGCAGTATACAGAAGAAAAAATGTGTTATTCAAGATACTTCCTCTATGGTTGGGCTCAGTTTTCTGCAGGCTCATGAGGGATGGCTCAACTTGAATATGCTGTGTGAGTGCATTTGTATGCATGTTTACTGTCTCTGTAACCGGTTAGGAAGCAGATGTTTAGCTGTAATGAGTGTTATGCAAAGCAGAGCATTGGCAACCTGTCAGGTAATTGTTTTATAATGACTGACAGCTCCTAAGCCTCAAAAAGAATCGCTCTGTTGGGGAAAGAATGAGGAAATTACTATTTGACTAGGTCTTCCACTTTACATAGAACTATTCTCTGTAGAATAGTTCTATGTAAGGCATCATTAATGTTTAAGAGTGTCACGGATTCCCAGCCCAAGAATGTAAAGGTGTAATAATAGACTTATGGATGTTGTAATGGTGAGAATGAGAAACCTTTGACAGGCTTTTGTTGATGGAAACGGTTAAATAAGAAAATCACTGCTGGAAATTCTGGTGAAAAACCCTAAACAATATTTAAAGACTCGGCATATGTGAATGTTTAACTATTCATTGCTTGTTCTATTCGGCCCAAATGATAAAGTTATGACATTGACAAAAAAGGTGTAGGATATTAGAAAAGATGAAACTCCTCCTTCCTCACGGATCACTTTTCCATGACACAATTGATTCTAGATTTGTAGAATTCTGTACACATACCTAATGCTCAAAACACCAGTATTCAGTGTAAATTGGTGCTATATGCTAACTTGTATGTATATCCCCTCTGCTCTTGAACTGTGCTCCTTATCTATCCAAAGTCAAATGTAATATTAAATATTTTGAAGCAAAATGTTTGGCACTATGACGACTCTTCTCCTTAATTGGTCAATTTGAAAATAAAACACTTGCAAATATGGACAAGGTCACTGCTTTTGTGTTAAAGAGGTTGTATTTTTCAGTCAACAATTAAGTCTTCACCTAAATGTATTGTAACATCACAAGAACTGTTTTATTATAACAAGTCAACCCACTGTATCAAAATCGCAGGAACATCACATTCAAGTACTGTACAAACCGTCCCTGACAACATACCACCGAAAATGAAATAAATCCATAATTAACAATAAAAAGGCACATTTCTAGCATATTTACATTTTTATACAGGTCTGACAAATCAGAAAACTATTACAACCCCTGCTTGTCATTAGCAACATAATGTAGAAATGTAGATTGTCATCCACCCCTAAAGCAAACTATTGTTAGTGGCTACATCATACAATTTACTTTAAACTCACTGTCCATTAACTAGAAATAACAAAAAACTCCTATAGCTGGTGTGTGCAAAAAGGAAAAGCAAGTAAGTTAGACTGAATGAATGGTGAAAGAATAAAAACAAATCAAGCATTATGTGGCGCCCAGGAGAAAGTAATGACCCACCCCTGAGATAGACCATGTAAGTATAATGCATCTATATAAGACAGAGAAAGGTCAGCAGTGCAGTTTCAATGTTTTGTTAGTTTGGTTGTAGTCTACAGACACACACACACACACTGTATTTTTGAAGACTGTGTCAAACACTTTCATAGTCCACAAAAACATCCCCAGCGCTCAGCAGCAGAGGCTGAGTAGGGGCGGTGGTGCTGCAGACGGAGCCCAGCCTGCTTGTCGGCTCCCTCTGCTGGTCATTGGGCCCAGACGCGGTGCTCAAAGACAGGTAGACCTAAAAAATAAAAATATAAATATAATATAAATATTCCAAATAATCAGTTAGATACTATCCACGGAGCTGCAAAGTGACCGTGCATTTAGTTTCCAGAAGTAAATTCACAATTCAAAGTCCCCAGGAGTTTCGAAAAATCCCATATTTTGAATAGTTTGAGACAAGATGGAGCTAACTACACAGTGTGGTAGTTTCATGTTTAGGTAGTTTCAGCTAAAAGACCTTTCGAATGTAACATTTTGATTCATTGTGGTTTTAATACTTGAAAAAAAACACAGCAATGGCCCACCACTACAATTTTAAAAGAAAGTACATTTTTCTTTTGAATAGAAACCGCAGGTTTCATGTTGTAATGTAGCTGATAGACGACTGCTTTAACTGGTCACGACATGATTTAATGATGAGGTGTTTTACAGTTATACCACTTCCATGCCGGGACTCATTCACCTGTCTATTTGGACAAGAAACAATTGTCACATAGCTACTAAAACTTGATGGAGGCAAAGTGATAAATCCATAAACTCTTTGACAACTCTATCACAATAAAAAATACACATGTTAGCCACACCGCTACATAAGCCACAGGGTTCAAAGAATTATATAAAAATAGCTGCTTATAGTCCGGAATTAATGGTACTTTATACAATAATTTAGACCTTATGGTCATTGCTCATCAGCAATGACCCTAATTCTCCATTTGATTCCTATGGTTATTCTAAATGGAGAATTTTACACTTCACAATTCCATAGCAAAGATGGCAAGTAGGTAAGTACTTTTACTTGAGTATTTTTTCAGGTATTAGTACTTCATTCATTCATTTTCTGACCATTTTTTACAGTTATTCCTTACTTTCAAACCAAAATGTGTAGTTTGTACTCTTAAAATTGTTTAATTACTAGTTACTTGGCAGATGACGACACAACATAGAAACAGACGTTTCTGACATAGAAGGGCCTGTCCAGTATCAGAGTAAATAATTAGTTTTAATGAGCTACACTTTCAGATAACCACTTAGCTTAAAGTCTACATGTATTTCCACATTTAATGTTGATTCTCAAATTCTCTGCCAGTATGATACATTTCTACATACAATAACAGTTACTTTTCAACTCAGTACATATTAATGCTTTCAAACTTTCACTGAACTGAGGGAATGGTTTCAACACGTGTATGCCTCTGCTCCACTCCTTTCACAGCCCTTATTACTTACATTTCTAGTGTTTTCTGATAGAAGCAGTTCAGTGCTCTCCACCAATTTTCTGAATGAAGGCCGTTTCAAAGGGTCATGATTCCAGCAACACAGCATCATGTCGTAGCTGAAGATATAGAGCAGGATTAATATATTGTTGAATAATCTTGCCAATAACAACTTATGTGCATACATTTCTACAGGGGCAGACCCCGGCCTGCTCATTCGGTGGCCTTCTTGAATCATCCGGTAGAAAGCTGAACCCACTTGCATTCCAGGATAGGGACTGTTTCCTACAATACAAAAACATTTTAATTAAAAAATGTCTTTTGATGTTATCCTAAAGATTAAAGTCAATAACCATGTATTTGTTCATTGCTCTTGGCTAAGTAATTTTGACCTTTTCAGCTCAATCATATTATATAGATAGAAAATAAATCTTGTACAGTTACCAAGAGAGAAGATTTCCCAGAGCAGAATGCCGTAGGACCAGACATCACTCTCAAAGGTATAGACACAGTCAAACAGGCTCTCTGGGGACATCCACTTGACCGGCAAACGAGCCTGTAAAAGCAACACTTAGTAACTAATCAAAGTGCTATAGATTGTAGATTCACATGGAGATAAAAGCATAACCACAATGACCACGATGATATTATGATACCACAAATGAGCACATTCTGTCCTGGCTTTTATTAGTAAATGTGCTTGTATGTACGGCTGTGGCAAAAAACGAAAGATGGCAATCCCATAATCCTGATTATTGAGACATGTTACTGTCACTGATGAGAAAGAATTGAGAGGCAACGGGTATCGGTTCACTCATGTCCATTTCACACAGTTTTAATCTTTTGCCTTGAAACAATGTTAATAATATATGCACCATATAAAGAGTATCCATCCCTCCGCACCTAAAGCAGTGCTTCATAGATTGAGAATATAGAAGTATACTGTAAGTCTAAGACATTTTTGCAACAAATCAGACCAGTGCAGGATGCACTTATCTTTATCTCTAACGTTTGCATTTTGCATTCTCTGTTTTAAAAAGTTGAGCTAAAGATGTGACAGAGGCTAAAATTACATGCATATCAAAACTAGTAATAGAACCAATTTAGATATTTTTCCAGTTTCTGGGGTTATGTACCCCAGGTTGAACTTACAGTGACATAAAGTAAACACATAGTAACTGTATGTCACTGTAAATTTAATCTTGCAGTGAATAAACAATGTATTGTAAACGGTGTGTTCTTCCATCACTTTGTTTTGAATACAAAACTAAGTATTTGTCATACTAGTTTTTTGTCAAAAAAATCATCATGTAATTGAAAATCAATATAGGGGGAAAATTGGGATTATTTGTCCTCATATCTCTCAGCTCTAATTTGAAAAAGGAATGTCATTGATGGCTGACTCACATTTCCTCTGAGCACATAGCTGGAGTCAGTGGTGATGTCACGCGCCAACCCAAAGTCACAGATCTTGGCAACTCGACCGTGAGTCAGCAGAACGTTTCTGGCCGCGAGATCCCTATGAATACACTTCAAACAAATGGATACACATAAGTAAAGTGGGAACAGCATACTGACATGTTTTCATTTGAATGGAGAAATGCAGGATGATAAACAATGTCAAATGTGTCTGTCAAATAGCTGCAAAATTGATCAGCAAATAATTTTCTAAAATGACAAGATTCAGCCGGTCTACAGTCTATAGTCGACTATAGACTGTAGACTGGCTATTCACATACTTCACCATAAAGCTACATTTATAGCTATTTGCTACAAATGTAGCTTTATGACAAATGTTTTAGACAGTGCATAATAACAACAAATATAGAAACAGAAACAGTATATTACAAGAACTTTTTCAGGATAAAGATGTGAAGTCTTAAATAAAGTAATGATTTAAAAAGTGTCAATAATTAAAATAAATGTATTATCTCGAATAAGTGATATATAAAGATGACTTATTTACGTACTCACTTATTTAGTGTGTAGTGCTTTTATAACCATGAAGATAAACCATCTCTTTTTCAATGCATCTAAAAGACGAAAAGTCAGATCTCAGAAGCTAAGTAGGGCAAGCCCTAGTTAGTAATGTGATGGGAGACCTCAGAGCACACAGGTGTGTTCCTAGGTAAGACACGTCACCCACATGGTTGGTAGTGGTCGGAGGGACTGATGGAACATACTGTTTGCCTCGCTTCTGTGAGTCTGCCCCAGGACAGTTGTGGCTACAGTCACCAGCGTGTATGGAGTGTATGAATAAAGCCATGTGAAGGGTGCCATAATGCCATGTGCCATGAAAGTGAAAGTGTGAAAGTAGCATGCATTAGTATTAACGGTTTCATAGTTCAATAAAAATGATGAACCTACATTTTTTGAAGTAATGTACTCCATTCCTTTGGCAACCTGATAAGAAAAGCTGATTAGGTCTTCAGCATTGAGAGACAGCTCCTCAATGACATCTGTGAAAAACAAATATAACATTTCATGTTTAATAAAAATAGACTACAAGGCCCAGCCTCGTGGAAAGCAGAGTACTAACAAAAAGGGAGACTGCTGCCCTTTATTGAGCCCTTTACATATTTTGCAAATGACTTGAGGGGAAAAAAACACTTATTTTGGGCTAATGAGCCGCTTCGCCCGAGACCCAGTATGTGCGGCTGTGCGTTGACATGACAACTTTGAATTCTACTGAATTGGAATCTGTACAGTTTATAGATGGATCAGTTCTATCACATGCTGCATCACTTCAAAACGGGGGTACGACAAACTGAAGTTGGGGGCTTTAAAAGTCAAATCCAAAATATTCGGCTCGATTATCAGGGGGCATAATCTTCATGACTTTTCTATATCCTTGGATGCTCTGCGAGAAAATGACAAAGTTGGAAAGAGAGAGACAAAGCAAATAACAACGCTTTCAAATATAAATAATCGTTTACATTTAATGAGTTTGTAAAGAGAAAGTGAAAAATATCATGCTAAGAGGATACAAAATTAAACAAACAATTAAAACACATTTTTATGACCTGAATGAGAAATAGACATAACTTAAATTGAATTGTTAATAAAGGGTTTCCAGGACGTTTTGGCCCATTATACAACATTCCCAGCATCTACAATGTGGAAATTCAATTATTGAGCCAACAAAAACCAAACTGAACTATAACATGTTAAACTGTGTTAGGATTTTATTTTAAAACTCAAATCTGCGTAATGGCAAAATATCTAAAAGTATAAACATTTATAAAACATATATATTTTTAATACATGTTTTTGCACATTATTTTTATTACTATTATTGCTTAGTATAGTATATTTCGTACTTGCACATGATTGTAAAACACTATCATGTGCAAGTTTGTAAGTGTCCCCTACATTCTTTCTCGCGTCTCTGATCTACTTACATATTTAAATAAACAAATTGCCTGATTGATTGGAGACAGACAAGATGCCATACTTGATGATATTGTACCTGACTCAGATGACTTTTCAGAAGGACGCATGGGGATGTATCCAGATCCAGTTATCTCCCTAAGGCATTAAGAACACACTTTACTCCTGATATCAATGTCAGTATTAAACAAACAACTATGAGTTTACAAACCTCAATGGCTCGCTCTGGTTGTTGCGATAGTAACCATCACTAATTTGCTCATTTAGGAAAGATTCTCGTTTCCTTCGAAGAAAGTTGAGAAGGTCGCCATAGCAACAGTATTCAGTAATCACCAAAATCGGCCCTGAGGGGAGAAAAAACAGGCAAGTCTTGTTCATCAGACAAAGAGGATATTTTAGCTATTTTTAATCATTTTTGTCACTGCGGCCAAGAAACAAAGCAATGCTACGCCAATATCTAAGATAATATCTATCTGGTGGTTTCAATAATTCAGTCAATGTTTGTTTTTTGAACATCTAAGTGGTATTGTTGTTACATTTCTGAATATGTATGGTCAATATAAAGAGGCAGACAGGTAGATAATATTGACTAATGTCACCCTAAATTTGTGACCAGTCCAGAAGCAACACGCTTGCTGCAGTGGAGTGGTACTTAGAGCTCCATATCTGATTTCTGCGACAGGAGCGATAATTGATGGCGACTGCAGAAAATCAGCACAGCACAGCACAGCCCACTGAGATGTGTGTAAAGAGCAGATTACATGGGAAACTTCAAACTTTGATGGTAATGAGACTTGGGAAACTCGGCCGTACCTCCGACAGTGCAGGCTCCCAGCAGGTTAACGATGTTCATGTGGTTTCCAAGGTAACCCAGAACTTTCAGCTCCGACATCAGAGCCTCCTTCTCGGTCGCATGGGCATTGGCTGCAGACAACAGCAAACTCCTAATGTGTGGCATGTGCAGTGTACATTCTGTCCTACTTTATACTAAAATACTAAATGGTTGGTCAACTGAGAATAGAAAACATTATTTTATCAATTCATATTAGAATAAGTAAGAGACCAATTTTACTTTTCTATTCAGTTCAGCTGTTTACCAGTTTGTTATTATCATGTTATTAACAAAAGTATATGTATTTCAAGTAAACAGTAAAAAAAAAAAAAAAAAATCTTTATATTCATAGTAGTCAAAAATAATGGTAATCAAATACACTGAGCTGTTTGGAGTTAATACTTCTACAACAGCGCACTTACGTTTGAGCATCTTCACTGCAACAGTTGTGACCGTATCAGCTGAGCATAGTCCGTAGGCGGTGGCTCTAACGACTTTACCAAAAGCACCAGAGCCCAGAGTTTTACCTATAGGAATAAAATAAAGTCATACTTTCTTTTACCATATTTCATCCATTCAGAGACAAACTGCTTAGCCACAATAGTACATACCAAAGCGTAGCTTCTGCCGTGGAAACTCCCACTTGGAGTCGTATGGGAGCTGGGTAGGGTCAATATAAATGTAGTTGTTTCCATGAATGCTGTCAATGACCTTCCACTGAATTTGGAATTTAGGCTTCTGTTGGGGAAAACAGTTTTATAGAGCACAACGGTTTGCACAATGATTTTTTTGGTGTTCACTAAAACTTCTTCTAAAATCAAATTCATACAGACAAAGTACAGCGCTGGCAGATTGATTACCATTTATTAATAAACTCAAATCAAAAGTACTTGTTCAAACAACAGATCTCATGAATATGGTTTAATTGGACCTCTTAAAATAGATGTAACCGGTTATGATTATTTTCAAAACCCCAACTACAATTATTGGGGTTTTGAAAGATGTTTGAGTTGTCTAAAACGTATTGTATATTCATTAAAAATGAGATGTTGCAAAGATTTGCAAACAAAATGTGTCTCCAAATAATAACCCTTAGATTCTGGACGACTGTTTTTTGTGTATGAGTAAAGAGTGGCAGAGCCTACATCATAGCCTGGCCTTAGCCATCCGTACACTCATCATTTCACTGCATGTAACGTCTGGGTCTGGTCCCTATGTTTGCGATTACAATCGGTTGAATTTCGACCGACCATTCAGAGCGCGGAAGGCGGGTGTTGTAGTTAGTTGTGGGTGATGTCAAGAGTTTGCATCGAACACGCAGGTTGTAGTTTGGTAATGGCAAAAAATGCAATAGTAAAGTAATCCGGTCTGGTTCTATCAAGAAATTGAAGCCGGAGCAAGGGTAATGTTTAGCAAATGTAATCGCTGGGCTTCGTTAGCGACAAAGGAGATGGCTAGGCTAAATGCTAAATGCTAACAACAGACTCGGGCGCACTACATATACGTCACGGTAAACTCAGATCCAATCGTTTCAGTCTGCAAAAGAAGTTAACCCCTCCCACCTGTAAACGGAGTTCAATGGAGCACCTCCAGACCTTAGTACGAAATGTCATTTGTGCTATGGTGTGGTACGACCAGGCTACTACATCATGGAGATGTGTCATTTTTTTGCTCATAATGATTATTTTTCCTGATTGAAGCAAAGCTTGAAAACACAATCATGTGCAAATACATAGAGATAGTGTCTTCTTTTGTTCTTTTTGTGTTTTCTTATTTTTCATAGTTGGATTTCCGTACTTTGGCCAGAAAACTAGAAGTTAATAAAACACATAAATGTTGACATACTTGCATATACTTGTAAAGTAGTACCACCAGACAGCAGGTGAGGATGACCCCTGTAGCCACCATCCCAGTGAGCAGAGGGGTGAAGAGTTCATGGGGAACGACTCGCTCTGAAAACACACACAGTGACAGTTACAAAACACTACAACCCCTCCTCCATTATTTTCAGTGGACAGCTGCAGTAGCTGGTGTTTGTTTGCAAACCGTGGATTAGACAGTCCACATACATAATCCCACGGTGCTCACTCAGCATATATACGGTAATCTTGGTCAATCTGTGGCCAGCAGCAGCCCACAGACGGTCAGTGGGTTCATGCTGTTGCTCTTACCACTGATGGAGAAGAGTGTGAAGGCCTCATCTCCTTCGGTGTAGGCCACACACTCCAGGGTGTGGTACTGGGAGTGCTCCTTGCTGATGTTCAGACGGCTCTCTACCTCGCCTCGCCCAAAGGCAGACTCGGGCCCAACAACGACCTCAGGGGCCTCCCATTGAGAAGCATTGGGAAGATGTGAGCACCTGTGGATGGTTTCAATCATTTGCATTAGAATTAACATTGGGTAAAGCAAAATAAACACCAATATAAATAAATAATTTATCTTGAGGGATACTAACCTGGTAAGAGGCACCTCACAGAAGTACCAGCTAATCTTAGGGACAGGAAAGCCAGCAGCAATGCATCGCACCTGTCCATCTACAGGTCCTTCCTGTGCAATAATGACAGGTTTACCTATGAAAAGAAATAACATTGCAAAAATATGAATAAAGACATATTCAACACATTTAAATATTGCAAAAACTGTATTGCTTACTGTTGACATAAACATGGAATGAGTATGTGATATTTGCATCTTCATTACTGACTGAAAACAGATAGATGCCTCCTTCTGAGCCCAGGACCCTCACCAACCGGAGCTCGCTCTCATATCTGAGAACACAGCACATCTGTGTCATGCGATCTCTCACATTATAGACTGTGCTTGACTTCACGGGGATCCCACCTGTACTTTTTCTTGTGCACAGTGATGAAGTGCTCCGTTGTATTGAGAAGGTGTTTACCATTGAAAGACCAGGACAGAGCTCTGGGGGCAGGGTAAGACTCAAACTGCACTTTGAGACTCAGGTTCTCTCCTTCTTTAACCACAGCCTGAACTGGACCAGAACCTCCCGACATGCTGATGTATCCTTTGTCTGTACAGAAACAGCTGCATCATGATTGTACCTAAATACATGTGGTCCTTAAGGTCTATAGTCTTGTTACCGCGAACATCCAAGTGGATGGTCTTCGTACTGTTGCCTCTCTTATTATGGGCATAGCAGCGATAGATGCCCTGGTCTGACTGGTCCACAGAGGCAATCGAGACTGAGGTAGACCTCTGGTAACCATGAGAGACAGAAATGATGTGGGAGCCATGGGATTCAACTGGATGCTGTTGGACATTGAGAACAAAATTGAGAAACTGTCCAGTTAAACCCTTTATGATAGCAAATACTGTTACTATAATTACCGCTGTTTGGGGATAGTCCCATTTGACACTAAAGTCTGGGTCGACGTTGGAGGAGTTGCAGGTGACTTCAAAATGCTCCCCTTTTTTCAGGATGACAGTGTCTTTATGGGAGAGTCTAATCACTGGAGGCCCTTCTGGCACTGCACCAAGATGAACACATTTTAAATTAACTTTCAGCTGTAACAGATAACTGGGGTTGTTTCAGTTATTGTTATGTATAAAGTACAACTTAACCTAACCACAGATTAGGTTGAAATGTATAAAGTATGACTTTTCAACCCAATCTGTGGTTGAGTTTGTCAACAAAACATAACCACTCACTAGTACTTTTAGCACGGTGTGAAATGTAATATATTTGAATGCATTGATACAAAAGCATTCTTAGGAACGATTGCCTCAGTTATGATGCAGCACTAAATGATTATTCACTGTAATGCCTCGACGTCACTTCAGTGCGTCTGTTTAGAAATGGCTGCACTAATTCTATTTACTGCAAGCACAGCCGTTCATGCTCCGTTTGAAAGCTTTGCTCAGGGTATGGCTCTGTCAGCACTGGGATTATTGTTTCTTTTTCAATCTTTCATTTGGGCAAATAAAAAAAACACAAGTCCCAACGGCAGTGCATTTCATGTCAGTCTAAAACAGCGGTTGTTCCTGAGAGTTTAGTTTATTTATCTAAAGAACAATATGCGACAGGACATATAAAACATTACAGGATCATATTTGGCAGTATACTTTTAAAGTGTAGAAGTCACAGAAGGGGCAACAGTTTTTTTTCTTTATGTGCACATTACACAACAGATGAAGCTGTCAGGTGGTACCCGCGAGAGTCTCATCTGATGGCCCAATATGATAATATATTGTGTGTGCTCCATTCTAACTTTATTTTTTTATACTTTATGTCTTTGCACAGTACATCTCAATATGATCAAAGCAAATTTCAAGTACCATAATATACACACTTTATAGTATTTTCACCCATTGTGCCAAATAAGAAAATTAAATAGAATAAAATAATGACAAAAATAATAATAATACTAATGTTGACTAAATCAAAAGGGCCTGGGCTAGCTTTAATTCACAGATAAAGATATTTTGTCAAATCAATCTACAACCAGTGCCATACGGAGAAAAGAAAAGGACGGGGAAAAAACAAATATACAAAACAAAACCTCTATGTTATTATCTGTGTAAAGGCTGACCACCTAGATTATAACTTTCTGTGTCAATATCCCCAGAATGGTTCATTTGAAAGGACAAGTGGATAAGTCTCAGTTAAGTCCAAAACTCCTCACTTACTCATGTTGTTTACTTTTGAATGCGCTGGAACACGGCAGTCAGTCCTAACCAGCTGAAACAGTTGTTGTTTTGTGCTTTACAATTTAGATTTTTGTTGCTTTTTTCTACCTGAGATGTTGCTGCAGTACAGTGTTCATGGTTTTGCACTGGTCCAGACCAGAGTAGAGAGGATTCATGGTCCGAACCAAGCGGATCAGGTCAAAATCCACTGGAGGAAGGCTAACTTTTTGAAAAATGCCAATGAAGCATTTAGCATTTACTTTGGACTAGAGCAGAGAAAATTGTCCGAACCAAGCGGCTACTCCACCTTTTGACCCGTCCTACTCCACTTAGCGGCTACTCCACCTCTACTGCTGTGACCCGTCCTGCTCCACCTCTTCTGCTGTGACCTGAAGGGTTGTTGCTGATTATTACTATTGATATCTTTTTAGAATGATCAATTTTATTTTTTATTTTTGCTGCTACTGGACACCTGAATTTCTCCTACGGGGATCAATAAAGTATCTATCTATCTACTGTTAAAACTCACCAGAGCGTACGTCTACTGTATACGGCGCAGAAACCACTCTTTCTCCAGCCAGCCTCCCCACACAGCGGAAGCAGCCCTCAAACTCCTTCTGGGCATTGCTGATGATGATGCCCCGCATGAGGTCGCTCCGGTAACTCAGACCAGAGGGCAGAGGCCGACTCTCACAAGTCTCCAGGGCCAAGTGCGTCACGTTGGGGTCAGTCACAAGACATGGAACGGTGAGGTTTTCACCTGCTCGCACCAAGATGCCATTCACCATAGGGCGCTGAAAAACACTTTGAGGATCTGTGTGAAGAGAAGACAATATAGGTCATATTTCTAATTATCGCGTGCATGGAGCTGCTAAGTGAAAGTAAGTGAGTAATCTTTGTATATAGCGCATTTTACAGACCAAAGCGCTTTATAATGTTCAGAGAGAAGTGTGGCAGAGGGCAAGGTAAACATTCCCATGCCCATAGAGATCATTATATCATTTATTTTATTGTCATTTTTTTTATTTATATTTATGTTTTGATTTTATTTTAATCACTTTTATTTGTAGCTGACAGACTTTTGTATATGTATGTGCTACTTTTATCTGTGCAACACTTTGGGAACACGTTTTAAAAAATGTGCTATATAAATAAGGTGGATTGGTTTATAAATTTGAAGACACAACTAAGGACTAACTAGCAATCTGGTGATTTACAGACAAAAAATCAGCATCAAGTTACAAAATCACAATTTAAATGTATGTCTTGTAGGCATTACTCATCAGATCACTAATCATAAAAAAGCAAGTTTTCAATCTCTTATAAAAGATTTCTTTAAAAAAAAAAACCTATGGGGATGTGGAATTGGGAATATTACTTCTGGAACCTTGAAGCTCCGCCCACTTCACAGCGCCATAGATTCCATCATTTGGCTTACAAATAACACTGCAAAAGTTACCGTCTCAACGTAAGTAAATTGTTTTTTTTGTTTGTTTTTCAATACATACCTTGCCAGATACAAGATACTTTGTTTGTGTGTAATGCAATAGAACACTAATCTACAGTTATAATATCACTGGACTTTTCTACAAAACATAACATGTTCGCACCTTTGACGTAGACATAGATAGAGCTGTGTTCCAGTGTGATGTTGTTGACACACACGTAGCGGCCCATGTGATAAGCCTGAGCGGAGGACACTCTCACATAGACCACTGCACCTTCCTCCACCTCTACTTCCATCCGCCGCACCCTCTCTCTCTGCCAGCGCAGCCTGGACGGTGGGGCGCCAGACACTGTGGCGTTTTCATGGCAACGAAGCTCCAGTTTGCCCCCCTTGGGAACCACCACATGAGGTCCCCCAGGGGAGATGACTGGCTCACACCAAACTAAAAAAGAAACACAAGATATTAAAGGCAACAAGCTGACGTAATGCCATCTTAAAACAGAAGCCACAATCAGTTAGAGCATGCTGCCTTACTGTCTAATGTTAGAGTTAAGTTAAGTATACTATGAGACAAGTCCTTAAGACACAGCACTATAAAAACCACCATGGCTCAATTGAACAATCAATAATTATGAGCGTCTACCCGCTGAGTAATCATGCATTAAGTTTCAGATCCATTCCGATGACAGAAGGAACGCCATAGTTGTTATTTTTTGTTTGCTTACCCTCTTTGAATTTCACTCTCTGTAATTGCTGATGCCCACATGATAAGCTGTCTTTGGAGCAGAGGGTTCTCATGTGACTGTTATGCCTTGAGGCTGAGGCAGTGAGTAGACAGACACCCCCTTTTGAAAATATCGTTTTCTGTGTGTTTCTGGAAGCACTTGTAAGAATGTGGTCCCAGAGCTTGGGCAGCTTTCAAAGAAGTGCAACAAGAAAGAATACAGACAGAGAAGAGGTGGTCTGACAGCACTGGGAGTAGCCTGCACTTGGATGTGTTTGTCAGACTGATGTTGTGTGTCCATTTTCCCTCTCTTGCTTTGTTCTTACTGTTTGTGTTGGCGTGTGAAGGTACAGCACACTCTCATTTCGGTCAAATGTATAATTAATGCCCCGTACACACAGGCACACACCTGTTGCCTTCCAGGATAAGGCAGGTACCCTGAGGCAGTTATGCAAATAAGAAGGATGTCAATACGTCTTCTGAGTGAAACTATGCCGTTGAACGTGCATGCAGCAACGTGTCACATTTGTGCATTTTAACATGTCATGTATGGTGTTCACAGAAGGCGCTGGTTTTCAACAGCGATGTCGGACGAGACGCGCGAAAATAATACATTTCTCCCGTCTTTGCGGCTTTTTGTTTTTTTGCACATTTACAAAATAGCTGATTATACATAAACAAACACTGGTGATATGATGGTCCGTCTGGTGTTTGGAAAACTTATAACGAACAACATTAAAAGAATGATTATACTCACCGGTCTGTAGAAGTAACACGAGGACCAAAAGTAACAAAAAGCACCTCATGGTTAGGCGCTTTAGTGTGCTCCATCAAAAAAGCAGTGAACCATAGAGCTCCCTATCCACTGTCAGCCAGAGCAGGTCTCTGCGTGAGGCTACGAGCGCACAACAAAACGATCCTGGATGCTTTGACCCCCCTCCGGCGGATTGCACTATTACTTAAAGCCACAGCGCCTCTCCCGCTCTTCTTGGCTCATTGCCTCTCCTCACCGGATCCTTTTTGTGCAGCATTGGCTGGGTTCGAGCCAAGGTGATGATGGTGAGCCTCTTGTATTTATCGGGAAAAAATACAATCTTTCGTTTTCACCCAAATGTAGCCAACTAGATGAAACAAATCTGCCACCTTGGCAGGTGTGTAAAGTGAAACTAAACAGTTGCCCCTCGGTCCCAGCTGGCTTGTGTCTATAGTGTATGATACAGCAGTATTCCCTCTCACTCTAGTCTCCTTACACTGACTCACTGAGGTGCATCCTTTCACATTCTACAATCTAGTGCATGAGATCAACTCTTTACTTGAGTCCAAGGAGGCACAATGTTCAGTCCACATTCTGAACACATCTCAATCAATCACATTTTATTTATAAAGCGCTTTTTATACAGAAAATGTAACACAACGTGTTTGGTTACATAAATCCCACATGCCCACGACCCGACCACCCAACAGACCCATTCCAAACCATAGTATACCCACACGCGCACGCACACACACACAAACACACACACACAACACACGCACACAACACACATACACACACTCACAAACAAATACACACACTCCCACATAGACATCTATACTGTCACATCAGATGGGTAAAATGAAGAAATAGGGCTGGTGTGCATCTACTAGAAATAAAATTACATAGCATGTTGTATGTACCCAGTTCCCTCTGTATCTCTGTAAATATTAAACAAAATGTTTTAGGGACTTATCTTAATAGAATAAAGAAAAGGCAAATATTTGGTGGATTCATATTGCAAAGGCTTAATCTGCAAATTATAATTCCAATTTATAATGCACATAAGCGGGAAATTGCCTTCCTCAACGTGTTGGGCTTCTTATATTTTCTGTTGCTCCACAGAAGCATGTGGGAGCACAGTAGCAGTGTTGTGTTTTTACACATGATCTGTATCTGCTCCGGCCTGTGGCTGTTTGTGCCTTCTCTAGCACATGACGATGGAGTGAGACTACTCAAGCAACACCAACAGATTAATTGATTTTCTTGCTTGTTTTTCTGACATAATGCACTGGAAAAGTGTTACTAAAGAGTCTAATCTTGAGTAAACAAAAAGTTGGAATTCATTTGCATTCATTCGTTTGTAAACACAACAGACCAACACTTAAAAAAATCCGTTTTTGCCCCACATGCAGAAATGTTAGTTTTTCATGATCGCACATTAATGACAGTAGAAATAAAAACCACACAAAAACTGCATGGTAGATAGCTGTAAATACTTCTTTTGCTTTAAAATCTTCAATAATCTGTATCTTAATTACTATTTGATGAGTCACTTAAGTTCTCATACACTGCTAACAGGAGGGTTGATGTAAAGAAAAACAACTAGTCCACACACCACCTGCAGTCCATAACATCTTCATAAGCGTCTCAAAAACAAAAGCAACTCCTCTGTGCAACAACAAAGCACCTGTCTGTCCACCAGCTGCCCTCACTGCACTTGGACGTATATATAGTGCCCCGTCTGCATGATATTCAATCTCTCATGTGCCATCCCTGCTCCATTATTCATGACACTGAGGTGAACCTATGGAGATATGGGCTGAGTCACTGTGACGTTGTGAGTGCGGATCTGCAGCGTGACTCACTCTATGCTTTTAGACAAATGAGGACAGCGGCGGTCTGGCAGAGGGCAAGAGTCACATTTTAGGCCTTCAAGAACAACAGCCACTAAAGAAGTGTTTCCAAGATCTGATAAGACACTATCCCATTGACTTTCCTTTTATACAGCTTCCCATTTTGCCTCTGTAAAACGTGAAAGCTTTACAAATCTTGACTAAAACTCTGGTATTGTTTTCGCTTCATATGACAGAGGATGTTACCTCACACCCACAAAGTAAACAAAGATTGAAGCCTGTCTGATTCACAATTATGAACTAAAGGATAGAAACATGGGACAACTTTACCATTCATGAATGTTTAAATTGCCCAAAATAAATTACATTTTCTTTGACTTTGTGTCACAAATTATCACCTGATTGATGTAGCTATTACAAACATTTAATACCACTGAAGTAATATTTGCAATAGAAAAGACACATGTTACAGATACAGATACACGCAAAATATGTCTTCATATTCTGAAAGCCACATTTTTCATTTTAACATTTCATATTTTGTATTTTAAGCTGACTATCCAACCAGAAAGCAGAAATAGGTCTCGCATCAGTCTCTCATTTGGGTTTCCAGTTTTTTTGGTGAAATCCAACTGGTTTGGTCTTTACCTAAAGCATAAATCATATTCTTAACATGCATGACAAGGCACTGGCTACAAAAACATTTAATTGTAATAGTAAAATTATAAAGCCAGCATCCAAAAATGCATGCTGTTTCTTCAAGCTATATTCAAATACAATCCTATTCAATTTGGACCTACTTCTCTAACTAAATAACACATCTGAGTTTTACAACGTGGCCTGCAGCCTTTAACTGAATCATCTCCAAATGGATCCTCCTCACACCCATCAGGGCATTGGGGCAGCTCTGTGCACCTTCACTCTTGGCATTTAGCCATATGAGGCTGAAAAAAAAACACTCACAACAACATAATACCATATCATTTTTAGCTCTGAGGCATTAGCAAAGGCTTTTCTTCAGTGCAATCCTATACACTTCACTTGCTGCTGACATGGCTAAATGAACCTGTATCTGATTTCATTTGTCTAACTGCTTCTGCAATGTGTTTTATAGCCTTAAGTGTCTTTCTATGGTTAAATGGTGGTGTTTCTCATTAAAATAACTGTCCCGTGCAAATTAGATTATATAGTCTAGGCTGAATTATGCTGACATAACACAACTGCATGTCTATTCCCCCAACAGATGTGTTGTTGTCGTCCCAGATAAAGGACATCGTCGCTCTGTTATCAATAGTGAGACATTGAAAATGGCGTTTAGATACAATGCGATGATGTAGTATTGAGACAAAGACAAGAAGCTGTGTAATTACTGATAGCCCAATGATCGCCCTCTGTCAGAATAAAGCTGATTAGCATCGACCAGGCCCTGAGCCGACCTAATCCAGCACAAGAAGAAAGGCGGAGAGCGAGAGAAAATAAGATACTGGAGAAATGCAGCAGATGAAATTAAAGGAAGCAATATAAAATAGAAACGCTACCAAAGGGAAGAAACAGCACAACAGCTGACCTGCAGACACTTCCTCTGTTCACCTTGTAACACTGGGTTGTTTGTATAAAGCTGGGGTACCTTACTTTTTTGTTTTATAAAGAATACATGAAGTTTGTCCCAATAGTAAAATTGAAATCATGTGAACCAATTTAACCACAACACGCTGTCTCCTACTGAATTAGAAAACATTTTTTCTTTTGCATAGAGACCCTGACTGAAACAGAAAAATGTGAGGACAATATTTTTTTATACCAAAATCTGACTTTTCAGCAGCGGCACACCGGCCTGTGCCCACAAAGCCAGATGTTTAAGATGTACTTGATAAATTACATAAATGCACACATTACAGTTAAAACAAAAGAACAGTTATTATATTAGTGATTTCAGAACACTTCTACTACTGCACTTTGAGAATCCCAAAACCTGGCCCTAACCTTGAATAAGTTTTATCATTAGTATTATTATTCAAATTATAATTATTAGATGTAACATTTCATGTATCAAAAATAATTGTTATAAAACTCTACACAACAATTTGTACAAATGAAGATAATATTTGTAATGAAGCTATACATTCTTGAAGTTTTCCAATTGATGCTTGCACAATGGTTAGTACTGAAATTATTTCCTCTTTGCATATGTGAAAAAGAGAATATTAAACAAATCTTTTTTTTAAAAGGGTAAAATGTGTTACTGAAACATCACAAATAAAGAACAATAGATTAACAATGTCTCAACATTACATTAACATAACATGCCAAATGAGCAGCAAATGTGTTAAGGAGGACAGATGAGGTGAAAGCTTGAATGTGAAAGATAGCTGGACTGGAGAGAGAAAACTGTAATCTCAATTATCAGTTTAGAAGACTGCAGCCTGCTCAGTGTGAGTGCTCTGTGAATACACTGAACAAGCACATGTGATGTGATAAAATACATACGAGAGAAAATAGGCCAGTAGTCATTTTGAAAGATCAATGTGCTAAACTCTATTGGATAATAGTGGTATATAGCTATATGGATGTATTAAAGCCATCATTTTATTTGTTTAATGCAGGTCCTTTTTCAAGATTTGATTTGTAATTTATTTTCATCCTTCTCCAAGATAATAACAACTCTGAAGTGTCAGTAGCTGCAGCAGGACAGAGGAAGGGAGAGTGAGAGAATCCACAGATTTCCAAGTTGTTTACTGACAGGCCCAAAGTGGACGACTTATCTGGTCAGAAACCATCATGCATTAACTGGCCTCTTTTGAGTAGATGGCAAACTTTACATGCAAGCCACAGCTGTGATATTTATTGAGAATCTGTTGAGTGGTGGTAGTGTGACTGCTGCTGCTCCTAGAAGTATGTGGATTTTTGAGCAGTGCTTGTTACTACATGACGTTTATTTTTTAAGATATATAATCACTAAATCTAATGACATTTAAGATATTTCATAACTAGAATATAAAATTGTATTTGTATATACAGGTTGTTGTGGTTGGAGCTGTGTATAACATTATAGGAATGAACCGCCCTCTCTACTTTTTGTATCTGTATATCTGTGTGTGAAATCCAATGTTAAATAGGACTACAGGAAGACTGTCTAACTCTAAATTCTGCAAATAATTGAACTGCAGTGGAAGCTGTGCTACAACTAAGGTACTCGTAAATTGAGATAATTGTCATGTTCGATAGCTTAAAATACCCATAAAATGTATACTATATCTAAGTAACTGCATTTTTATCTAGTAGTTTTGAGAATATAGTCACGTTTCAAAATGATAAGGATCATTTAAGGAGCATTGTCATAACTGAGTCAAGGCAAGTCCTCAAGAGAATGATTAAATAATAATAATCTAAATTGAGGATGCAGGAGTTGTATCCTTTACTTTAGAATAACATAGATAAAAAGTAACACATTTTTAAGATTTTTTAAGCACAATTTATGTTGCTTTTAGGTCGTGTTGTCTTCTACAGAGTAACTAACATGTTTTTGAAATGTGGAGTGAAAAGTGCAGATATTTGAGCAGTGAAAATTGTAAAATACCATGAAAAACTACATTTTACACTTGGTACATGAGAGAAATTACTACCTACATGCTATATCTAATTATATTACAAAATACTTTTAATCCGTAACTGAGAAAGACTACACCTATATACTACTATACCTGTAACCTCCACTAGATGGCGGTGTCGTCAACACCAACACTCCAGAGCGACGCTCCAATCTCTTCCGAGTTCAACGTTAACTAGCCGCGTTTGTTCATTTAGTCTATGGTACATTTACACATGAAATCCTGTAATACTTAAACTTCTCAGTACTGACGGCAGCAAAGAGTTTCTGGATTCAGGTCCAACAAGAAGTCTCAATTTAGGCCGATATGTCTGCGGAGGAATCGGACAAACCGGCCAACGCGGACGCCAGCGCTGGAGGAGGAGATGAGGAGGAGGAATGGCTGTATGGAGGTAGAGTTAAACCAGATAAAACAATGTGCACAAATGCTAACCTTATAATATAGCGTGCAATGCGTGCATTGGATAATACTCGCCCGCTGTGTTGCTCTGGTGCGGTTGTTATGGCACCGCTCGCTGCTGTATTTTGTGTGTAGCTAACATGTAGCTAGCTGTGATGCTAAGTTTGCTAATGCTCACGTTGTGTTTTTCCTTCTAGATGAGGCCGAAGGCAAAGAGGAGGATGAAGAGGCCAAATTGAATGCTACCGTTGGGTATTTTGTCTTTGCAGTCTTTGTTTTGCTATCGATGTGTATGTTTGTGTACAGTTCTTTCATGATTTTAACTTGTAACAGTCAGGTGACATGTAGCCAGCGTTCAATTAACGATACATTAAACATAACAGGGGATATGTTTTATTTTATATTTAATACTAGTACTAATATTGATACTAATTATGTTTCGACATTATATATAGCGTGTATATTAGTCAAGCCCTACACTGTGGCTGTTGCTCGTTAAGACGTATAATAATAATAATAATAATAAGACAACTTGTGGGAAACTACTTGACTAAAATGAGATTCTTATTCCAGTGTTCCTCCAGCTGATGCCTCTTCAGATGATGTTGTTGAACATGCAACAGACAATGGTGTGGCCTCTGAGGTATAATCTTTATATTAACACTTCATAACCTGACCCCCCCTGCCCTTTATGAAGTCACTTTAGTACTCTTTATAAAGCCACTTACTGCCCTTTATAAAGTCACTTTACTGCCCATCATGACATCACTTTACTGTAAAATAATAATTATATTGTGTGCCCCAAGTGCACTTGTATGTAAATTGTAATTTTTACACCTTAGAAGTGTATGCTGATTTTTATCACACCTTACTCTACTCTTTACCTCTCTGCTTTGACTGTTGCACCGAGAGCCAAAGCAATTACCTAGTCTGTGACTTCCTGTTACTTGAATGGCCCCCACTCTCCGTGATGGACTCCACCATCACCTCTGTGGAGTCCTATCGTTTCCTGGGCACCACCATCACCCAGGACCTCAAGTGGGAGCCGACCATCCGCTCCCTCATCAAGAAGGCCCAGCAGAGGATGTACTTCCTGCGGCAGCTCAGGAAAGCCAAGCTGCCTGCACAGATGTTGGTGCAGTTCTACACGGCCATCATCGAGTCCATCCTCACCTCCTCCATCATTGTGTGGTTCGCTGGAGCCACAGTCAGGGACAAACAGAGACTACAGCGCATTGTGCGCTCTGCAGAGGAAGTGATCGGCCGCAGCCTTCCATCGCTGCAGGACCTGTCTGGAGCTCGAGGCCGGGCTGGTCGTATCACAGCCGACCCCTCTCACCCTGCACATGGACTATTCCATCCACTCCCCTCAGGCAGGAGGCTGCGGTCCATCAAGACTAGAACCTCCCGCCACAAGAACAGTTTCTTCCCCTCTGCTGTTGGACTCTTGAACACTTCTTAAACTGTCCCCCCGCCCTTTATAAAGTCACTTTACTGCCCATCATACGTCACTTTACTTCACTGTACTGCTGTCACCTTACACTGTGTGCACCATGTGCACTTGTATATTGTAAATAGTAACTGTAACTCTATTTTAATTTTAAATTTATTCCTTAGAAGTGTTTTTTATTCTTTTTTTTTTTTATTATATCTCTGACTGTTGCACTGAGCCAAAGCAATTTCCAAGTCTGTGACTTCCTGTTACCCATGTGGCAATACAAATTATTCTGATTCTGATAAGAATTATTCTGATATAAATATTGCCTTACCTGTCCCGCTGTCTTAATGTGTGTAATGTATTTTTAGCCCAGTGGGGAGGTCGCAGGTGAAGTTGTGGAAAGTGACAGCGACAGTGATGATGATGACGATGATGTCCGTGTCACAATTGGAGACATTAAAACAGGAGCGCCACAGTACACGTATGTCAATTACATGCTCACTTAAATGTTGGTATGACTTTTTTCATGTATGATTCTTTATTATAGGTCATATGGCGCACCTCCTGTCAATCTTAATATAAAATCGACTAGCTCCAGGCCATACGGACAGGGTAACCAAAATAAACTTATTTTCTCATCTTATATGTTATGTTATTTAAATCAAATATTTTTCATTACATCTTTGCAGTTTCCACAAAACTTAAAGGAGTTGACTTGGATGCTCCTGGAAATATTAATGGTGTTCCTGTATTGGAGGTGGATGTGGAGTCATTTGAAGAGAAACCTTGGAGAAAGCCAGGTGCATTTCTAGATTATGTTTGTTTACCATACCAACAAGAATGATATCAAACATGTTTTTGCATCTGTAGGAGCGGATTTATCAGACTACTTCAACTATGGCTTCAATGAAGACACTTGGAAGGCTTATTGTGAGAAACAGAAGAGACTTCGCATGGGGCTTGAGGTATCCACAGTGGGCTCAGTGACGAGTAAAATTTCTGTAAGTTTCCTTGATGACTATGAACTATATTAACACAGAGGAATAATTATATTTAATTGTAGGTGCAGCAAGGCCGTACTGGTAATGATAAAGACGTTTCCAGTTTGTCAGTTCACACATCCAAAGCAGACTTTGCAGCTCCTGTTAGTATGTACAAGTCCTCTGCCAGCCAAATTACCAGGTAATTAATATTTTTATTCTGAATACTGTTGCTAGAAAGCCATTGCACCTATTTTATGACTCAATCACAGAATTACTCAAGTTATCGTTGATGAAGAAATATGTTTGATGTGTTTGTTCATTCCTATTCTTTTTAGTTTAATGTAAGCAACCGGCTCCTGGTGGAATTTGTGCTGTATTTGTTAATGTATAAAATGAAGACTACAATGTCCCAATACTTCTTACCTTTTAAACATGTTCATAATTTTAGAGCACTCTTTCCAATATAATAGTAAATACATTAAATGATAGAAATTGTTTTATTGTGAGCAGATGGTCAATTGTGGATTTTGCATTAGGCCCATTGTTATGTCCTTGTCCCTTTGCTTCAAAATAGTAGGATCTCTCCCACTCAGTGGACTTGCAAGCCGGCTCCAGACATTTCCTATTTTCCGTAAGTGAGCATGGCCTTGTACATTATAGGGGGCATGTGTTCATTTCTGAGATCTGGCTCAACATGAATGCTGTCCACAGAAAATAAAAATGTCTATTTGGTTTTTCTTTTTAAGATTGCAGAAGGATTAAAAAATAAGTTTATTACAAAAAACAAAAGTAAATTTAAAGATTCATGTACAGTTTCAGATCCTGAACATGATTATTATCATCGTTGTAGTCTTGTTTGGGGACACACTGTGGGGTGGGGGATTATGTGTCCACCTCAGACCTAGATTAGACAATTTATAAACTTTCTATTCTTGCTTTTAATAGTAATGCCGATGTGTTTACCTTCCCAGAAAATCAAGTGGGACAATCGATGTGATTGGTGGACAGACGGCTACAATAAGCAGAGTGGAGGGAAGACGCAGACACAATTTGGATGGCAACAACATACAAGTAAACACAAGAAATAATTATTTATGTAGATGCACAAGACATAAGAATTCTTAACTAAATGTGTCTGCAGGTGCTCTCTGAACACTCTGCGTCAGACGCTGAGCCAACACCTGCGAAGATGCCACCATTCTTCCCTCCAGGACATCTCCCTCCAAACATCCCTCCACCTCCATTTCTCCCTCCGCCCCCTAACGTCAGCACAGCTCCGCCTCACATCCCCCCACCCAGTAAGTCTACGATGTCACTATTCCATGGGACGGATGATAAATGTGCAAATTCTGTTATTTTAGGAATGCCTATCACAGTTCCTCCGCCTGGCTTTCCTCCACCGACTGGACCACCTCCTTCTATTATACCCACTTTGGACAGGTACCACATCCATATTTCATGTTGACTTAAATGCACATCAGGTCGATTGATGACTCTTCTATCATCATTTCACAACACAAATCCACATGACTTTGTGTATGATTTGAGATGAAGCAGACTTCAGACCGTTTTTTTGTCTTGCCAACAAATATATATATATATTTTTTTTACCAATAAATCGACCAAAAAAAAAAAGACTTGACAGCCATACATTACTCAACATTAACTTCTGTTCTTACTACAGTGGACATGGTGGCTACGATGGACGCTCGATGCCTCCCTATGGTTTCCCACAAGGTTAGTAATGAAACTTTGATTTTGATGTACCATCATTTGCATCTTCAAACATTTGTGAATATGCCTCATTAGTAGGTGCTTATCCTCCTCCTATGGTTGGAGGTGTGCCGCCTCTATGGCCTCCGATGATGGACAATTCTAAACCCTGGGGGGAGTACTACCCTCGCCGAGATGAAAAGAGAGACAAAGAACGAGAGCGGCCCAGAGAGAGAGCACATGAGCGAGAGAGGGAAAGGGAGCACAGCCCCACCGGAATGGGCTACACCAGGTTAGATACGGCTGTGACTCAAAGTCCAGTTCATGGTTTATAGATGGACGATATCATAAAACATTGAGAGTACCACAGTCAAAAAAGTAAAATGTTTTCATTTTGTGTTTCTTCAACCTAGTGATGAAGAGCGCTATCGTTACCGTGAGTACCAAGAGCGTGGTGGATATGAGCGGCATCGCGAGCGATCCAGTAGGGAGAAGGAAGAAAGGCACCGAGAGAGAAGACACAGAGAGAAAGAAGAAGGGCGACACAAGTCCTCACGCAGGTATCTCCCATACAACCTCTAAGGAGTTTGTCTGTTTATTTTTGTTTTATAGTATCAATCGTACATGTAATGGGTCTTGGTTTGTCTTCACACATATTTAGCCTCTCCAGTCATCCTTTCCACTCTGTCCTCACGTTGTGTCCATCTGTTCACCTGTTTATAGTAGCAGTGGTCGACGGAGACATGACAGTGAAGAAGGTGAAGGCCACAGACGACACAAGCACAAAAAGAGCAAGAGAAGCAAAGAAGGAAAGGACGCCAGCGAGGAGATGAGTGCAGATCAGGAAAACCAAGAGGGAATGGAATAAATCATTCACTTTCATTTTTTACTTCTGTAATCCCAGAGGAAAATATTCACATGAAGCACTGGGCAACGAAACCAGCAAATCACACATGAATAATGCATTCAGTCCCTACCATTAATCTCTATTGGACTTCCATTTGGTTGTCATTTGTCTTCAGCAAAAGAGGCAGCAAATACTCTATTCATGTTTATTAATGACAGCCGCCACATCAACCTGCTCCTCCCAGAGCAGTTGAGCTTTCAAATTTCAGCCCCGAACGAGAATAATCTTTACTCTTTATTTTTTGATTATCCTTAGTCTCTTGTTTGTCCTGTAACATGCTACTAGACTGCTGTCAAGTCATTAAAAACCCTTTTGATAAGAACAGTTTGGTGTTGTTTTTTTATCATAACATTAGGTAATGACATATATTTGCTGTGCTTAATAATAAAATTAAACAACTTACAAGTATAAAAGCATTTGACCCATCTTTCAATGCTGAAAGGGCAGTGGTTCCAAACTATGATTTTTTTTATTTCAACTTTATATAACATTCTATTCAGCAGTTTAATTACAGATTATTATTTTTTTGCAGAAATTAAGTGATAAAAACGCATAGCTAAAAGAAGCAACATTGACATAGTTTCCTACAAAGTGGAACCTGCAACTCTTGTATCACTAAACAATGAGCACACAGCGCCTTCCTCCGGCTGAAGTATGCCAGATGTACCGTCCTGTCTGCAGCCCGTGACCTCCTGGGTCAAAGGGTTTTCCCGGTTTCACTGAACTCTAAATATAAAGCTTATTAATTGAATATTAAACACCAACTCTATAATACCTTGGGAACCAATTGACAGTGCAGAGATGCTGTGTGTTGCGTCGTAAACAACTGTTTTCGTAAAGGCATAGTTGACTGACCTTTGTGCGGTACAAAACACACCATTCACATTCGAACAGTGCCCTCTAAGGGTGATGTCCGGTATAACCTTAAAACACACAATACATATTAGGTATTACTCTCAGTACACCACACTGTGTATAACTGAATGTTTCCTCTTCAAAGGACCAAAAGACACATTTCATTTATGTTTTCATGATACATTTTATGTCGTAGTAGTAAACTATATGTCGTAGTAGTAAACTATACTTACTTATTAATTTTAAAAATGTTCATAAACAATGTGTACAACAGTATTTATGCTTTCTTATTCATACCAGTAAGTCTGTGAACAATGTAGAATCAAAATTTAAAAAAGCAGAAAATTCATAGAACACACCTACATGCTTGGCAATAAATTAATAGATTTGGTTGAAGTGGATGTGTGCTTTTTCTGTTTTATGTCAGGAGTTTGATATTTCCTTGAATCAAATTTGGAGGGGAAAAAACAGTATAGAAAATCTGATTCTTGTAGATTTTGAAGCAGTTATGCAGCTTTGCACATAACACACTCACATAACATGGTAATAGGTCAATTCAGCCTTCATGCTCTTCAGCTCTTTGGTGTCAAAGTCTTCGCCAATATTGACAGCGTTGCATCACATGACAGAAAAGTCCCGCATAAAAGGATACACAAGGACACCAGTGAAAACCTGCTACAGTGTTGAAAATGAAGAGGATTGCTGTTGTAATTTTGAGTATTTTATCTCTGGGACAGTGTGCTCCTTTGGACAACTGTGAGACTTTGTTGACACCCAAATCTATCAGCCGCGATGAAGTAAGTCAACCTCTACTGGCTCCACATGTTCCATTAAATCGGGCAAAGTGGATGTTAACAGTGCAAATAATTCTTCCTATTTGTGTGCCATAGATGCTGGGTAAATGGATGTACATTGGTGGGACCTCTGATCTCCCTGGAAGCCGGTCCTTAGTCCACCTACTAACCAGTGCCTGGATTGACACTCGGCCCACGCCTCAGAGTAACATTCTGGAGCTAATCCAAGCTCAGAGAATGTAAATACAAGCATGTCCTAGAGTCACCATCACAGCATCTTCATATTCTTTAGATCATCATGTGTATTTGTTCTGCAGATATGGAAAATGCACCACCTTAAAATACAATGTGACTTTTGAAAACAACATACTTCTTATTGGTATGACAGACTGTTAAGAGTTAAGAGTGAAATGCAAATTGAACAGTGCAGGTTGAAAATATATGAAGCTGTGAGTCTTGAATGCATGTCTTGACTGTATTTCTTGCAGAGCATCCGTTTTACTTGAAAGAGGTGTATCTTTCGACTGAATGCGGCGATTGTTTGGTTGCCTATGAAACTGTGGAGACTGATGATGATGCCTTTCAAAGTCTCCTTCTATTCAGTAAGTTTCAAAATCTTTGATGTATTTTAATATAATGTTATTTTTATGGAATTGAATATTGTATTGTACATGATCAGGCAAGAGCAGAACAGTGCCCCCAGCTGCTGTGGAGATGCTGAAGAAACAAGCTGCATGTCTAAAGATGCCCTCACTTCTAATGATCGATCCAAACAATGGTAAACCACCTGGGTCTGGATTTGTTTATTGATTTTTTTTTTATTTTTTTTTTTTTATAATTTAATTAAATGTTTAAATGTTCTTGTTTTCAGAAATTTGCCCAGAGGATCTATCCCCTGTGGAAGGGCTACCAGCTCTTAATAAATATCTGGAGGCAAAAACAGGACATTATGTTGCAAAAATCTTGGACTCTATTTTCGACTTTTTCATAAACTAAGCTGTTTGATTTGTTACCACAACACTCTGTATGGAAACTTTGAATACATACAATACAAAATGGAATATTTCTCACCAAATCGTTTGTGGTTTTAATCAAAGCATGTGTCCGGAGTATGTTTGGGCAGCATTTGCATAAACCTGACTGTGGAAATGTCCTTTTTTTCTGTTTACACAAAAAATGTTTTGTTGACAAGAAAGTAGCCGAGATCAAATGCCCTCAGATTTATGCTAAGATTCATGTAAGAGGAGCACCAAGATTAGATAAAAATGCTAGTCCTTATCCTTCTTTGATTTGTTTTTATGAAGAGGGAGCTGAGCCGAAAGGCAAAGCTTTGGGTAATGATCAAAAGAACGAGAACGCTGATACAAGCGGTCGAAATGAGCTTCCTCCGCAGAGTGGCTGGGCGCTCCCTTAGATAGGGTAAGGAGCTCAGTCACACGGGAGGAGCTCGGAGTGGAGCCACTGCTTCTCCACGTCGAGAGGAACCAGTTGAGGTGGCTCGGGCATCTGGAGGAACTATGTCTCTCAGCTGGCCTGGGAACGCCTTGGGGTCCCCCCAGATGGGCTGAAGGAAGTGTGTGTGGATAGGGAAGTCTTGGTGTCTCTGCTTCTCCTGGCAATGGATGAAGAGGAAGAAAATGGATGGATAAATGGTATTTAAAATAACAATTTCCCTTTCAGTGGCTGGGTGACAGTTGCTCTGTTTGGTAGAGCATTGGAATTTGGGCCTGAAGGTTGTGGGTTTTGTGCCCCCCTCTGGAACTACTTAATGACTTCCACTGTTGTTGTTGTTGTGTCCTTGGGCAAGATACTTTACCACACATTGCCTGAAACCCTCCGCTGGAAGATCAAGGCTCCTGTGGACTCACCACCTGCAGGAGGATCAGTGAGGGGCTGGTTCTCTGTGAATTGGGTGCAGCTCTGACCCAGAATGGCTTAAGGGGAAGAAAATGGATGGATGGAATTTCCCTTTCATTGCTTTTTTTTTAATTGTTAGGTTAATTTTTACCTCCTACTTAATGTTTTAACACAAAGAATGGTTGACCTGATAACACCATACATACTGGATAATTTATATATTTGCATAAAGGATATTGTAATCTATTCAATTGTGTCCACAGTGATATGTTTAATGCTGGTACAATTGAGCAAAGTGAATTTGTACCCGTAATGGCCCATGAAATTAAGCAATTAAAATGTACTGGCTAATAAGCCCTGTGGTGCTGATAATATTTAAGCTGAGCACCGGATACATGCCAGCAAAAGACTGTCCTCTGCTGGCCATTTGCTTCTCTGTCTGTTTGCCACATGGTATTTCTCCCATATTCACTTCTCTCTGTCCACTCATTTCCAGTCAAAGGATAAAGCTGGTAGAGAATGGGTGTTTGTGACAAATTATAGATCAAACGCACTGACAAGCATATGGTCTAAAGCTTGGGAGAGAAACTTGTTATCTCAGATACAAGATTATAATTGCTCCAAGCAATCAAGTGGGACTTCAATCAAGACATGGTAAGAGTATTTTATGCATATTTTGCACTCAAAGAAAAAAAAAGGAATAAAACATAAAAGTTGAGGCAGCGAGAGGGAGTTGAGCCGATCCCCTTCTGTGTTTTATCAATGCATTATAAGCATGTAGCCCCAGTAAGCAGCGATTGGTTACATAAGAGCAGCAAGGAGAGGAGCAGCGTGCGGGCAAGGGGAGCCTCGTTATATAGTATATGTTAGCGTTTTCTGCAGAGACAGATACATGTATGGCTGTCAGGTAACGCAGGTGAGATGGGGTGGATCCATGTTGGATCCATTCTCTGTCAGATAACGGTGTGCCTGCGAGGTATGCTGATTTCTGATACCTGTTTATTCTCCTTGTGTTATGGGGGGGGTGCTACGAATGGCGATTCCAGAAATTTAAAGTGCATGTGAAACGGGCTGCATGACTGTGCCAATTCACGTGATTCATCTGATAATCGGATGACCTTGCTGTATTCAAATAGAGCATGTCTCCAGGACCTTCACTTTGTCTGCTCTAAGTATGGTGTAGATTTTGATGTAAGGTATAATGCAAACAAAAGTATCAATTCTGAATTCTACTTTTTTGAGCTCCGTCATAACTCGGTAGACAAGTGGCAGGGTTAAATAGTGATTTCAGGCCAAGCTTTCGATTTTTTGGTTCAGATGTTTAGGAGAAAGTCCCTGATCTTTGTAGTTTGTGGTGCAATGTCGCTGTCAACTAAATAATAGAAAACTACATGATACTTTTAGATAACAAAGTTGTTTATTCACACAACGTCCCTTGATGCCTTGTCATTTTAAATCAGTAAACACTCTTTGAGCTGTTTGTACAACCCCACGGTCATTGACCAGAGCAAACCAGCAGACCAATAACATCATAGCAGTTATATATACTGCACACTATAAAGAACTTTGTGCAGGCGCTTAATGATAAAGATGAAGTCTGTTTTGGTTGTGCTGCTCTGCTATGTGGCTCTGGGAAAGGCGGATCCCGATTGTGAAAGCCTTCTCAAACCAATACATTACAATCATGATGAGGTCAGTGTGTCACACGTTTGTTTTGACTGCCCAAAATATGATTTAACCAACTTGTGCTCTTCAGCTGCGGGGCCGGTATCACTTCCTCGCTGGGACCTCTTTCCTCCCAGGAAGCCGAACCTGGCCCTACACCTTGAGTGGGGCTTGGGTTGACTCCTTTCCCACATCCCAAAGTGACTTGTTTGAGTTTGCCCAAGCTCAAAGAATGTAAATAACATCTGACAAGAGATATTACTTACGTAATTGCTAAATTACTATTTCAGATACAAAGTATATGAAAGCATCATTAGGCTTTCACTCCTTCATTCACACTTATGATGGCTTTTGACCTTCTGGATGCCAAGTTATTTGGATGTTTATTGACTAAGTCATCTCTTTCTTTTCAGGTTTGGCAAATGTTTTTCTGTGAAATTTAATATGACAGTTGAAAATGACGCATTTGTGATGAGTAAGTACGACAAATTTCAGATGGTTTGCATTTTTGACTGAAAATCCTTCTGTGCTTTATTCAGAGCAGCCTGAACACTCATTTTTTCTGAAAGACGAGTACCTGTCAAGTGGCTGCCCCGATTGTGTGACGCTGTATGAAACAGCCATCTCTGGGAATGAAACATTTCTCAGTTTGCTGTTTTTCAGTAAGGAAATATTATTTTGTGTGTTTTTGCAGGACAAGAGAAGACAACATACTGTTTGATTGTCACTTGTATAGATAAAAACATTTGTTCAGACTGATTTTTTCACAGGAAAGAGTAAAACTGTTCCAGATTCTGCTCTGGAGCTGCTGAAGAAGCAGGCAGTGTGTCTTAAGATGCCTTCAGTCATGATGTTGAACCCAAATTCTGGTACGGGCAGCAGAATATTAGATAATTACAAGGAATTAATATTGTTCTAACGAGGTTTCCCTGTCTACTACACGCAGAGGATTGTCCTGTCGACCCTGCACCAATGGATGGTGCCGACGCTTTCAGATTTGTTCTTGAAGCAAAGATGTCGCACATATTTCTTAGAATCCTAGACTCAATTTTTGATTCATTTATTAATTGAGTCTATGAGCGAATGAGAGAAATGTAAATAAAGTATGAAAGGCATCACTCTGTCATCAGTTTACATTTATTTTTTCCAAGAATCAGAAACAATATACTTTTATATTTTCCTGTATGTATGTTTTCACAAAACTGTCAAAGTAGGAGTGTACAAAGTGCATGTCTTATTATTATGTATCAATCTCTGATTCGTAAAATATTTTAAAACAACACATTTTCTTTATCTGGTACCAGATCAGAAATCATGAGTTTGAGGGGGGGTTTTGAGAAAACCAGCTTGCTTTATACGATGTGAAGGAGCAGGGGCTCTACTCTGAGCTCCTACCATGGGACTGAGACCCATCTCAACCATACTGCCACTGTATCTATTCTTTCAGTCATTACACAAAGCCCATGACCATAGCAGAGGGTGGGAATATAGATCGCAGTATTTCCTTTTGACGCAGCAGCAAAGCACAGAACTCAAAGTTAATCTATCAACAAAGTAGCTTTGTGCAAACAGTAAACAGTGCAAACAGTGAGCAATGAAAAGCACTGAAATCTGAACTTTAGTCAAATCAATGATACCTTCGTTAACAAAACAGGGGCTCATGTTCTCAGTACAACAGTGACTACAGGGACAACAGTGACCGATCCATCATGAAGCTGCTGCCCACTGTGGCCTTGCTCAGCCTCCTCCATGTGGGACACACAGCTCCTGCCATCAACTGTGACAGTCTCACACAAAAGATCAACATTGACAGCGGAAACCCGGTAAGCCACACCTTGTGGTCTGTTTTCTGAGATGTTGACTAAACGGAACTGTTCTTGCAGCTGTTGGGAAACTGGATGTACATAGCAGAGACCTCCACCGTCCCAGGAACAAAAGCACTGACCAAGAAATTTGTAGACAGTGTAGTGGTGAATGTTACTCCTCTGCCAGATAACAGAAGTATCAAATTCACACAAATTCAAAAAACGTATGTGTCAACATGATAAGTATACTTCAAAGTGTTTCAAAATGATTTGATGATAACGCTGCTATTTCCAGGTTTGGCAACTGCATGTCCCTTTCAACTATTATACTTGTGGCCAACAACACAATGCAAATGAGTATGTAAATGTCTACTATCGTTCAAATCCAAGCTTATTTTGAGGGTGAATCCTTTTGAGTACTCAATGTAGGATTTGTGTTTTGGGCCTGTGTTGAGTAATTTATATTTATTATTTGGGGTAACTATCTCTGCACAGAAGATACTTGAAAATCCTATGACCAATTATTGAGTTGGAGATTTATTTCTGTCACATAGTTCAAGTCAATTTGGGTTTGTATGGTATAAAAAGTTCCCAAGAGCTTTTCTGGTGAGGGTTATTTAAAACAGGATATAAGCACTAATAGGATTTGAACAATCAAATAGACTTTCTTAAATCATGGCTATATTAAAACCTACCAACACAATAGGCCATGGTAAGTACTATGAAGGGGGAGCTGTTTGCCATTTTAAGATAAGATAGATTTTATTGATCACACACAGGAGAAATTTACATTTTTGTGTATTATAAGTGCGTGTGTGAATTGTTGTAAGTAGAAAATATTGCTTGTCAACTTTTAGTTTGATGGTAAGCAGTTTCTAAATGATTATTAGTGGTGATGAGAGCAGGGGTCAGCCAATCTTTGGGTTGTTGGAATGTTAATAAGAATATCTTTTGTTTACAGCCAAGCCATACATTTCTTCTGAAACTTTGCTGACCACTGGTTGCCCCGATTGTTTGGTTATAATGGGTAATTTCACGCTTGGATCATCTTACTATCAGAGCCTGGTGCTGCTGAGTATGACTTTATTATATCATTTAACATTTTGGGGGAAATTAGTTCAAATGTTGTATTGAGGAATGTGTTTTCAGGTAAAAGACGGATATTGAGCTCTGCAGAACTGGACGAGTTCAAGAATCAGGCCAGCTGTCTAAATCTCCCAGCACCTGCTTTCCTCGATCCAGAGAAAGGTATGAAAAACGAACAGATACACAAGAAACACAAGCCTCTGAGTGTACCCCTAATGACATGTATATTTGATATGCTGTAATATTCATAATCTCTGCAGAGCTCTGTTCAGAGGAGCAGGCCACAGCCGGGACTGACCTCACCAAGGTCCTTAACTCTGACATGGGCTCGCAGATCGTGGGGATGCTAGACACCATCATCAGTAACCCAGATGGCCTCTCAAACTTACTCAATGTTTACTTGGGAAACTTGCCAATAACAAAAGGAGACTGACACAGAAAACAGATTCAGGATGATAAAATAAACTACATGTGTTCTTTTGTTTTATTCAGTCTATTTGAGTCGCAGCAGAACAGAATAAATGAATGAATATGATTCTATCGAGTTTTGTGATAATGTGGTGATATGGGGAAACACATGACTGATGTTTCTCGATTGTGCTATAGATAGGCCGATTGTCTTGCGTGAAATTTCCACAATTGTTAATCTCTGCCTTGCTCACTACAAACATAGTAAGTAAGTAATCTTTGTTTTACAAACATCAGTATTTTCATGTTTGTTTTGGTATGGATAGCCCCGTAAACTGTAGGCCTACAGCTTTTCATCTTTTCTACGTTAATTAAGTAATTATCAAAACATTTTTAGATAAGCTTATTATATTGAATAGGTCAACAATTCTTAAATGATAAAGTTAATCAACGTAAATAATGCTCATGCTGATTTTCAAACTTCCGGTTTTTGTGTTGTAATACCACTTAACCAACAGCTGATGGAGCAAAACAAATCCGATAGACTATTTTACCCTAACACACAATTTTATGAAGAGGTATTTTAACGCATTTGACATGTGATGATCAAAGCACTCTGTTATATCCAATCTATTTTGAGAATAAACGTGATTTCCATCTCTACTAATACTTGGAGTCAAAATAATGCAACAAGATTAAACTAATCTAAAAATAAAACCCAGGGTATGCTCTTACAAAATAAATATACATTGGTCAGATATATAGGCCACAGCGTTCTAAAAACGTTCTCAGAATTCATACAATAATTTAATTATGTAAAAATATATAATTGCACACCCCGATACAACAACCCGCAGTGAACATATTTCAGATAATACATGGTGTTGGTGGGGGTATGCACTCTCCAAGTGAACAGCTACATTTTGCGCAGAGTCAAAGTAGTACCAGTACACGTTTGTAGAGCAGGATGCTCATTGGTTTATTGGTAGTTTACTGTACATACCCTTGTGTATTTGAGATATTTTGAGTATATGGATAATATCTTCCATTCATCTGACTCACACAAAACACTAATATAAAAAAATATTTTAGGGTCCAAATTCAACAACAGAAATATATGCAAACATTTGTATTTGGCCTTAGTCTTGATTCGACCAACACCATGCTGGTATCAACCATTCTGCCTCCTGACATGAACAACATGCACGAGTTAAGAGTCACCACTGAGAATGTGCTCGTTTTACGGTGATATCAAACTAAAACAATGTGTTAATAAACTTTGAACATACAGTGACTTCCAATGCTACATTTGTTAAGGTTATAACAACCTGAGAATAGTTTGGAAACAAAACATTAAATTATACTTAGCCTCTGTTAATGTGTTGTAGTGACACAATTACAAATAATGTTGTATTTCATATTACAGGTAAGTAAGTCTCATTTACATCAATAATGTAAGGAAGCAGACTTCTCTTCAAAGACATATTATTCTTCAACCGGGCACCCATGGGGGAAACATGTCATTTAAAAAATAATGGTAAAAAGATAAATGGCATAAGATCAATTAAGGAAGCTACAAGATATTTTTGAGAAACAAATGCCCGTTTGTATGAAGAAACATGCTACAGAAATGAAAAGGACAGAAAAGAACCCTGCAGTCGTGCCATAGCCTCTGATTGGCTTTTTGCTTGTTGGTCTCCAAGTTAGAGCTGACAGTGATCAGCTCCGTCACTGACACTGTGTCTCCATCCCAAACAGTCAAACGCTGTTGGTTTTTGTCACTTTACATTGTCTGGTGCCTGATAAGATTCAGGAATGATTGTCATTCAATTGGGGTGTGCACAGATACGGTGAGATGAAAATTACATTTTGGGTTAAAAGACAAAGCGTTTTCCCCAATGATGCAAAAAAAAAAATATATATATATAAACGTTCTTGGTGCTGCAAGAATTTTGATGTAATTTCTTTAGGAGCTCTTTGCCAGAACCATTGTTAAAAAGCTTGTTGTACTTTTTAAAGTGATGTAGCTTCTCAAACTAAATTCTACAGCATTCTTAATGTTTTTTCCATCATCTGTTGTATTGACAAAAAAAAAAAAAACAAATACAGTTGAAGTTCACAAAAGTCATGGTCAGGAGTCAAATAAGGCTGTAAAAACTCCAAGCCAATAGCTGGTTCTTAGATCTCCTTTTCCATCGACTGGAGGTGTTCATTGTGCACAGAGTTTTCTCAGAGTTCGCTCCGGAAAGAGTTTGTAGGGAACAAGGAAAAACAACATTGCTTCATGTGAATGCTGTAAACAAAACAGAGCTGTTTTCAGAACAGCCTCCATGGTCCAGCAGCAGCAAAGGTGTGCACTCCTCCGCCATCAGACTAGTCCGGTCTGAAGATGGGGATTTTGGGCAGGAATTCTATGAGTATTACCTGAAAAAACAGAAACAAATGAATAATAATATTGTAACAGCCTAAACTCCTCATTTGGAATTAAGTTACAAACAGCAAAAAAGGTATGTCCATGATAGAATGCACCTAGATCTTCCAATATTAGTATATATAGACCACATGCTTAAAAAAAGCTAAAGTTGGGCGGCACTCTCGCCCCTCAGCAAGAAGGTCCTGGGTTCGAATCCCGGTCGGACCAGGTCTGAGTGGAGTTTACATGTTATCCCTGTGTCTGCGTAGGTTTCCTCCGGGTATTCCGGTCTCTCCTACCACTAAAAACATGCACAATAGGCCTGGCATGCGCCTCCTGTACTGGCGACCCCGCTCCCATCTCTGTGTGGAGTGAGAGACAAATGCCCAAAAAATAAGAACTGTAAACCGCTAACTTACTTACTTAAAGCTGCACTAACTGACTTTGGGATTTTGAAGCCACGGACTCGCTGGCCTCTCTCTTTCTGCTCCCCTCCCCGCACCCACGAAGCTATCGCCCCCCACACACACCCACTGTTGTTGACGGAGCTAGCGTCTCCCAATATGGATAATACATGGATATGGATTTGCACGTGGATGGCGTGACCATAGAACGATAGAACCGGGAAGCGCGGAGGAACGGGACTTTCTTTTGGATGGCTGTCTCGCTGTGTAAGCAGTAACCGGTGAAATTTCAGGTTAGCTCCGCCGCTTGTTGTGCTAACTCAGCCGTCTATGCTAACAGGGACCTGTAGATTTCTCACGAAAGTGGGGGCCAGTGGTCCGTTGTGATTGGTCACAATCTCCGACCCGAAACACATTCTCTTCCTTGTTTCATCAAAACTCGATCTAAAATATAATGTCACGCCAGCACAAATCTGCGCTACTTTTTCTTCAAAAGGACGTATATCCCAATGCACTACATGGACATGGATAGCATTTTCGTAATTAATACAAAAATAAAGTCAGTTAGTGCAGCTTTAAGTGAAAAAAATTAAATAAATAACACTCCAAATCACTGTGATATTTGTTCTATATTCTTAATTCTCCACATCATATTTTGAATGAACATACATTATATACATACAGTATTACTTTATGAAAAGGAAAAAGAAAAATAGTCCAAATATAACAAGCAGCATAGTGCATAGTAAGGCTGGGCGATATGGCTGCACGGACGTGTTTAACCATTGACACGACACTGAAACACGATCTTTAGATCCATGATCCATGGACGCTACCCATGGGGCGGTTGTTTTTTTGCTTTTACCGGATAGTTTTGCGGTTTGTAGTCGGCTGTGATAGTTCAAGAAGCCTTTGCCTACATCCCCCAGAATGCCGTGCGCTTCTGACTCTGCTTTACTTCCTGTGTTTTGTTCCTGTTTTTTTCGAACGGACTGAAGTGAAACTATCTAAGTTCTATCGACCCCGTTTTCTATTGATATCGAACACGTGTCTATCGCAATATTTATCGTTATTGTTTTATCGCCCAGCCCTAGAACATAGTCAAAGAGAAATGGAAGAATATACAGTATAGAGGACTGAAACAAATAAAATGCTTCTGTTAGAGCCCAAAGGCAGTTTGTTGGGCGACCTCCAGACAACTTGTCTTTTAGAGCCAGTGAACCCTGAAGGTACAAATTTAATGATAAGTGGATGTTTCTCTTACTGTGGTGTTGGGCCTTTTTGTCGCATACCAGTGATCCAAACCAGTTTAAATGAGTAAACAACCTACATGAAACGCATAAAACAGCTGGGCGCAAATTTGTGGTAAACGTGTGGAAGCTTAGAAGTGTGTTAGTGCAGTATGTGGTGACGCTAGCTCGTGAAGCGGCCGCAGCGTGTGGCGTTCACTGAGGCTTCAGAGACGTGGAGCCATGTTATTATTATAGATCCATGATGTAGTTCAGAGACAGCCTTTGACTAATTTGAGGGACATCCAAAGCAATATATTAAAGAATGGGATTGCAACACAAGAATAAAATGTTAAGAATCACAATAGTATTGAAATGTTGCCCAAATATCTCAATGCTATCGAATCCTCACATTTTTACCTATTCCCACCGCTAACAACTACTACTATTATTATTTTGAACACAACAGTAGATCAAGGCAAACTTTCTACTTACATATTCCATCATATTGTTAGTTTCACACTTCCTTTTGCTTAGTCTCCAATGCAAACACAACTGCAAACAAAAATCAACACCAATTACAGATGAATCACATATTTTCAGTGAACAAATCGCAAAAAAAGAGTTTACCTTGTGATAAAGTCTGTTGTTCTCCCACTCCAACAGCTTTTCTAAAGAGCGCCTGGTCTGAATAAGAACATAGCATCAATCAATGATCAGAATATGATGATAGCTTGAATTGACACATTAAAACACCAACCCTTTTGCTGAGGCAGATGACGGGCCACAAGCTGAAGCCTAATGTGCAGCAGCAGCAGAGGCAGCCACACAGGAGCCACCGCACATTCACAGGTAACGTTTTCTTCAGGCAGCTGTTCACACGGTTAATACTGGCTTTGAATTCCTCTGGTGCCACCTAAATATGTAGTACAAATACCTTGCTAAGCATTTTTAGACCATCTATCATAATGTAATGAATAATGCTTACCTTTCCAGTGAGTGCTGACGGAAATTCTGCTTCAAATTTGTTACTTAGTCCAAATCTAAAAAGAGACAGCATGAGCTACAGCGCGTCCTAATAAGTATATGTACAAAACAACACTGTACGTTGGACACAGCCAAATTAACCATCATTTATCTGTTTTTGAACACTCAAAGTTATTCTACACTGCGCCAATTATTGACTCCATATTTGGTGATGGTAGTAAGGTAGTGAGTTAGGTAGCAGGAAACCTAATGAAGCAACGCTGCCACTCTGAGCCACACCGAGGAATGTGGATGATGTGTCATGCCAAAGGGAACCAACAGAAGTTTCTAAAATGCAAGTCACGAGTATTTTAATATACATATTATTATGTAATTAACTGGAACGTTGTTGCAGGATGTTTTTAGTTCTGAAGACAGTTCTATAATCACAAAGAATAATTGTATTGATACATTTTCAAGCTTGATTTTCAAACTAATATAACTTAATTCTCAACACAAACTTTGATGATTGTGTAAATAAGCTGTACTTTGTGAGTGTGGAAAATAATCTGTCATTATTTAATACAAAGCAAACGTGTACTTTTGATGAAACCTAAATATTTAATAGATAGGATTAAGATAAAAAAAATGTTAAAATCCTGATCGCAAGTATCTATTTAAAAAACAGACTTCTTATATAGTTTTCATATTAATTTAACTCCCTAAAACCTTGCCCCCATATTCCAGTCACTTAACCTGTCTGGATTCTACTTCTCAGTTCTACTCACAGTGCACTTTATGCACTGGGACTGAGGAAAATCTTGTCCTTAGTGTAATTATTACAACTAAGGCAGTCAGACTTTAGTGATTTAGTCAATTAATCAGTAAATGGTGTCTTAGTCAGGAAAAACCTAACTCTTCCATTAATTCAATCTACTTTGATATACAAGCCAGATATAACGCTCAACTACGTATAAATGAAGACTTTTTTTGCGTGAAGATTCAGTTTTATAAGGCCAGTTTAGATTAGGCAATACATTCGGAAGTTTCACCCATCCCTCTTGATCAATGTCTTTAATAAACCAATAATGTCTTTGTTCGGCTACAGCCCTACTCACCAGTATGGTCAGTATTTCAACACAGGGGAAATAACGACGTGATATAGCTTACTACATTTGAATAATCCACTTTAAGCGTTTTAAAAGAGTTGGTTAGCTCACTGCTAACCCTAGCGAAATATGCTAGGATACGATTTCGGCTACATGTGCTAGCAAAGCAGGTTAGGAGAAACCCCGGCATCAAGATGGCAACTTAGTGACAATTGTATGGATGTGTTAAAGGCCGTGTGTGTGGTCGCTTACACGGTGGCATGTCCAGATCCGCGAACCACCACGGGGTCTGGGGAGTATTTGAGAAGCTGCTCCTCTGCGGCCCTGTCTTCATCTTCTTCCTCCTCCTCCTCCTCTTCGTAGATCTCATCAAAGTCCTCCATCATCTCACGATTCCGGAGAAACACCGGAGGCACAGGGTCGACAAGCAGCACACCACCGGGTAGAAGCACCAAGAGACCAGCGGGAACCCAAAAAAACACGACTGAGCGAAACCAGATCACATCGTTCGGCGACACGGAGCAGAAACAAAACATCAACATCCGCCAATGCAGCTGTACGACACCGGACACGAGCCAACGTGGGAAGTTTCAAAATAAAAGTTATTTACCTAAATTCTCTAAACACTTTCTTTAATTGCAGGTGAACTTGGGTGTACTAGTGAATTTCGTAGCTAAAATTATATGATTAAGAAATAACGGAACACGATAACCAACAAAAATAAAGCAACATTATTGTAATAGCTGAATACTATTTTATTTTGAAAGGGTGTACTGGAAATTAAATACTTCCTTTTTCCTGAAACCAACAATTTTGTTGAGCCCTACATGCTCTCTACAGAAGTTGCGACGATTGGCCTGGATTATTTTTTCATTTTTTTCAAACGAATGTCCTTATTCATTAAAGGTAAAATGATGCTGCAAGTCTTGAAAGACGTGTCACCTAAACTCACCAGTGGAATTCTGACAGTGATTCTGGCATCTTCTCTATTATTTGTTGTGCAAGAATTCTGCAACATTGGCTTAACGCATAAATTATTAAGCGTCGGTTCCAGTGTTTTTGAAAGAGGACACATCCACAGACTTTTTCTTTACCCCTTTCATCACAAGACCGGGTCCCAGCTTCTTCTCAGTAGCATAGCATTTGTGTTCCTCAGTGGCAGCCTGGAAAGAGGCTTTGGCACTGTTCGTTTTCTCATCATGTTCTTCCTTTTATCCGCCACCTCGGGATTTGTATATGCAATTGTGGACCTCCTACAAGGCGACTCCAACCACACTGAAGGGCTGTTGCCTACTGCCCTTTCTTGCATGGCGGTAACCACAATGCACACAAGAATGACTAAAGGATTTTTGTGTGGAGTCAGTTTCCCCACCCTAGCTCTTCCTTGGGTGTTCCTAATTTTAACTACCATTGTAATTCCGAATGCTATTCTCCCCTGTAATATTATTGCCGTTTTAACTGGGTGGATGTATGGCAAGGGATGGTTTTCCATTGTGCAAATGTCTGAATCAAGAGCGTCTGTGTTGGAAAAAAAGATACCTTTCAATTGTTTGAAGGCTGTGAGTCATGCTACATTTGTCCCCGCTTGCACAGAGGATAGAAGAAAACTACTTCTCCCACAGATAAATCCAACAACACAAGGAACCTACCCAGTTCAAGCATATGTGCCAGCCTCCAGCCTTGGTCCTCATCAACCAGTGCCATATGATGGATGGAAAAACTCCAACAGTACTCTGGCCAATGTCCAAGTGCCTCTCCATCCTTTTGAACAATCCCACGGACATTCCCACGGGCATCACTCCCACGGACATCACTCCCACAGTTGTAACAAAAATCACAACTTGAGTAATGTGTCTAGTAGTTAGAAATAGACTCTCTTTTACATTGCACCATTGCATTTTGATACGTGATATAAAAAATATTTTTGTATGAACCATTGTGCGTTGTGCTTTTATGTGTATGCAAGAATAAACAAGAACTAACATATACATTGAACAGTTAAAGCAGTTTATTATTATTCAAACAAATGCATGATATGTTAGGACATCACACCAATCTGCTGTCACAGTTGAGACTGATTATCATATGTTTCCCAAAATGGCTCATTCGTCCCACGCATCACCATAAACATTCTTCTTGGCTATAACACATAGAAAATTGTTATAACATTATTCCGGGTTTTCAGTTACTTAAATAATAACATACCTTCTCTTTGAGGCCTTTCTGATTCCCTTTTTGGTGTTGGTTTCATGAGCGTCTCTGCCTTCTGCGTGAGTGTGACTTCATAGTTCTCTCGGTTCTTAAGTCTTAAATCCTCATACAAGATGGGCTTCTGTCTCAGGTCCTCATCATCCAAATATGACAGACCTAAAACAGAATTACATCTGTTTTAATGTTTCAAAACTAGTGCTGTCAAATGGTTAGAAATAATAATTGTGATTGCTAAACTCTTAATTAATTCGTAATTCATGATTTATCACATTTAATCACATCATGGTTTCAACAGGGATTGGACGTAGCAAAAGGCTAATATTAATCCAGTAAGTATTTGGATTGTCTAATATAGGCTACTCAATCTCTGAAAGATTTTGTTATTACTTTTTACAGTGTATACAACTATATAACATTTTACCAATGAGTTGAATAGTCATAAAGGCAACTCTTTTGAGTATGGTGTCAATCAAGTGAGTTAGATGGATTTTTAAAATGTATGACTGTCACGTGCAGTGGAAATAACTACAGTGCCTTGCGAAAGTATTCGGCCCCCTTGACCCTTTCAACATTTCGCCACATTTCAGGCTTCAAACAAAGATATAAAAATTTAATTTATTGTCAAGAATCAACAACAAGTGGGACACAATCGTGAAGTGGAACGAAATGTATTGGATAATTTAAACTTTTTTTAACAAATAAAAAACTGAAAAGTGGGGCGTGCAATATTATTCGGCCCCCTTTCGCTTATACTTTGTAGCGCCACCTTTTGCTGCAATTACAGCTGGAAGTCGCTTGGGGTATGGCTCTATCAGTTTTGCACAACGAGAGACCGGAATTCTTTCCCATTCTTCCTTGCAAAACAGCTCGAGCTCAGTGAGGTTGGATGGAGAGCGTTTGTGAACAGCAGTCTTCAGCTCTTTCCACAGATTCTCGATTGGATTCAGGTCTGGACTTTGACTTGGCCATTCTAACACCTGGATATGTCTATTTGTGAACCATTCCATTGTAGATTTGGCTTTATGTTTTGGATCATTGTCCTGTTGGAAGAAATCTCCGTCCCAGTCTCAGGTCTTTTGCAGACTCCAACAGGTTTTCTTCCAGAATGGTCCTGTATTTGGCTCCATCCATCTTCCCATCAATTTTAGCCATCTTCCCTGTCCCTGCTGAAGAAAAGCAGGCCCAAAGCATGATGCTGCCACCACCATGTTTGACAGTGGGGATGGTGTGTTCAGGGTGATGAGCTGTGTTGCTTTTACGCCAAACATATCGTTTTGCATTGTGGCCAAAAAGTTCGACTTTGGTTTCATCTGACCAGAGCACCTTCTTCCACATGTTTGGTGTGTCTCCCAGGTAGCTTGTGGCAAACTTTAAACAAGACTTTTTATGGATATCTTTGAGAAATGGCTTTCTTCTTGCCACTCTTCCATAAAGGCCAGATTTGTGCAGTGCACGACTGATTGTTGTCCTATGGACAGACTCTCCCACCTCAGCTGTAGTTATCTGCAGTTCATCCAGAGTGATCATGGGCCTCTTGGCTGCATCTCTCATCAGTCTTCTCCTTGTTTGAGATGAAAGTTTGGAGGGATGGCCGGGTCTTGGTAGATTTGCAGTGGTCTGATACTCCTTCCATTTCAATATAATTGCTTGCACAGTGCTCCTTGAGATGTTTAAAGCTTGGGAAATCTTTTTGTATCCAAATCCAGCTTTAAACTTCTCCACAACAGTATCTCGGACCTGCCTGGTGTGTTCCTTTGTCTTCATGGTTCTCTCTGCGCTTTAAACAGAACCCTGAGACTATCAAAGAGCAGGTGCATTTATACGGAGACTTGATTACACACAGGTGCATTCTATTTATCATCATCAGTCATTTAGGACAACATTGGATCATTCAAAGATCCTCACTGAACTTCTGGACTGAGTTTGCTGCACTGAAAGTAAAGGGGCCGAATAATATTGCACGCCCCACATTTCAGTTTTTTATTTGTTAAAAAAGTTTAAATTATCCAATAAATTTTGTTCCACTTCACAATTGTGTCCCACTTGTTGTTGATTCATGACAAAAAAATTAAATTTTATATCTTTATGTTTGAAGCCTGACATGTGGCGAAGTGTTGAAATGTTCAAGGGGGCCGAATACTTTCGCAAGGCACTGTAACTTCAACGTTTGGGCTGTGACCGGGAGATTGTTGTGATTCCTGATGGACGCAATCTTAAAGACCTTATGACGGGTTTTAAAAAAAAAAATAGTGGATATCAAAATTGCATGACAATGTCAATTTGAAAGAGATTCCGGCAAAAAAAAATCCTATATTTTATAAAAAGAACGTGTTTTTCATGAATTTAAGTTGTCTATGCTCTAACCTGTGTGTGACGTCATAGCGGGTTACGCCCATGCATTGAAAACCATGGATCTATGCCACAGGACTGCCTTTTCTCTCTTCTCTCCACTGATGCCCAACACAATACTGCACTCTACAGGTGACAATTGCTCACTACACATAAATTGCTGTTTTGAGTGTGAAAAAGTGTCCGAGGTGGGATTTGAACCCAAGTATCTGGGTTGGCAGCCCATCAACACAACCACTGGACTATCTCGTAATTGTAAACAACTTACAGCGTTGAAACGTACCAGTTCTGACGTCACCAAGGGCTGTGAAGTTTTTTCGTCTCTAAGGGCGTTGCTATGGGGTTATTTCGATTTGGGGGGATCAGACAAAAAAAACAACAACTGATTTTGAAACCTTTAGTAGTTCTCTTCTAATATAAAATGGTATTAAAACTGTATTTCTAAATAAATCAAACCCGTCATATGGTCTTTAAATAAGTAAATCAGCAGTGAGCGCGGCTGATTTTGTTTTATAACATCCACACACACGTCTTTTGTAGCAGAAAGGCTTCCCTCTCCCTGTAAATTTATCCTGTGTGAGATCTATAAAGTCTATCTTATCTCTCAGTACCGGCACGTGTATGGTACAGGGCTGATATCAGATACATGCCCATGGTAGAGGCCTGGAAATGCACAAGCACGCAAACACTCAAGTCAGCCCAAAATAGACATGAAAAGATACATGTAATACATACTTGTGTTAAATCGCAAAATAACACATTATTGCCGTTAAAATGGGATTGCTTTACCGCTGTTATTAACAATTTTAACTTCCGGCACTGATTAAATCATGAATTGCTTCTAAAACACTGTAGCATTTGTTTTTTTATCTTTCAAAGCTCAATTTAAAGATTTACCAGTTCTGGCTTGAAGTAGATAAAAAAATAATATTTAAGTTATAAAAGTAATATTTTGAGAAGAAATCAGAGTACAACACGCCTCTTATCTTTTGCCCAATTGTAAGAGAAATCCCTGTGAATGACAATTTGGAACTCAGGGTTGAAAGATGATCCACTTACTACTCTTCTTTTAACTTTTCTATCAAAGAAAGGTTTTCTTAAAGATGTGACCAAATAGTTTTCAGAGCAAGAAGGCAAGATGGATTATACTACAAAGTTACAATTGTACCTGAAGTGCTGAGGTCTTCTTCTTGCTTCTCTTGCATAGTAGGGACTGGCCTGTACCCATATCCATTGTCTGTGTTCTGAATTTGTGAATCTGACTGGAACATGGCATCAGATGAAGTCATTGAAGAGTCTGTATCACCCATCTCTGACTGGGGCCCCTTAGAACTGTACAAGAAGACGTCCATTGAGCTTATCAATTATTTCTGAACAAATGCCCTGTGGTTTTCCATGAGGCTGTACTTACTATTGTAATGGTAGTCCTGATCGTTGTCGTAGTGCCTCACCCAATGGTGAATTTTCCAACCTTTTGAATTTTTCTTGGCAGGTTTTCATGTAAGACATTTTTCCAGCCAAGTAGCCACAGAAACCAGCAACTACATAGAGAAAAAACACATCGATTTTTAATTAAAAGTTATGTCTATGTTTAAACTCTATGCAAAGCAGTCTTGATAGTTCAGTTTGGGATACAAGGAATATTTTAGACAGATATATTTACACAGTAAAAAAAAACGAAGAACAATACTTACAGGCAACTTTTGGAAGAGAGCCAAACCTTGGTGACGCAGACAAGGCTCCTAAAAGAGTAAACTTTATTCAGTGTGCTAGGATTAGATAGCAATATGGCCTACTGCAAGACTATACAAGGACTCTTCTGATGGACTGGATGTCTTTCGATGTGTGACGTGACAATTACTATATAAACTGTATACTGCCTTTATTCTGTCTGAGAGAAAGAAACAATTGAAACCACTGGAACTTGAGAGAAACTTAAATAAACTTCCAGAGTTTGGCGCACCACGATCCGTCTCTGTCTGGTTCATTCCTGACAAGTGCTTTTACAACTTTTGTAATAGTTGTAAAAAGAATTCCCTTCACACACACTGAGGACAGCAAATTGATGCCATCATAGAGTTATGACGTAGAGTTTCTACGTCAAAACAAACAGTCCATGCACACAGCAGATCCTTACAAGGCAACTTGACATAATACACAGCTTACACTGTTTCCCAGTCAAGTTCTACACAGAATTCATATCTGACTAAATCTGAAATGTGACTTTGAAAAGAAGGTAAGGTCAGTTCATAAACAGACAATGGAATACCTCTTGCAACAAGGGCTTGGGTGATGGCCATACTGATCACAGAAAAGGGCACGGCTGCAAAGAAAGCATAGATTGCATAACCATGTAATATCTGGTTCATAGTTACACATGCATTGCAGTGCAGGACTTACACCTATACCAGAAGCTCTCCTGGTTACACTCTCTGAACACATTCCTCTCTTCATCTGTGGGGATATAGTCCGTACCGACAACACCCTGCAGAAACACATACAGTATACCGGACTGTGTTATCTTCACTCAGCATGGCACTTAGGGTTCACACTGGGTCTGAGGTTAGCTAGCAGACATTAGCCTCCTCTGCACACTTCTTACCGGGACGCCTCTTTGCTGCGGCTCATCCGAGTATCCTGAACCAGGAGAAGTCATGTCTGCTCTGTTAGATTTGCCACAGTTTAAAAAATATTATAAATACAACTCACATACGATATGACCAACAGACGGCTCTGCCCGGTACAATGTCATACTACCAGAAAAAGGTGATCTAACCCGGAAATAAATGTCTATTACATATTTTCTTTTTATCGTAGTTAAAACATTAATGATACATAGTAGGCAACATTAACAGGCATGTCATTCATATCAGGAAGTAAAGTAAAGTAAAGTAATTTATAAAAAAGTTTGCAACATGCATCTTATTTTGAAACTAAACGAAAGACAGCGCCCTCAAGTGGCGTATGTCGTTTTGAGAAAAAACTGTACTGTATGGATATTATAAACTGTATACACACACGTATATAACCTACATGTATATATATTTTTTCAAAATATACAACAATATACATACATTTAAAAAAAATGCCGATATTGTTGTAAATCATTTCATAATGTTAAAAAAATCAACTTTTAAAAACTTTTTTTGTTTTTAATTCTTTTTGTATTTGTATTCACAATACTCTATTTTGAGCATGCTCCTGTTTTCACTGTTTAACATTGAACATTTGCTCAATATAAGTAATATTGTGAATATTGTAGGAAAATAATACTCAATAATTTTACAAAGCAAAACTGTTATTTTGTATGGATTCATTACAACATTTAAATGAGCTATACAATTGATATACAATCAAACACATTTTGTGTTATTTTCCACTTTCTGAAATTACAACAAGTAACACTGCACTCCACAACATTCACGTTTTTCATGTATGTCTTTAAATAGAATTGCCAGAGGAAATGTAACAGTTGGTTGATATGGATAGACACAGACCAATAGGAGGCCACAGAAGAATCAATACATTGCTTCAAAATGGCAGATCTCATTGTGCCAATTGAACAAGTTGTGAGAATCTCACTCTGGCAGTAACAACATTCCTGCATTACTCTACTGAACGACTGAATTTGGGAGACTATAAGATGATGTCTCCACCTGCCATCTTCAAGATGAAGTTGATTGCAACACAACTGTCAAAGGATTTACAGCAGTGCGATACAAGGAAAGGTGTGTCCTCCTTATCTCTGATATGTACATTTTCATGGTGATGTGACAGCGGGACATTAGTGGACCTCACTTTGTGAGTGTTGTGTCTTCACCTGAACAACAGCACAACCGGCTTCTGGAAGATGGACTCATTGGGCCCACCAGAGGTAAGGAGATTTGTTTTTATGCCTAATTGTGTATTTTCTCTTGTTTCATTAATTCACAATTGAATGACCACTTATTTGTAGAATAACAGTAAAAACAAACATTGGGGGTTTACATGAAAACGTTTAATCTATACAAATGAATGGTTAGATTTACAGTGTGGTCTATTCTGTTGATAAAATGACAGGGAGATATTAATCTCGTAAACATGGGATTCAAGAATTTACAAGAACCACCATTAGTTACTTTCCATTGTTAAAATAAACAAATCTTAAAAAAACATTGCAAAACTCAGGTTTTGTTGGTAATTTGAATGGACAATGGAACAACAGTATATTGTATATATATATATATATATATATATATATATATATATATATATATATATATATATATATATATATTATATATATATATAAAAAAACGTCCACGTCACACCGTGGGCGGTTATCCCTCTCTAAGATCAGGTACTCTACCAGAGGACTGCACTAGGAACAGAAAAGTGCAGTTACTACACACACATATACATATATATGTATATATAAATGTATATTTTATAGATACATACACACGTGTGTGTGTGTGTGTAACTCCCTTTTAGTGCAATTACAACAGCAAGCAATTTGGGTGTATGTCCCCATAAACCTGTTTATATTTCCCCAATTCTCCTTTACATAACAGCTCGAGATCGCTATCACATTAGATGGAGATCGTTTGTGAACAGTCGTTTTGAGATTTTGTCAAACACTTGTTGTTGATGACAAGTGGCAAGGCAAGGCAAGTTTATTTATATAGCACAATTCATACACAAGGCAATTCAAAGTGCTGAACAAAACAAGATAGCATTAAAATCATAAATAATCACAGAACATTAAAAAGAAAGATGCAAATATAAAATCCCTCAGTTGTATGCACAGCTAAGTGTTTGTTGATAACAAGTGTTTGGTTTCAAGCTTTTCCTCCAAGATTTTCCAGTATATTGCTTCATCCACCTCGCCCACCTCAGCATTGACGCTGATAGTGGAGCTGGTGTCAGTGGAGTGATGAGCAGTGCTAGTTTTACATCACACATCATTCTACATCCTTGAGGCCAAAATGTTCTAAAAAACTATTTTATTCCACATGTTAGATGTGTCCCCAAGTGTTGCTTCTTGAGGCTTATTTTCAACATTAGCTCTATATTTGACATAAAAGACTGAGTTTTGCAGCGTATGACTAATATTTTACCCATGTACAGATTTCTTTATGAAATATTTTTATAATCCTAAAAAGCTTTAAACCTCTCCCCAACTTCATCCCTGCCCTCTCTTGTGAGTTTCTTCGACTTAATGATGCCCTTTAATGATCACTATTCTCTGAGGCCATTACATTACAGATTAGCTGTAATCATTCTGAGATTAGAATTCACTCTGATGGACTCTATATAATAGTTAGGTCAAAATTTGATCAGTCAAATGTGCTAACGCTCTGAGAAGAGGGGTTATGTCCAAACAGAAAATACATCCAAACAGACTATTTAGTCATGTTGTTACCAAAATGTGATAACAGCTGCATCTTATATTTGTTAAATTAATTTTTTTCAGACAATGGAAACTCAAAGCCCAAGGAAACGTAAAAAGGAAAGGCAAGGTATGTGAAACATGAAATACAGTGCCTTGCGAAAGTATTAGGCCCCCTTGAACCTTTCAACATTTCGCCACATTTCAGGCTTCAAACATAAAGATATAAAATTTACATTTTTTGTCATGAATCAACAACAAGTGGGACACAATCGTGAAGTGGAACGAAATGTATTGGATAATTTAAACTTTTTTAACAAATAAAAAACTGAAAAGTGGGGCGTGCAATATTATTCGGCCCCTTTACTTTCAGTGCAGAAAACTCACTCAGTTCAGTGAGGATCTTTGAATGATCCAATGTTGTCCTAAATGACTGATGATGATAAATAGAATGCACCTGTGTGTATTCAAGTCTCCGTATAAATGCACCTGCTCTTTGATAGTCTCAGGGTTCTGTTTAAAGCGCAGAGAGAACCATGAAGACAAAGGAACACACCAGGCAGGTCCGAGATACTGTTGTGGAGAAGTTTAAAGCCGGATTTGGATACAAAAAGATTTCCCAAGCTTTAAACATCTCAAGGAGCACTGTGCAAGCAATTATATTGAAATGGAAGGAGTATCAGACCACTGCAAATCTACCAAGACCCGGCCGTCCCTCCAAACTTTCATCTCAAACAAGGAGAAGACTGATCAGAGATGCAGCCAAGAGGCCCATGATCACTGAATGGATGAACTGCGATAACTACAGCTGAGGTGGGAGAGTCTGTCCATAGGACAACAATCAGTCGTGCACTGCACAAATCTGGCCTTTATGGAAGAGTGGTATTTCTCAAAGATATCCATAAAAAGTCTTGTTTAAAGTTTGCCACAAGCCACCTGGGAGACACACCAAACATGTGGAAGAAGGTGCTCTGGTCAGATGAAACCAAAATCAAACTTTTTGGCCACAATGGAAAACGATATGTTTGGCGTAAAAGCAACACAGCTCATCACCCTGAACACACCATCCCCACTGTCAAACATGGTGGTGGCAGCATCATGGTTTGGACCTGCTTTTCTTCAGCAGGGACAGGGAAGATGGCTAAAATTGATGGGAAGATGGATGGAGCCAAATACAGGACCATTCTGGAAGAAAACCTATTGGAGTCTGCAAAAGACCTGAGACTGGGACGGAGATTTATCTTCCAACAGGACAATGATCCAAAACATAAAGCCAAATCTACAATGGAATGGTTCACAAATAGACGTATCCAGGTGTTAGAATGGCCAAGTCAAAGTCCAGACCTGAATCCAATCGAGAATCTGTGGAAAGAGCTGAAGACTGCTGTTCACAAACGCTCTCCATCCAACCTCACTGAGCTCGAGCTGTTTTGCAAGGAAGAATGGCCAAGAATTCCAGTCTCTCGATGTGCAAAACTGATAGAGACATACCCCAGGCGACTTGCAGCTGTAATTGCAGCAAAAGGTGGCGCTACAAAGTATTAGCGCAAGGGGGCCGAATAATATTGCACGCCCCACTTTTCAGTTTTTTATTTGTTAAAAAAGTTTAAATTATCCAATACATTTCGTTCCACTTCACGATTGTGTCCCACTTGTTGTTGATTCTTGACAAAAAATACATTTTTATATCTTTATGTTTGAAGCCTGAAACGTGGCGAAATGTTGAAAGGTTCAAGGGGGCACTGTATTATGACCGACCTATATCTTATAAGCTTTATGGTTTTGATTGCTTTTAGCCAGCCCAGCCCATTCAACTGTGGACCTCATTAATGAGCAGAAGATGGAAAATGACCCTTGGGATATGCCTGAACTGAATGACACTGGAGTCCCCTGGTCAGGTGTGTTTGGGTGTAGCAATTGTAAGGATTTTAATTACAGTTTTATTAAAAGTTAGTGAGCCACACAGAAGCTGCCAACACTACTGTTTTTGTCCTCCAGTGATAAAGTACAGATATCTACTGTGCACCCAATTACACAGATTTTTATTTCATGTTGGCTCAACTTCTTAGACATTATCACCACTGCAAGGGTTGTAAATCATAGTGGCACTGATTACAATATGGTCTTGATGTGATAGAAATGCTGACTTAATAGATATTAGTTTACATAAATTGGTTGAGGTGTATCTAAGATTGAATTAATGAATTGATGCTTTGTTTTCTGTCCGTAATTACTCAGCTCTGGACACCAAAGCTAAAGTGCTCAGAGTGGTCCTGGCTATTGGGAAATTGTGCCTGTTACTGGGATTTCTCTACATGTTCATTTGCTCGCTTGACGTCCTCAGCTCTGCGTTCCAGCTGGTGGGAGGTAAGTAAGCATTAAGATAAACTGGATCATCTTCAAGTATTGTCCACTAACATTATGTTATCTGTTGTGTGCAGGAAAAGTAGCAGGAGATATTTTACAAGACAACAGTATTTTGGCAAACCCATTAGCGGGACTGGTCATAGGTGTTTTGGTGACCCTTCTTGTCCAAAGTTCATCTACCTCCTCCTCCATAGTTGTCAGTATGGTTTCATCAAAACGTGAGTTAAAACTACCTAACTAATTGGTAAAAAAAAATATTGGTTTGATCAACAAGTATATTGGTCAGGGATATCTGTTGTTTGTAGGCCAACCAATCTAATTTCTTACTCAGATATTAGTTCGATTGACAGCATATGAATTACAATAAATTAGCATCAGTTTGCGATCTGATCAAAATCCAATCAGTTGAAAACACAATCTGTACAACAATCAGGGTTCACACCCTAACCCTAACCTGCGGAATATAAAACCTGATCTCATCAGACCTCCGCAGCTAAGCTACAGTACTGTGATGGGAGACCTGTGGCAGTAAAGTGCCAAACTACACTTTATCCACATTACCTTGTATGTTTGTTGTACGTGTGAATGATTAGGAGTGGTTGGCAAACTAGATTGATCTATGTCCGATTTTCATCGATTGATTTGTTGGGTAGAGCTTGGTTAAAAACGCAACCATAGATTGTTTTATTTTTTTAACCAAGAGATCAATCAGACAAAAATCTAAGTGATAAGTTCACTTTGACTAGTCATTTGGTGGTTGTGTTGTTGGTAGTCCCAACAGTTTGGTTGGTATTATACGGGGTGGCAGCAAGGAAATGATATAGAAACACAGTAAACACAGATTTTTGTTAAACACATTAATAAGACAGTATTGTTTATATGTGTCTGTGTATTTGCAGTACTCACAGTCCAGTTGGCTGTTCCTATTATTATGGGAACCAACATTGGTACTTCTGTCACCAACACCCTCGTGGCTATGACACAGGCTGGTGATCGGAATACATTTCGTAGGTAATTATTACATGATGTTTGGGAATAATGTATTATACAAATGCTTTAATATAAACTGTGTATGGAATTCTCAGAGCTTTTGCTGGGGCCACAGTTCATGACTTCTTCAACTGGCTCTCAGTGCTGGTGCTGCTGCCATTGGAGGTGGCTACAGGTTATTTGTATATAGTCACAAAACTCATCATAGACTCCTTCAATATCCAGACCGGAGAGGCACCAGAACTGCTCAATGTGATTACAGATATAGTCACAGAATCCATTATTCAGGTACCATACTTAATAATAATAGTGTGGAATAATAATAAATGTTTAATTTTGCCTTTCTTTAAAACCGTTAGCTAGATAAAACAGTGATCAATGAAATTGCCGCTGGAAACCCAGAGGCCAGAAACAAGAGTCTCATTAAGAAATGGTGCAAAACCTTTTCCAACATGGTATGCACACTTCCAATTCACGGTGCATAAAATGTATTTTGTTGGTTTAAGGCATATTTTTGTTTGTCTGTTACAAGACTTTGATGAATGTAACAGTTCCTGGTCCAGAAAACTGCACTTCTCCATCTCTCTGTTGGTTTGATGGAAATAAGACAACGACATTGAAGAATGTATCTGAAACGTACAACATAGAAAAGTGTGAGTCTGAGTAAGCACATAATGACAGCTACGAGCTTTTCAAATCTTTCGGGCAAATATAGTCTAAACATTGATGAACCACAGGGGCAATCACTTAGATGGGGCAACTGCTTCACAGATCTGTCTTTAATTATGTAAATTGATTCAAATGACAGGACATATATAAGCATTATTTTTCCAAGCAAACCGGCCAGGATTGGTTTCAACATAATAAAACATTGCAATAATAATGCAAAGACTTTAACATATGCTCTTGAATCTTTAGGTAAGCACCTTTTTGTGGACGTAGCACTGACTGACCTGGCTGTGGGTCTGATCCTGCTTGCTCTGTCCCTCCTGGTGCTGTGCTCATGCCTGATCCTCATCGTCAAACTGCTCAACTCAATGCTCAAAGGACAGGTGGCAAACGTCATCAAGACCATCCTGAACACTGGTGAGGCTGGGGATTCATATGTTTGGTTTCGTACTACTATCTCTCCACTAACCTTCTAACTGTGTCACCAGATTTTCCATTCCCCTTCGGCTGGGTTGTGGGATACATCGCCATCTTGGTCGGTGCCGGAATGACGTTTATAGTGCAAAGCAGCTCAGTTTTTACATCTGCCATTACTCCACTTGTCGGTGAGGTCAACAAACTACCCATAATTTGTTATTACATGCCACAAAGAAACAAATAAGAATTTTAAAATCACATGAGGCATTGACTTTATCTTTGGGGTAACAGGTATTGGCGTGATCAGCATAGAAAGAGCCTATCCACTGTCCCTTGGGTCTAATATAGGCACCACCACCACATCTATCCTGGCCGCCATGGCAAGTCCAGCAGAATCACTTGCCAATGCATTACAGGTCAGTGAGCCTTTTGCACATCTAATGAAGTTTTGAAATAAAGACAATGTCCCTTTCTCATTTTTGCAGATTGCGCTGGTGCATTTCTTGTTCAATATAAGTGGCATAATCCTGTGGTACCCAATTCCCTTCACTAGAATTCCCATTCGTCTAGCCAAAAGCCTGGGCAGCATCACAGCCAATTACCGCTGGTTTGCTGCAGTCTACATCATCTTGTGCTTCTTCATTTTGCCCTTGTTTGTCTTTGGGCTTTCAGTGGCAGGGTGGAAGGTCTTGGTGGGCGTGGCGGTACCTCTGCTAGGGCTCCTGATCATTGTTATAATAATTAATGTATTGCAAAAGCACAAACCTCAATGTTTGCCAGCAGCACTAAGGAACTGGGACTTCTTGCCACTGTGGGCTCATTCCCTCGAGTCCTGGGACAAAGTGGTGGATGTGTTTGTCACCAAATGCTGCTGCTGCTGTAAATGCTGTCAGCTGCCGGTGGGAGAGGACACAGAGCAGATGAAGGCTTATGACAATCTTGCTGTGACGACCGAGGGAGAAGTAGACAAAATGAACAACAGCAAAATAGATCAAATGGAGCTAAAAATGACCAAGCTTTGACACTTCTACCACAAATCACTGTATGGACTGCTTTTGAAGCAACAGCGTTTTATTTGAGTCATTTAACTAAGTGTATCTCAATCTCAGGAACACTTTCGATGATCTGTGATGAAACATGTTGTATAATAGATTATGTTTTAATTGAGATTGAGATTGCGTGAAGTAAGTTTATTTGAGGCACAAAACAAATGTTTTGTAACATGATTTGCTTATATGTGTGTATGGCACATGGACATCTTTCACATCGTTTTAGGGTGTAATGATTATTCTTTAATTGATATGAATAATTATATTCAGAGAATATATTATTTTGTTTTTTTAAATGTACGTTACACACAAACTGATTTCTAAATGCAATAAATAAAGCAATCATATACATAAATGAATACCTTAACCGTTGAATACCGTTTTAATTATGGCTAAAGTCTGCAAGGTAAGTACCAGCAATACGGCAGGAATTTATTAGCCTGTTATCTATGTTATCTTAAGTAAGTAATAATACTGATAAATCTAAGGGCAATTTGGTTCACAGTTCAGTGTCAAAGTTGTAAAGTTCCTAATGTCGTCACATGTGCACCAGGGCATCAGGGAGACACTTGTGCAGAGTAAAAGATGCCATTAGCTGCCCACAGTCACATGGCAGCGAGCCTGTGTGTATGGATTATCTCTGGGTCAATAGTGAGCGCTCACACTGTGAGTGTTGGCGGGATGAGGGTCAGCAGACTGGGGTTTGCTGCAGTCAGGAGCCTCTGTGCAGATAGAGTCCTGTTAATGATGAAGCCGTCACACTCACGCGCCCACGCCAGCCTCTGACACGTGCACGCGGCCGGATCGAGCCGGTCACTGCAGCGTGACATTACATTACAACTACATTACAATTAATATTTACAACACATGGTGAGTGTTCAAACCTACCACAACGATATTATTTGTTTTGTAATATTCTTTTAGCGGTGACTGACAACGAGTCCAGCTTAAGTATCATTTATAAACCATTTCTATCTCACTTTAACTTGTACATTTTCTTTATTTTTTATGCGCAGTTTGCTCTCATTTTTAATGCTTTTGCTTATGTAGAAACATAGTAGGCTGATCATAGCGCCCATGAATAAGATGAGAAGCCTTGAGTTTGCGCTAACGCTGTTCCACACTGCCATCTATTGGTCAAAGAGTATACAGAATTTACAGTCTATGGTTTTAATGGACATCCTGGCCGTGTAATAAATAGGAGTACAGTTAATATAGTAATAAAATAATTTATTATTTACCAAACATATAGAACATTCATGATCACGTAAAATGTACAGAATACTATTTTCTTGGTTAGTAAATCTGCTCCAAAAATACATATCCTCTATTTGTGATAACAAACGCACAATTAAAGAATTAAGCACCATACAAAAATACATTCTTATACATTACAATTGCAGTTGAAGCACCATTTTCTTTGTGTTAAAACTTGATTATCTATCTTGGACTTTAAAATCATGTTCACAGGCTTATGTCTCCCATGTACCTTGGATGGACCCACTCTAGTTTCCTTAAGATTTCAAAACCCCAATGGCTTGGTTTTATGCATCCAGGGAGGCCAAGGCACTACTTAAAGATTGTGTGTTGATTGGGTGAAGATACAGGGTCTTCTTAGAAAGGGACTGGTCCATAGTAAGCTGTGTACGCAGCCACGATGCCTGCTGTCTCAGCCATTTCATCACAGGCATCATTTAACTCACACACCTCCCGCAGACTGCATCACAGAAACAAACATTCAGGAGTATGAATCATTTAGTACCATTTCCACACAATTTAGATACTTATAAATGCTTGTACCTCTCCAGCTGGAGTGGACTGAGTGGTCCGGCCGCTCTCCTTCTCCTGAGCAAGACTGCAGCCAGGTCCCTCTTCATCACAACTTGAGGAGCTAGAGGTGAGTCAAAATAATAATGTTAATAACCTTAACAAGGGACTAAAAGTAAACCAATGGATTTTACCATCAGTGCTGGGTAACTCTGGTGGAGATGTAGCAGCATTTGGATCAGCATTTGAGGCAGAGGAAGCAGATTCTGTGGATTCCGATGATTCAGATGATTCAGATGACTCTGAGGACTGCGATTCTGAGGACTCTGAAGACTGTGAAGACTCTGTAGATTCAGAGGAAGAGGAGGATGAAGATGCAGAGGAGTCATCAGCTGAGGAGTCGGATGCAGAAGAATCAGAGCTTGAGTCTGATGCAGAGGAGGATTCAGAGGACGATGCAGAGGAGGAGGGAGAGGATGTTGCAGCAGGGGATACAGAGTCTTCAGCTGCAGGGTCCACGGCTGGATCCACTATAACCTCTGGTTCAATTGCTGTAGAATACAAGACATTCATTCATACTTTTGCAGGAATGCAGTCAATCAAGGGAATACCTGCAGAGGAGTGGACTCACCTCCCATGGACCAGCAGACTGAGAGGAGAGCACAGGCAAACAGCAGAGTCAGAGTCTTCATGATGCTTCTGGGATACTTTCAGTGGAGGCAAGTTTCTTCTTAGGCTTCTTTTTGCCTTCCTTTTGCTCAAGTGATGCTTCAGTGTCAGCACATGAAGTGAAGGTCAATATATACATGAGCCTGTGTCCGAACTGAGACCAGGCCCACTCAGAGAGAGCTGCCTGTGATTGGACCGAGAATCGGATAACAACATTTCCGCTTCCACTTGCCATGAAGTTGTCTATAAACACCCACACAGGCCTGGGCATTGGGTCTAGAAACTCATTCACCCACAAAGTTTGTGGCGGAAGACATTCCTTGAATTCAACAACCAACTGCATGTGGAGACATTCAGAAAACCAGAATATGGTAAAGACATTCAAGGACGCTCAGGGCTGGCTTTCTGTCACTGCAAAGGCAGACACAAATATGTGCTGCATGAACATAGGTATGTAATGATACACTGGAACTTACATCATACTCATGGGTCAGTGTGGAACAAATGACTGGCTTGTTTTTATATTGTCTGGAATCTTCATTTATTTCTCTTTCTCATACAATTGTATCATTTTGAGAAGACATGGCTTTCCTCTGTATACTCAATTTCAAGGCAAACTGAACTATCCAAGGTCCAGACTCCATAATGCTGACTACTTAAAACCCATAGAGAGTGATTATTTTTTAATCAGTGGGACCTATTGGTTTCTTTTTTTACATGCAGGAGACCCAACAGAGTCGTTGCTGTTGTGATGCCCCCACCCACACAAACCCCAAACTATAGTCTGCGTGTGCCACAAGCTACTAATCGAGTAACATGGAGCAGCAGTGAGCCTCACTAAGCGACAAGACTTAATTAGAGTCCTGCAGTGTCCCACTACAACCACAGTCACTATTTACAGAGCAAGAGCAGTCCAGCTCCTGCCCGACACGAGCACGGCCACAACTTACCAGAGGTAGTCGCCTGGTGCACAGCTTTTTTAGCAAATGTGCTGCTATATAAGGGAGGCCCCATGTACTGGGCATTCTGCATTTATGCGGTTTATGATCGCTAAGTATCCACATTTAGCCATGCACAGGTTTAGTATGGGGGAACAACAGTAATTGCACACACAGAGACGACTTTAATGCATGGATGCTTGGGACTGGGGTGAGTGATACAAGGGGATGATGAGCTATTACTGCAGTCACAGCTGCTCTGGGGCAGACTGAGAGAAGCAAGGCAACCAGTATGTGCCATCAGCCCCTCCGACCACCACTAACCATTCATGTACATGCCAGACCCATTCTAGAGAATGAGAGTGAAGTGTCTTGCCTAAGGACACAACAACAGTATGGCACTTTACAGCCGCAGCCGCCCCACTGTGACACTACAGGTGTTCCTAGAAGCACTAACCAGGCCTAGCTTAATTTCATAGGTCAGACAGGATCAGGCTTTCACATGCAGGTGTTACTCATTCCCTAGTTCTAAGAAGTGTTTTGGATGCCTTTGTGCAATCTGACTTGCATCTTGTGTACTTTGGACCCTGGTTATAGCTGTATTACTGCTAAACCTTATTATCTGATTAATTTGTTCTGGCCCACGTTGTTTCTGCAGTATCCATATCTTAATAATGCGTCATTAAAATCTCAAGTGATGACGTCTCTGCGCTTATGCCTATTGTTACTAATAAAATGAAAAGCATTGTCTCCTTTTGTTCGATCTGGAGGGACTTGAAAATAAACCGTGTTACAGGTGCAATCCCCGCAGCCTTGTCCTAATTTCTTGGCACCTTGTATGCACTATTTATTTCTTCTTCACATACGTGTATTCTCAATTATGTTTAGCTCAGGAGGCCTTCAAGGCCATGGCAAAACCTTCATCTTGTGCCAATTTATGTCTTGTAAAGGTTTTTGATGTTTGGGATCAGTATCCATTTATACTGCACCTCTTTATTACTTTCGATACTGTCAGAGCTATTTGTGCAGTTTAGTTCTTACAGTTTGTAAATTTATTAATGAAGACATTTTTGTGTTTATTATTGATTGTCTCATTTTTTTTTTTTTTTTGGGTTAAATATGGCCATGGTGGAACGGGGCAGTGGGGACTGGGGAGGCATTTTGGGGATATGTTTTTTTAACAACATGGGAGAGACTGGCAGATATATGTTTTCCATTTGTTTGAACAATAAACTGTTCTTTGTGTGTGGACATTTTACTTCTCTCCACAATGTAAAGCCAAACCTGACAAACCCCTAAAGTGGCCTTTTGATTTATTTTGGTTAGAGTTGGTTAAAGTGCTTTTGTGTTTCCCTGTATAGGAAAGGTGCTCTACAAATAAAGATGTATTCACTTCACTTATCTCCGATGGGGCAATTTGGTTCAAAGCACAAGGACACGTAAAAAACATAACAGAAGCAATTTCAGACAACAAGGTGCCCACATACAGTCAAGGTCAATGGCAGTTATAAATAAGGGGAAAAAAAGAAGACATAAACTGTCCCCCTCAAGCAAAAATTCAACCGTTATTTTCTGTCTATAGTCCGAGTGTAGGGTAGAAATAGCTGCAGGTACAAAAGAGTGTTTATATCTATTACTCCGAACCATTGGGGTTCTGAGTCTGGAACCAGACGACAGGTATAACTAAACTCTCCATGAAGAAGATGAGCTTCATTACCCATTCTCCTCAGAGCATTTCTTGTCACCTGACCAGTGAACAGTTCAGAAAGGGGAGTCTGAGGAACTCCCAAAATCTCAGCTCTCAGGTTTACTATTCTGCTGAATGACTTTTCTATTGATTGATAAAGTGAAGTACAGATACTTTAAAGGCCGCTTCCAGATTCTTTATTTTTATGTCATGTAATTAATTATTCCTCTACTAAAGCATGATGGCTCTATCTTGATGCATGATCAACTGCTGGACAAATGTTCCTTTTATTCCATTCTGCAGCTCAACAGAGAATGTGTGGTGATGACTTGGACTTGAACTACAGTATAACTGCATAAATGCATAATGTATAAATGCATACACTGTAGAAAAGGGAGAGGCCTCTGTCCCGTGACCTTGTTGTCCGTTGTGTTATTCCTGGTTTCACAGATTTGTTTTGGATCGTGTGGCATGTAATTTCAATGTCTGGTCCAGTGTCCATTTTTGAGGGTACGTTTCTGAGGAGAGGGTTCAGTCTGAAGAAATATACAGCTGCAAACGTTCTTCTTTTGTGTTGTGGTGATGTTGCGTTGCACTAAGGCCACAAAGGACGCCGTGAATAAAAATACTTAAAATTCTCTTACTGCTACCACTGCAAGTTGTAAAAATAAAATAATTGTAAAGCATTTATAATCAGGGGTGAGTGAAGTAGATGACTGTACCTGAAAGACCTAAAACGTACTAAAGTAGCTTCATGTAGATTAGTGGACTTAAAAAACAGTCTTTACTGGCAACACAAAGAGATGATGGCTATAATGTGTTAAGCTACAGATTTAATTTCTTTATCTCAGCCCATAAATGGTTCATTAGGTTTTCATGTTTGTTACAATAAAAATGGGGGATATTCTCTGCTCCACTTTCAGCTGCCCTGATTCTCTGCTGTAATTTAAATGGCGCATGCACCTTTTTATGAACGAGACTAGAACGTGCTTGTAGTCTAGACATATCCTAAACTGCTAAACGTTTTCAAAGATTTATGAGATAAAGTCCAAAGCCACTGCTCAATTTAGTTCTACACAGTTTGATTTTGTGTGTTTGGGGAAAACAGCTGTGTTTCTTGTTTTTAGTGAAACATGAAAAAATAATTCTTTACAGCAGGTTCCAAGGCTTATTTCTGACTATTTCCTGAGTATAGCTAGCAATTAACACAGTCTGCTCAGGAGTAGAATACAAGAGGCAAACAGGCTAACTGGGTCTGTGTAAAACTGAGCAGCTGGGTTTTCACCAGATGCATGGACAGATCCGACACAAATACATGCAGACCTATAAACCGTGTGGTCGTGAAGGCTGCTGGTACCACACTGCTGTCTGTCTATGGTGACAGCATTCGAAGCTACAGGATTTGTACATGTTTGGTATTAATGCGTACAACTGCAAGAGCAACAATGTTCCATCATTTGAAAAGAATACAGACTTTTTGAACCAGTAAACACGGTATAGGTTGAATTCAAAGACTTAACTAATCCATATGTGCTCCTATGTGTTCCAGTTGTAGACCTGCTCACTCAATTATCATTATGACTATATACAAAAAAGTTGGCGTAAAAAACGTCATTTTTTTAAACAATTTTTACAATTCCTACTGTGGGTGCCTGAAGGGGGCCCTAATTGTATGGTACAAAGTGTTTTAAAACTGGGCTACCTAACCTCAGTTATAACACATTTTAGGTACATTTGTTGTGGTTTGAAAGTTAGAAATAACCCAGCTTTAGGGTACGGATTTTTTTTCCTTGTGTTCCCCTATATTAATCAATGTTATGTTACTACCTTTTCACAGATTGGGCTGGACCACAATATTGGGAATATAAACGTCCCGGTTGCCCAGGTAACTTCCTGTTCTGCCCCCTCCTCCATTCTCACTGTGTGCTGTGTCACTGTGTACAACCTGGCCTTTCACATATCAGACCACTCCCTAGATAACTTCATCACATGGGATGATCTGTCTATTTTCATTGTTCATCCCACAGACTGATCATGGACCATTGACTGATGACCCATTGAACAATGCGAGCTGGTAGGATAGACTCCCCCTTTCAAAATGTTTGGACTATGGATTAAAACCTCAAAACCTATTCCTTAATCAATTTTGGATAAAAAACCGAGAATTTGCAATCATGGATCAAAAACCGAACAACGGATTAAAAAGCAAACTTTTTCCAAAAAAAGATTCAAACACAAACTCTTTCCAAAAACTAATTAATAATTAATTTTGCTCTATTTTGTTGTTTTTGGTAAATTAAAATGTTCAATTCATCTTATTTTTTCCATTATTGAGAATCATAATAATTTAAAACATATGTACATTTCTCTCCATTGCATTTAAAATGTATTGTGTCTGTTGGTCATACCATCCTCAAGCTCCTAATCGAATAGTCTTCTGTGTTATAACTTTCCCAATAGAGACATTGCAAATTACACCACAGGTTACAACTCTCTCAATTATTTTAATCAATTCACTTTTGTCTGAGAAGAAAGTAACTCACACCAAAATACTCTTTCGGAGCTGCAGATGCAGAATAAATGTGTTCAAAGTTTAAAGACCGCATTGCACTCTCAAGTTGCAGATATCAATTATTAATGTATTAAAATATTTGGCCACAATGCTTTCACGTGTCTCATAAATATATAATTGACATCTTTTTTAAACTTTGCATAACAATGTTTTACATCAATATTACACAATGTTGCTGCGTTTGAGAAAAACTGTCAAACTGTTGTTGTGTACTTAGGCAAGACACTAGTAGATAAACTAGTATGAGTCTTATGTGCGCATGAATGTACGGTGGTGATGGTGCATTGGGGGCCAGCGACATGAGTTAGGGTCTGTGTGATGAGTGCTATAAGCAGTATTATTATTATACAAATAAAAATGTATATTGTTGTTTCTTGTATTCCCAATTTTAGTGAGATATTCCATATAAATGAAGGCAGTTGTAGTTCAACATATAGAACACTGGTCAGGCGGTCTCTCACCTGTCACTTCAGCTGTCTATGTGATGCCTGTGACATGGCTTGTGGTGAAGTATGGGACTATTCTTCAGCGTTATGTAACTTGTGATGTGGAGGTTATTGAGCTCAGACAAAACAGTGGTGTATTTTCATCTGAAGCCTCCACCTGGCAGCCCGTGCTCCGGATGTGCTGGCCGGCTGCATCACACCACTAATTACACTGATGCACGTCTGGGCCTCCAACTACCCAGACAATGTTTTTGGAGCTCCAGATTCTTAGACAATTGTTGTCTAAAAGTTTGTGTGTCAAAGTTTTATAATTAAACTTAAGACTTGTAAATTAGCTCTGTGTTTTAAATTGGACTTTGCATTTCCTGCTCGGGAATCATAGATCTGTATTGTTCAATGTAGGGCTGCACGTCTCAAAATCACATTTTATGTGAACGCAATTAGCAAATCCAAAAGTCTGCCATTATATAAGTCCTGAATAAAAAAAACATAAGATAAACAAATAAACTAAGGAACATAATATGACTTTATTTAGTTATACCATCCATTTTCTTCAGCTTTATCCGTTGCCGGAACACCACACTTCCCTATCCACACTAACATCCTCAAGCTCAGCAGGGGGAATCTTGAGGGCTGACGGACATAGTCCCTCCAACGAGTCCTGGGTCTTCCTCAGGGCAACATCCCGGTGAGACATGTCCGGGACAAATCCCTTCATTGGACTTTCTTTTAATCTTGTTTTGTTTATGTTCTTGTTTTGTGCATACTGTGGTTTTACTGTAAATGGCAAATAAATGAATCTGATTCTGAATCAAGAGCATTGCCTTTTGACTCAATTCATTTAAATTCAATTAAATTTGTTGCAGCTCCTTCTTTAGCACAATGGTTTGAAACATCGACCACAATACACATGCTGCACCGACCTGTACGTCAATCTCCGGAACAAGACCCTGAGATATTTGACCTCCTTCACTTGAGGAAGGACCTTTCCACCCTCCACTGGCTCTGTCCTCGATTGCCCTGATACTGCGGAGACGTGTCAGCCAAGACAGTCCATCAACATCCACAGACTTGAGATAGTCACTATGGATCTCATTCACACCAGGGCCTTCAGCGACTGAGATGGAAGTATCCATCCCAAGATTGTTCCAGATTCAGAATCAGATTCATTTTATTTGCCATTTGCAGTAAAACCACATTGGAATTCATTAGCAAAAGTCCTCAGTGTGCACAAGTACAGACATAAAACAACATTAAAAGTACAGAAAAAAACAAACAAATAAAACAGTAAAACAATTGTCACTGTGAAAACGATCGGCTAAGACAGTATCAATACAAAGTGCAAGATCATTAAAGTGCTCTGTTCAAACTGATAACAGCTTGTGGGAAGAAGCTGTTAGCATCTCAGAGAACGATATCTTCTGCCCGAAGGAAGAAGCTGGAACAAGGCTTTTCCAGGGTGGCCGGAAGAGTTGTTGATAATTCTAAGAGCTTGGTTCCATGCATTTCTTCGCTAGTGTTTTATCATTTTTTGCGATGTATTCCTAGTACCAAAAAAATGCTTGTACTATAGTTTAGACTTCAAGATAAAGATAGATGGATAGATACTTTATTGATCCCCCGAAGGAGAAATTCTGGTGTCCAGCAACAGAAGACTCATCCAGGTTTGTTGTACAGTCTGACACCCGAAGGAACAAAGGATCTCTTGAAATGTTCCGTTCGGCAGCTTAGTGATAGGAACCTGTCGCTTCGAGCCTGTTGCTTCGAAGCACAGAAAAAAAAAAACTAAAATTAATGTATTCATTATTTTGATTGATGCACATACATGTACTGTATATTGTAAATCGCAATGTTGAGCATAGAAATTTGATTTATTTATTTTGTCAACACGGTTCTATTGGGAGAGTCCTGTGAGAAAGTGTGTGTGTGAACTCTGAAGGCCTGCAGATCATCTCTAATGAGTCTGATCAGTGGTTCTGTCAGTTTCCCTGAGGTTGTGTGTTGTGGTGGGCACCGTACCATTAGTGGGCTGTCTAACAAACTCTGCCAGGTCTGTGCAGCGTGTGGCCGCTGACCTGTGGTTCGCAGCTGACCGCAGAGTGTGTGCTGAGACTTGTGTGTGAGACATGTTACGTATATGCAGCTGCTGCCCCGACACGTCAGGCCAACGGACCCGGAGAATGTGGAACCGTTTGGAGATGAACAGATGCAAAGAAACGTGTAATGAAAAACACAGCAGTTATGTGGTCATTTATTTTTAATTTACAAAATGTCTGGTGTTAAAGTTCAGTCTTTGCTTTTGTTTCTCCAGCCTGCTTCACGTCCTGAAACAGAAGAGAAATTCAAAAACTTTCATAATTGTTTTAAGAGTTTTATAATCTCATTTAACTCTCTATGTATGTTATATTCACAATAAGAGATGAATATTGTTTCTCTATCTATGCAACAGCTAATAAAGCCAATGGTACTATATGCTGTTTTAGAAATATAACTACTTTGGAATGAAATGCTTTCTTTTTATGGCATTTTACTCTGCCCACTTCTGACCCTTTTCTGCATTTTGGGGCAGGGCTGTTTCATATTCTTGCTGTTACGTTAATTGAATTGTTTTGTTTTGATGTTTGCAAACCAGAAAATGTAAATTTTGTGTCAAGCGGAAAAACCAAGTCCCTCTACTACTGTATGTAGCAGGAGCATTTACATAATGCTTTCAGTTTGGTGTAACGTCACTTATTGTGATTTGATGAATGTTCTGCGTTGCCATGCTCCACTGCCTGTCTGTCAGCCATTAGCGCTCAGCTGGAGCGCTGTGTGAAGTGACAGGATGAATTAGTTTGAGAATTCTGACTTTTTTTGTGGCACAGTTACAACTAGACGTGCCAGACCTGAACCATCACCGTCAGGGAGTTTTGCGTAGGATTATAAAAACCTGCTTTAAGCAACGATCCTAATACACTTTTACCTTGAGCTCGCCTTGAAGGAATGACTTGCAGAAGTCTCGCACTCTCTCCACTGTGATGTCTCCCTCTGGAAGCAGCCATTTCATATCCGAGTCACCATCATAGATGCCAACTCGTGGGAGGTCTTTGGACTTCAGACCAAAGTATCCAAGTGAGCGGGAGTTGGACTTTAGCGCTCCGTTGATCAGAACAAACAAGAGCTGGAAAAACAGTGTGATGTTAGGACCAAGGCAGCTGTTACTAGGAGGAGTGTTGTTATGTCCGGTGCTTTGTTGCATACTATCCCTCACCTTTCCTGTGAACTCTGGAGCTAGAGCTCCCAGTTTCTCCTTCAGCTCATAATAGTCTTTACTGGTTCTGTTGGCAAACAGTAACAGGTGTGTCTTCACCTCAGAGTGAAACAGACCCACTGCTGTCTGAAAACACACAGTAGAATATTTAGTCTATACACACAGTAGAATATTTAGTCTTTCAGAATATATATTTATATGCTGCAGTATACTTACCACTTGGTCATACTCCGTAATGTAGCGGACCTCGTTGACTATGATAAAGTTCACAAGCCCATCTGTGTCTAGCTTTTTGGCTTCAGCAACAACAAGGTTTTCTTGGTGGTTATCAGCCTGCACATCATATGAATGTGTTATTTGTACATAAAAGTATTAGGACCATTCAAACATATGACATAAGAAGCCAAGGCCTTGATATTAGTCTATGTTTTATGTGACACTTTCAAGTAACAAACACGTAAAGGAACAACCATTTAAGTTCAATGTATCTACATTGATACCCCAGAATTTCACATTTAAGTTAACAAACAGGAACAGATGCTAATGGCAAAGTAATCTGAAAGACATTTTTCTATTCAATATTCTTTTGATTCAACTATTTCAAAATCTTACAAATTAATTTGATTTCTTGTGAGAAAAGTTGGTAGATGATTACCTTTCTGAAGAGAGTGATGGTGTCTGTGGAGACGCTGTATTCAGCCCAGACCTCCTTCTCACTGCAAATGGCCACAGGAACAGAGTCAACCTTCTTTGCAGCAGCCAGCAGTTCTGCATACCCGCGACTTTCCTCCCCCTTTACATCCAAAACAATTTGTATAATTATTAACATACAAATTAGGTATATAGGTCTAAACATTGTACAAGACAAGACAACATTTATTCTATTTATCTACTTTTGACTAACTGGGATACCTTGGGATTCAAAATTATATGTATTTTTTCATGTCAAAATGGCGGGCAGAAGACCAATGTCCATAAATATTGATAAACGTCCATACATATTTGATGTGTCCCCTCCTTGGAGTCCAGCCCCCACTTTGAGAACCTGGTATATTCTATTGATCCTTCATGAAAAAACCTAATTCTCTCAGCTTATGATAGATATTTATTCATCTAAATTATTGCTTGGCTTTTCAGAGCATTCAATAATATCAGTGAGTAGGAGAGATTTATTTACAGAACGTCATAATGTAAACTTCATGGTAATCAGGAATAGAATTTAGCAAACTGGCAAAGGACATTTCAGAACTTCAACACCCTGCCTCATCTACTGTATATAATCTATAAACATTTGAATGATTTATGACAGAGTTCAAAACACGTTTTCTTGAGATTTTTGCGCTAAGATTTTCCATCCATAATATTATTTTTCTCCTCCACTGAACCCAAACCCTCGCTCAGACAGGGCACAGAACTTCATAACATACAGGTGGCACAGGACATAACACAGAGTGGGTAGAGAGTGACTCAAAAGAAGGTGAAAGTCTATTTTAGTGACAGGACGGCAGTGTTTGGACCTCCTCATTGACTCATTGCTCTGATATTCTGGTCTGGCTCACTGTCTTGTTGTTTGCTTTATCCTCAGACGCTCTCCTCAGTTTCCTCCGCTGCAGCCTGCACTTGTCGATGCCAGGGTCAGGGCAGCCAATACCACAAGGGCAGATGCAGTTTGTTTGTGACGATGGCCCGTTTCCTGCCTGCGTCCCCCGCACAAGGCGCTGTGGGACTGCCCTGCTCCGCGGCTCCCAGTGCCAAAGGTGTGGCTGCTCTAAATACACTTCCTTGAAAAACATTATATTGTAAAGGCAATGAAAGTGGCCAGGCCACTGAAGGGGATTTCCCGCTGGTCAACCTTATATTAACTTATGTAATTGAAATAGATGGAAGTTATTGTTTTTTGCTGCTAGTCAGACTTAACCCTTTAACGTTCACTCCTTCAAGAAAGCAGTGTGACTTGTTTTTTAGTTTTTATTCTTTTTCTAAGATGTAGGCGCACTAATAACACAATTTTCTTTTATTTTTTTAACCCCTAGTTTTTTAATTATACAGTAGACCTTTACCAAATGGTTGAGATGCAGTTTGACCAAGAGATAGAAAGGCCCCTGTAGATACAGGTACTCAAAATGTGATTCACCAAATGGTTGAGGAAACGTCCTATAAAGAGTTTTAATGCTGTTTTTTAAATGTATTATTATTTTGCATACTTGAGATCCTCGAGTCATGTTTTGTCGCTTTGGGCTGAGCTAATTAAGTGAGGGGGGTCCTCTCTTTATTCTTTTATTTCCAGTCTGAAAAAGTTGTTATGACAGAGGCAAAACGTACATTCAAAAGCGTGTGAAACTAGTGATATTGAACCAAAATGTTTTCGACAGTCAGACTTGAGATGGATTTGTACATGGTTCCAAATCCAATTTGCTGTTGATCGAAAGTCATGTTGAGACTGATGTATTAAAATGTGAGGTTCATTAATTTTATGGTATGGATGAAGACGTTTAGGAATCAACCACGTTTATTTGTTGAGTGGGATAGACACCCAAAAATGCTGGCTTTAAAATGGATTTCAGCCTCTGGTTTCCATGCAACACTGTTTGTACCCTTTTCATATTCAAAAGTTATAATATCTTAAATTTAATTTGCTAATCGCTATGGCAACTGCTCTAGTTAATGATCATCCTAGGACCCAAAAACACTAGGAATCTGGCATCTGCATATTCTGGGGGTTCTTTATAAATCCTATCTCTTGTTGATGTGATGATTAACTCTTATAATGATTGATAATATGATTAGCTCTTATAATAATAATAATGCATTGTTTTTTATTAGCTCTTTTTTGGACACTCAAAGACGCTTTACATGTTATTCATTCACTCCATACACGGTGGTGATAAACTACTGCTGTAGCCACAGCTGCCCTGGGCACACTGACAGAAGCAAGGCAACCAGTATGTATGTGCCATCGGCCCCTCTGACCACCACCAACCATTCACACACACACCAGACTCATTCTAGGCAATTTGGGTGACATGTCGTGCCTAAGGA